TGAATGGGCTTTTCAACGGTTGAAACAACCGCACTCTTGGACACCCTCTGCACCATGGCCCATGGCCCCCTTTCCAGCCCTAGGTGCGGAGCTGGCGCAACAGTTGCCCCGCTGGGTGGTGGAAGATGGCATCGCGGCGTATGAGGAAGGTCAGCTGTGCCAGGTGCTGTCCGGGACGGTTCGGGACGGTCAGGGGATGAGAGATGGTGAGAGACTGGGATGATGAACAATAAGCCAAAAACTGGTTGGAAACCATAGGAAAATGTGGGTTTAATGGGATTTATAGCTGATTTATGATAGCTGAACATGGATCATGGATGCATACCTTTGGAAGATAATGATATTTCTATACGCTAATAAACATACCTTTGGAAGACTGGTGATACTGTAATTATGATTTTGAAGATCAGCGATGATTATATACGGCTATGTTCTTGGATACGCCAAAAGTCATTGGTAGTTTAACCTACAAAAAATAGTGTTCACAAATGGGGGGGGACATAACATGAAACTTACTTGATAATATCATGCTATGACCAAATTTGTTGTCCCGAAACTCACCATTTCTGCGCCATGCCCCCTTTGTGAAAGAGGCTAGCTGTCAACCACTTTCTTGTGTAGGCATGTTGAGACATTGAAGACATATATCCCAAACTATTGAAAGGTGCACTGAAGACAACAGATCACAACAGATCGCCACGTACTCTAAACCCTACCTACCTGATAGTGGATTTGGGTTACATTTATATTGTGTCTATCAATGCATTTCTGCCTGTATATAATATACTATGATATATACATATATATTTATGGATATCCTGAGAATTGACGCTATTAAATAGACCAGCATGCATAAATGCTATACTCTCCAGTAAAGTGGTATATATATATATATGTGTATAGGTATGGACAACCAATGTTTTTTCAGTAAATTATCTATGTTTGTTTTCATGTACCGGAGCGTAACCAACGAACAATGGGGTGTCGATGGCTATATAAATCAACATTGTAACATGGCATGTTCTTGAGATTCCCAGAATGGGCGCAGAGAACGTTTTAGAGGAACCCACCATGTTTATGTGGTATGTCATAAAAACTATCTAAAAACCATATAAAAACCCAAGAAGATAGAGAAGTAATTGATGAATAACTTGACGACTAGAAAATAGTAGGATGTCACTATGATGTCACTTTTTTATATTTATAATTTTTTCCCATAATTTTCCCTGATTTTCCCAAGGCATTGAGAGCAGTGGCTCCAGCGTTTCATCCGTTTCACTCGCCAGGAATGTGTTCGCTTCTGCGTGGCACGTGGCTGCCGTTCCGTCTCAGAAGCCCTGGTGGCCCTGCGGGAGGCGAACGTTAGGGAAAGGGTATACACACAGAATCGACCATATATATTATATATTATATGTGTATAATGATTTAGATATGTACTATATGTATATACTACACTTACATGTGGTGGTTTCACATAATTAATTATATATATATATATACATACTAATATATATATATATATGGATACATGTGATTTGATACGATATGGTAGAGTCATATGTCTATACACATATTTTGTATATGTGGGAATGGATCAATACCACATGATTTTAACGATCTGGTCATGGGGGGATGAACGAATCCATAACTGGCAGCTATTTTGGTTTGAATGTCTGGGTGACAGGGTTTAGAGGTTACGCCTGGTAGATGGGCTTCAGTTGCCGAATGATGTTGATGGTCTCACCCTTTTTCCGTCCACGAAGGCCTTGGTCTTTGACTTGGAGGATGCCGTGGCGGCAGCCAAAGAGGGCTATCCGCGCATCCTCGCCTTGGTGCAGGATACCCTGGAGGTGTGGCCAGCAACACATGCAGCCATACCAGCTAATCCCTTCCCCCTAATACTAACATTACTAACCAGACAATAAACACCTCAGGTACCCTCTGGTAAACTAACATAGCTATTGAAAATCACCATTTCCAATGGGTAAATCCACTATAAATGGCAATTTTCAATAGCTATGTTAAATTACCAGAGGGTAGCTTTTAATATTAGGGGGGGGTATTTATTATTAGGGAACCCAAGCGAACCCTAACAATAAATTTAAACCCTGAAATAAAAACAAACTATTTTTTTCGATTTCAAAATCAATTAACCTTCCTTTTATAACGCAATTAAAATATTGCAAAAAAATGGATTTCGAAGCTTCCCCCTAATGATAAATTTAAACCGTGAATATAAAAAACAAAAGTTTTCGGACGGACCCTAATAAAAAACACCCCGGGGTTGACTATTTTTTATTAGGGGGTGAAACCCACAAATAGTAGCTTGATTTTTACTTATTTTTCTAAAGGGGATCAATTAAAAGTCAAATTGGCCAACCTGACATTTTCCAAAGCTTTTATTATTCGGGGGGGGGTTAGTAATAGGGGGAAGGGATTACTTGGGGGTGTAATTACCGGACGTTTTGACCCACCATAGCCATGTAGATGTACTCAACTTGGCGATTTGACATAATCCGTGGGATTTTGACCAGTTGAGAGGAGAGGTGGGCTGCAACGAAATGGTGAATGGGAACTGGAATCACAAGCGGAAAGAATCCTCATAGCGGAAAAAACCATCAGCGTCACATAGTTAAGTACAGGCTTGTTGCATTTGACTCTTTCTTTCTATGCAAGTTGTACCCATGAGTTTAGATATCCCCATAGATGTTGGTAACTATCCCAACTTCTGTACTTGAGGTCAAAACCCAAAAAACGGCTAGATGAACATCCTGAATATCCCCTTAAATTTGCATCAAAGTACAAGGTTTCTGTGTATTTTTTTTCCTCGGATGTTTCCAGCCAAGAAATTTCATGGGATGTGGATTTACATCCAAAAACCACTGACAGTGCCAGTGTTTGCTTGTTTTTGCTCCTCCATCCTCTCAATATTCTCATCCGGCTATAAAACTTAGCTATGCAAAATCGATGACACATATCCCCATTTACTTCGATGATTTACCTATTGTGGGTAATTTTCCAGTTCGCAAAGTGTTAAAGACCAGATAGTAAATCCATGTAAATCCTATACCACATCCCATTCTATCCCCTTACCAGATATCCAGATGATATCCCCATCTCCATCATTGGACCAGTGATTTTTGGTGTCTCGGAGGTAATTCCAGTTCTCCTGCGCCACGCAGACAACTTGAGTCGCTGGGCTTTGGGCGGGGAGAAAGAGATCTTGGTGACCCTGAAGTTCTTTGAAAAGATAGAGTTGAGAAGTCTGGATACCAGTACTTACTAACTTATATTATAAGTATATATATCGTATCTATAGGTAATTATACCTATAACATGCAAGGACACATATTACTGGATTCATTCATATAGAATTCAACTCTATATATATATATATATATAGCAACACTATACAGGCCCACTTGTGACAGTTTCCAGTTGGTGACGCCAGGTCACCACCTGCCAAGTCTGTTGGAAGAGTTGCGCGCACAGGGCCGACGAGGCCTTCGCTTCGCAGTGAAGCTGTCTTTACAGTAGCGTTGGGGATTGGGGCTGCGGTTCCAGTTAAATCCTATCTGATATCTGAGAGCAGCTTTGGATTTGAAAAATTTGGTATTCCAGCCATTCAGTTGAAATCTGGCTTTGTGACTGCGTTGAGTACCCTCTGGTAATTTTAACATAGCTATTGAAAATGGTGATTTATAGTGAATTTTCCCATTAAAAATGGTGATTTTCCATAGTTATGTTAGTTTACCAGAGGGTAATTCATTGATATCAGTGGGAATCTAGCCATAGATACCAGGATTGTATCCCAGGTTCTAGCCGGGAAGAGAGATTTCTGCTGGGAAGATCCCAGTGATCCCTGAGATTGATGGTTAAAACACATAGAAACCAGTGATCTATGAATATCATCGAATATCTATCTATCTATCTATCTATCTATATATATATATATATATATATCTGGGTAAATTATAACGACCTCACTGCGACCTCACTGAAATCATTGTTAATAAGGGAAATCATCCCCAAATGGCCCAACAATTCAGGTTGGTGAAATATTTTAATTTACCATAATTTACCCATATATATATATATATATATGAATGACCAATGACCTTACTCGTCGACACCAAAGTTTCAGGGATCCCAAAAGCCGACTGTCGAGGGCCACGCCTCCATCAGCCGATCCGTTTGCTGCTCACGGGCCGTGCGGATGGCGCACCCATCAGCGATTTGGTGCAGCTACTGGAGCTGGCGCAATGGGAAGGCCCCGGGGCCTGGGAAGCGCTTGGAAGCGTTTGGAAATGTGGTTGAAAATGGGGGTTGAACGGGATTCTTCATAGGATTTTTCTATGGGATTTCATGTGGGTAAACACTGGAAATGGGGGTTTTATCATGAAGAAATTGGCGATTTAATGGGATTTAATAATGTAGTATATGAGCAAGGGTCAAAAGACGCTATGAAAGGCTTCAATTACGATCCGCCATCACTACTCAAAATATGTGATTTACTGTGTGTAGCGATAGGGGGCCTTATGTAGCGATACCTCTTTTTAGACTTTGTTTATGATTGAAGCTTCCTGTTGGGCGCATGACTTTCCAATCTTTTGATGTCAGAGTGCGACACTGGAGCAGTCGCAGTGGGCTGGTCTTCCTGGGTAGTTGCAAGATGGCCTGTCGTCAAGTATATATGAGATAGTTACATTAAACAATATTGATATATTGGGGTATGTTGATCTATAAGGTATGCAAGAAACTAATTCATAACGCATCATGAGCTTGATGATGGTGATGATGCTGATGATGATGGTGATGGTGATGATGTTGATTCAGATAGTGACCGTGCTGAGATATGTTGAAAAAGCATCCTTGTGCGGTCACGGACGCTTCTCCAAAGCCACTGTCCAGGAGTAGAATTGCAACATGGAGCTTGTCAGAATTTCGTGTCACTTGAAACATACACCTGAGATCACACATTTTCTGGTCCCCGTAGCGATGCCCGAAGCGATACCCCTCGATACCCAGAGCGATACCTGAAATCCATGAAATTAGGGAGTACCCCACATGGTCACTTGAAACTATACAACTTGTGCTATAGGTGGAAAAATATGGGAAGTATGAACAAGGGTACCCTCAAGTTCTTACTGGGTTAGTTCTTAAAGGGTTCATTTGGTCAGGGTTTTGCCGATTCATTTTGGCGTGGTATTAGGTTGCAAAGGAGGCGGGGTGAAGAAAAAAAGGCGCCGGAAACAAGGCAGCACAGGCAAGACAAGCCAAGACAAGCCAACACAAGCCAAGGGCAGCCTCCGAGGTCAGATGACCTGCAGTGAGTCCGGCTGGTGTCTAGCTGAAGCTGTCGACGTCAGCCTTGGTGATCACGTAAAAGTTTGAATTTCCCTGGAGATACCATCGCAAGGGGAATAAGAATCCGATTCCTCATCTGGATCCTCCTCTTCTAGCAGCAATTCTGCCTACTAGTTGGTGAAAAGGGTGCTGGGACTGTGTGTAGCGATAGGGGGCCTTATGAAGCGATGCCATGACCTCACCACATGAATTGAGTTTTGACCGTCGCACATATGGTATTATATACATATAATATAATTATATAGATATATGGTTTTATATAATTATATATATATATATATATATGTACTTGGATATCATGGAACACGGGCAATGTTCAAGTCCAGAAATCATCTGAAGAGACCCAATTTTTGAGGTTCCATGTTCAATTTAAGGGGTGTACGGTAAAAATATGGTACTTCTTGAGAGGTTAAACTTCATAGAATTTGTATTAGATTGTCAATTATTGTTGCTGATAATTTGTTGGTGAAACTATGGCATTGCTTAAGTAGGGGTTGAAGGAGATATGGATGTGTGTTGGTGGGTCAAAGTTTGCTAAGCTTCCACGTTCCATATTACTTTACTTGGTGTGACCCCCCACAGTGGCATATATCTTGACATACATTCTATTATATTCTGACATTCTATCTGGCATGCTATCTAAGATCTTATCCGACGTTCTATTTGCAATCTTATTTGACATTCTATCTGACATATATTCGGATCTTCTATCTGAAATTCTTTCTGGCATTCCATCTGGCATTCTAAACTGCACAAATTCTGACATTCTATCTGGCATTCAGTGTGACAATCCATCTGACATTCTATCTGGCATTCTGTCAGACAATTTATCTGACATTCTGTCTGACATTCTATCTGGCATTCTTTTTGACATTCTATCTGGCATTCTGTCAGACAGTCTATCTGGGCATTCTGTCTGACATTCTATCTGGCAGCCGGCATTCTCTCTGAAATTTTATGTGGCATTCTGTCTTACATTCTATTTGGCATTCTATTTGACATTCTATCTGGCATTCTATCTGGTATTCTGTCCGAAATTTATGTGGCATTCTGACATGCTATCTGGCATTCACATTCTATCTGGCATTCTGTCTGAATTTTATCTGGCATTCTCTCTGACATTCTATCTGTTATGCTATTTGACATTCTATCAGCCGACAAACTTGTCTGCGTGGGCCGGGTTTGCAAAGTGCTCATTTCAGGCAAACAATTTAACTTGGAACTGTGCACAGCTGGCGGTTTTCAAGATGCTATTTGACTTTTTGCCAGCTGACTAAATGACAGTTTGCATTTTTCCAGCTATGCACTTGCCCAAATAGATATTGTTCTACAGCAAAGTTCCAATTTATTTCATCCTATTTTCAGCCCAGTTTGTCGCGTCAAGTTTGCGCGAGCCAGGTGGAGATGCAGCCGGGGTCCGATTGAACGATCGGATTGCGTTGGTTCGTCAGATATTTTCCGAGCCACCTTTCGAAGCGCCGTCTCGATCCGGATCCGGCGTTGCTTCAGCCACCAAAACCGTGTCCTCCATTGCCTTTGTGAACTGAGATATGGAAATGGGGAGCCACGGGAGATAAGCACCAAACGTGCTTCGAACATGGCCCATGGGCAGATCCATTTAGAGATGATTACCACTAGAACGGTGAGTTTCCGTATGACCAGAGGGTAAATATTGTTGGATGTTGGAATTTGTGTTTGCGAGATTCTGAGTTTGGTTACACACGAAGTTGGGGGGCGTGACAAGAGTCTGTGAGAAAAGGACACTTGTCGACTTGTAAGTGGCGTAAGTGGTATCCAGTAGTCGAACACTGAACAGTTTTCACAGGTTTCAGGTTTCATACCTGAAACACATTTGTTCAAACAGGCTAATAGAAATCGATACAGGTTACTGGTTACGCCCATTCTTTCGATCTGCGTGTCGGAGAAAACTGGCACGTTGTTGTTTCTGTGGCTCTGCGGCCAGGGCCAAGCAACCTTTGGCATCTTTGGCCTGCGCAGCACTTTCACACAATTTCGCAGCAATTGCTGCACCCCTCGTGTTGAGTCCATCTTCGACGGTGACATCGCTCATGCAGCTTCCACATCCATGGAGGGGTTCTTCATTCTCCCAGCTCATTGTTTTTACCCAACCGCAGACACACACACAGAGACATATCATGTATACGTATATGATGATACTTAGCGTCTCAAAAAAAGTACATTTATAATACACATAGTAGATAAATATATATATATATATAATGATATATTTTGATATCAAATGACATGAATAAGACCTGAATTTCTTGACGGATCCTCAAAGGCTGACCAGCCTTGTACGCGTACTGGGAACTTGATTGAGATTATTGGGAAACTGACTTTCCCAGTCATGGTCAACCAAACTTTGGTACATCAACCCATCAGACTCCAGATGTCTAAAGACTTAGTGACTGAGGCCGAGTAGAATTTTGAGGTACTGTAGATGTTTGCATAGAATAACTGGTTGGTGGTTTCAAACATTTCTTATTTTCCATTTCATATATGGGACAATCATCCCAATTGACGAACTATAAAATTTTTACATATATTTTTCAGAGGGGTTAAGTCACCAGCAACCAGATAAAGTTTGGTAAATCACTCCGCTATTTTTTTTGTATTGTGACATGGGATGGTCCAGTGATCATCCCAGGAATCTTCGGTATCTTGGAGAAATTTCGAGGGAAATTTTCCTGAGCAAGTTTGAGTGACACAAAAAATGACCGTTTCCAGTGTTGGTAACAAAACATAAAGGATATTTTAGGCATGAAACACAAACATCACACACCAGAAGTGGACATTTCTCAACAGAATTGAAGTGTTTCTATCAGCAACATTCAGCAACTATGCGAAGTCACAACCTCCGTTGTGGAAGTGAAATCTTGGCTGCTTTGCTGTATCGCTGAATTGCAGGGACACAAAAAAGATCCAAGAAATACGATCATGTACTATCATGTACTATCTACATCTATCTATCATACTTGACATTTGACATGGAAAGGCGGTCCTTGCGCTTGACATTTGATGTCCTTGCGCCTCGGTGGATGACCTGAACAACAAAAAATCCCTGGTTTTTTTCCACCAATGAAGCCACGGCCACTTGGCCAGCGGCAACAAGGGCCATCGGTACAGCACACAAGGCACAGTTGGTTGCAATATTAAGAACCAACGATCTTAGTCAAAGAAAAAAAGATGCGACTTATTTTTGAATATGTTTGAAGCGGTATGTTGGTTGGATTGGGTTGGTACCATTGAAGAATTGGTGAATGGATGGGAATGGTTGGGACATTGAATTGTTCAAAATGTGGTCCCACACATCCATTGTATCATAGAAATTCATAGAATCGTATCCCATCATGGTTGCTTTTCATAGCTACGGATTCTGCAACTTCTGGGGTCTCCAAAAAGGTCGGTTCATAGCCCCCGCCATCCACTGGAGGTTACTGGGAGATTTTGCAATTTAGTTAAGGCATGATTATTGTATTTATATGTATTTATAGTCATTTATAATTTTATAGCCAGCAATATACATCTATAATCTATCATTTTATATCCACATGTATACAATAGACTAGACATGTAAGTACATACATACATGATATATGTTTGTATTGACATAATTAAAGGTTCGACATGCACGGATTAGGTTGGGACAAAATATGACAAGACTATCCCGTTACCCATTGCTGGGATCATCCCTTAAGGTATCGAAGAGGCTCGACGCCAACAAGATGAAGCAGAACGGAACATGAAACTGGCTCAACGGGAGCTGATTCGCGGGAAGGGAACAGTCGACATGTTGGAACAGTATGGAACAGTGACATACTTGCAGCTGGTAAAAGGATGTTCATTTCCCCGAAGATTATATGTCATCTAGTTGCTCTAGTTCTTGACTCCCAGATGCAGAAAAGGTCACGACTTTCTTGTTGCCTCTCCAGAAACGAAGGGTACTGATGGGTACAGTATCATTGCCATGTCTAACTAAGTATGATCTAGAAATATTGGGATCACATTTGGTTAACACATGATAGAACCGTAATATACAGCCATCGGAAGATGGAGAAGAAGTTGATGAAACGGATGACCTCAATGGTTGATCCTGGCATCATGGCATACATAACACAACGCAACCCAACACAACACAGCATTACATTATTTTACATTATACATTAAAGCACATTACATTGCATTACCTTACATACGTTACATTGCATTACGTTACATTATATCACATTACATTACATTATACTTCCCACCGCGATTATAGAAGATATTCGGGAATTATTGGATAACCAATCTTCTATTTAAAATTCAAAACTGGTTTGGAGTTTGGACGCGCAGAAAATCACATTTTAAATAGAAGATACTGTAAATTAATTCAAAGACCCAACATGGTAGAACATCTGGGATGTTGGAGGTACTTTTGCACTCTCCGCAACTATGGTCCCGGGAGGGTCCAAACTGATAGTTTCAAGTTTCAAGGCTTCCCAGAAACATTTCATACAGAAAATATACAAACATGTTAGAATATTTTCAAATAATATTATTCCTGCCCACCCCTGAAAGCCAAGATTCTCCAATGTTCTGTGCAAAAATGGGTGTTTTGGGGCTTCCCCAAGGCATTTCAAATAGAAGCTATTCAAATATGTTATTCCCGCCCACCCCCGCAAGTCCAGATTCGCCAATTTTATTTGCAAAACTCGTTGTTTTGAGGCCTTCCCAAAGGTATTTCAAATAGAAGATATTCAAATTTATCTCCTGCCCGCCCCTCACAGCTCAAATTCTCCAAGTTGTTCTTGCAAAACCGGCTGTTTTGAGGCTTTCCCAAAGGTGTTTTGAATAGAAGATATTCAAATATATCATTTTTGCATCACCCCTGGCAGCCCAGATATTCTCCAATTTTACGTGCAAAACCGGCTGTTTTGAGGCTTTCCCGAAGGCATTTCAAATTAGAAGATAATCAAATTATTGCCTTTCTGCAGGGATCTCGAGGTTAGAGCATGATCTGAGAATGTTTTTGACAATTGGATGTATGTTTTTCCTAGTGTTGTTTCGATGTTTCGGGATCCCTATTATCATTTTTCATTTGAGGACTGTGGTTTTTGTGCCCCCTTTTGTGCCCAACCTATGAAGGCCCAAAACCAAGCAAAAAAACAATGATCTTCTAATTGAAAATTGTTCTTCATGCATTTGGGATCTGTCGAACTCATGGGGTTACAAACCAATATCTTCTATTTAAAACTAATTTGGTGGAACCCTCTGGATTCCCTCATGAAATATCATCTTCTATTTGAGAAGTGTTTTTCAGTACTCCTCGAATATCTTCTATTTAAAAAATCAATAGCATTTCAGATTATTTTCTATTCAAAAAGGGGTTTGAATCACCATCCCCCAATCAAACAAACAAAAAAACCTGGGGTTTTTTAAACAGTTTTTCACCGACCCCACCCCCCGAAGGCGGGAGTGCAAAAGTACCTTTGGCCGGGTCCCACTTCGGGAGGTACTTTTGCACTCCCCTCTTCGGGGGGTTACCCGAGTCCAGGCGTCAATGTTCTATTGGTTTTATGTAAGTTCCTGCAAAAACAACAAAAAATAGCAGTGGAACAAAAGATCTTTAAATAAAAGATATTGCAAAGACAATCCCAATGTTGAGGGGTTTATTGTTGGATTTTTTGTCATTTGAGCTACTTTTGCACTCTGCAATATGACCTATTTAAAGCGCCCAAAGGCCGCACGCCCAAAATGCATCTTCTATTTAGAAAAATCCTGAACATGTTCTATAATCGTAGGGAAAAGTACCCTCTGGTAATTTAACATAACTATGGAAAATCACCATTTTCAATGGGAAAATCCACAATAGATGGCCATTTTCAATAGCTATGTTAAATTACCAGAGGGTACACCTGAGATTGCATTGTATATATATATATATACGTAAACAGATCATAGATAGATGGCAGACACTGGAGCAATATATAACTCGAACAAGCGATGGTTAGATCGATCCTCCTGGGCAAAATTTGCAACGCCGACACAGTACTGAAATGTACTGAACATGTCAAGTCTACCTGTGGGTTGGTTGTCTTGCATTTTGGACTCCATTTTTTGGACTCTGGTTGATTAAATCCCCATATTCTGTGTTGGTTGAATGTGAAATCCATTTCTATAAATCATCCTGTTTGTCGCTTGGATCTCAATTTTTGCCAGTTAAATGGATATATTATATAAGCCCCTTACATCCCCTTACTGTATCTTTTCTTGTGGAATCCCAATTTTTTGTTGGTTAAATCCGGATTCTTGTCACTTAAATCTACAACTTCATTCGTTTACTCCGAACGTTTGTTGGTTGACCTTAATTTGTTCTGGTGGTTTCTCTTAAAATGGAGTACAACTCTAATTTATGGCCATTTAAGTATGGAAATGATTCGTTCAAACCATTGGATTCTAGCGTACCCCATTGTTGGACACTTCCTTGTTGGCGAAGAAAGTCTTGCGTCACCCCGCAGGAGGCAAGAGAAGCTCATCAGGAGAAGGACAAAGCCCTTCGGCAGCGCGATGCAGCAGAGGACCGATGGTGAGGTTTTTCCTGTTGCACAGATGGTTTGTCCTCAAACAGTTGGAGTTGGAGATATACTATTCAACCAACAAAAGTAGGGATAGAATGGGATATCAATAGAATAAGACAATTCACCGCAATTGCAATTTAGGGGGTGAACTTATCATAAACCATTGATTCTTGGGGTGTCCTATTTTAAGACCAACCTGTAAAGAAATTGGGATTGTTCTATGTTCTTCTTGGGTTTTCTAAATGGCTTATCAGCTTGCCCTTATTGAATTGGGAATGGCTCAGAATTGGCAAAGATGGATAGTTTGACCCAAACATAAACAACTTTGGTGGGTCCACAAGGGCCCCGAAAGGCAGGTGGACATGCATCTGGTCATTGCCCCTGAACTCGGACTACAATGAGATATACTGGGATATAGTTGGAATATATAATGGAAACATGTTTCTGAAAACAACAGTTTTGGAGGCTACTGGTTTTGGTCACCCAGTTTCTGCCCAATTTGATACATGTCCCATTGATGTCCCTGATCCTGCAGGAAGCTCGTCGTGGGGCGGAGGCATGGGACCCCTCACCGGTGCAAATCCGATGCCGCTGATTCCCAGAAAATCTACCCGTTTTTCCCGGGTTGAAACCATGGCACTCCCAGGCGCAACGCGATGAAGCTTACCGAGCCAAAGAAGCAGCAGAGGCCTCTGAGGCATATGACTGGAGCTCAGTGGTGACAGGCGTCCAGGATGGTTCTTTTTGGGACTGGTTGGGCGGTTCTGTAGATACTAGTTTATTTCCATCCAAATTTGGGATTCACTCAATGCCATGTTCAGAATTTGAGTCACCAGCCAGTTGGGGGTCATAGTAAACATCATCCCATTATGAGGGATATACCATGGATATACCATGATATACCCAGTTTAACAGATCCCGATTGGGCCGTCGGTTGCTTACGGCGTCAAACTACTGGGATCATCCCCCTCGAAGTCCATTGGCCAAAAAGTTCACTTGTCTCCCGAGGCCAAAGAGCAAGCTGAAGTCTTCCAACAGGCGGCCTGTTTTTTTTTGTGGAAGGACTCTTAAAACCACCACTTATTGGTTTCTTTGCAAATCGATGCTTTCAAGAAAACAACATGTTTCCAAGCAAGAAGTCATTCAGGCAACCATTTGCAATACATCTTACAATATCTTACAATGTGAGGGATTGAGAGCAAGGGACAAATCATGGCAAATCCAGACAAATCTCTCTTGTAGATTTTGTGTGTGTGTGATTCAGAACTGGATATGTTTTTAAGATATTTTAGCGGATGATCATACAAAGACCCGCGCCATGCTCGAATTTCGAAGAAATTTTGCAGAGGTTCAAATATTCACGGCCTAAAGCCATCTAGAACCCTGAATTTTCAATGATTTTCAGCTATAGTGTATCAAGAATGCGCAGGCTTTGCAAGCTTTATTTACATACATATTTTTACCATTTTGCAAGGCGTGAAATCTTAGCCAACCACTCACGTGCAGGCTCGGTTAAAAGCAGAGGCAAGGCAGAGAAAGGCTGAGGAACAGGCGCTGCTGGTACCATGGAACCAGTCATACCCTGATCTCCCAACTGGTTTTTACATGTTTTTACTAAGGATTAGATTATAGTGATTATATTAGATGCTTGAATGTGCTGCTGGTACCATAAGACTGAGACATTTTAGTCTTGGGTATTTGACAAAGTTTTCAAGTGCTGCTGGTACCATAAGACTGATAAATTTTAGTCTTGGGTATTTGACGAAGTTTTCAAGTGCTGCTGGTACCATAAGACTGATAAATTTTAGTCTTGGGTATTTGACGAAGTTTTCAAGTGCTGCTAGTACCATAAGACTGAGAAATTTTAGTCTTGGGTATTTGACGAAGTTTTCAAGGACAAATCACAAACTCAGAAGGTACTAGGCCGGTGTGATAAGAGGCTACGACTACTGGATCTTGAAGAACAAGACTGCAACAGAAAGCCAATTCTTGGCAAACTTGAGATGATGTCTGACAGTGTATCAGGTTCTTTCCCAAATCTCTTTGCAAAAAACATCTGTTGGCTGAACCTGGTGGCATCCCTTAGCCCTTCTGACCGAGATTTTCCGAGATGCGACGGCCAGGTTCGAAAGAAGCAGAAGAAGATTCAGAGCCTTCAAAGAATGCTGGCAGAGATTGGCTTGACACCCAGATGATTTAAGGTTTGGTACCTGATGGTACCTGATAGCCTGGGGATGCCTGGGTACATTTACCACCATCAAATGGCCAGCTACTAGGGAAATGCTGAAAGTCACCAGTGGATGGAATGGGGTACCCTATTTTATCCTATTTTTAGACAAATCAATATGGGGCTCATTTTGTTTGCATGCTTGAGGTTGGCCCATGATTTTTCGAACGCCACTTTCGCTGACCGTGATTCGATCGGTGCAGTTTTAGCGCTTCTTGTTTTTCCGCGTGTGATTGCCAACAAGACCTGTAGCATTTCCGTAAAGCGGGAAAGGATCACATGAGCAGTGTTCAAAACCCTTGTGAGTTGATGACTAGTTTAGGGGGTATACACTATGTATATATTGGTGGTTATCTTGGGTCATTATGAACTGGGAACCCCTATTGACCAATAAGTAGAGTTCAATGATTCCATTCCCTGCAAAATGTTCATCTCCGGATCTGTCAAGTGTTCAGTCTCAACATAGACACAAACCAACACAGAAAGGCAGACATGAGTCAATAGTTATGTTCACTGGAGAATATCCTAAATAGATAGTTATAGATAGTCAATAGATCGTTGATAGTGAAATCAACCCCCAAATTATAGCTATATAATAGTTTTACTATATTGTACTAATGTTTGCTATTCAAAAACACACACTTTATGGGTCCATTAGTGTCCCATTTTTCATCCATACTTTCTGAGGTGCTGAGAGCGATAGTGACGCACCACCCGATGAGAGGGCTCCAGCGTTCTTTGTGAATGAAGATGGAACAAAGGCGGGCGATGGATACGAACTACGGGCTGCTGGTGTTATGGATTTACACAATGTGTACACCATCGGAAATGTCAGGCAATGTGTCTTGTATCAACAGCTTAAGAGTGGACGTATACATACCAGTCTCTGGTACTCAAACATGGCTTGCTGCAAAATCCACCATTTACATCCATTTCCCATCATTTACCATCATTTAGCTATATTTAGCTATATTTAGCTTGGATTTTCCTAGCTATAAACCTCCATTTATCCTGGATTGTACTAGATTTTCCCATGATTTTCCCATGTTTTTTCCGTTTTTCCCAGCCATTCCCAGCTATGAGGTGCCAAGGCCCAGGACACGGAAAGAGCGCATGGGTTCGGCACCCCAGACACAACGGTGAAATCCGGTGAAATTGGATGGGGCCCATTTAAGTATCATGTTGTATCCATGCAAGTCATCATTGAAAAATCAATTTAACCTATATTTGGGAATGATATATAAAGTCATCAGCAGAAGATTTGGGAATGACTTTTGATCGAAGCAAGGTTCAATGATTGGTTTAAATATACCTTTTGGAATGTAAAACCAGGACATTCTGGGTGAGACGACCGGAGCCTACATGGCTGCCATGGCTTGATCATCGTGAGGCATGGCTTATCGGGAAGCAGAGTCTGCTCGCTACGAGTTGCGTATCGGCATGGTGCTGGCCTTTATCGGGAAGCGACAAGTCTTTTACGGTTTCCAAGTGTTAAAATTCAAGTGACAATCTGCGGGAAGCTCCTATATTAGAGGATCAAAACCATGTTTTCCTTAGAAAATCTAAAACGTATACCTATGTATCAATTCATCAAACGATACGATGTGAATGCTCTTGGTTTTGTCTGGGTCAGAATTGCCGCAAAACATTGGATGGTCACGCGTGTCAACACAAAAAAAACTGTGGGGAGGAATGGTTAGCCACTACCGTACTGTGTGAATGGATGCAGCAAAAAAAACAGAAACATTTTAGATCCCTTGGGCATGTTGCCCAAGAGTGCCTATTCCGAATATTTCTTAATGTGCACTGAAAGTGTCGAAGCCTCACTGTGGGAGTTTCTTTCATGTCCAGAAGCATCCAGAAGCTAACTGTGATCTGCGGCTCGCTGACTACAACTCTGACCTGTCTGAAGTGTCGCAGAAAATGTCGCCATTGGCTCAGTCCGTTCCATTGAAGGGCCCCAGGGTGGGTCACACCGTCTTTGGCCTGGGTCTTGGTGGCAGGAAGCGCTGGTAGATGTAATATAGATTTAATATAATATAATATAAGATTACATAATCTGATATGACATGCGCAATATAATATAACTTAATATAATATAATGTGATATAATATAATATAATATAATATGATATGATATGATCTGATATATATATATATATATAATATAATGTGATATAATATAATATGATATTATAATATATATAATATTACAATATATATATATATATCAATATATATATATATGATAATAATAATAAATATGTATATATATATATATTATAATATATATAATATCTGTAAATGTTTCTCTTGGTAATCCAAAGTGTGAGGAACGACCATTTTTCAGGTCTCTCATATCTAAACAAAAAAACACAACATATAAATATAACAAGGTAAGAATAGATAAGACCATACAACATCAAATACAATCAAACACACATGTATATATACAATTAACACTAAATTACTAAATAGACAGAACAGATACCTACATAGATGAATGCAAATAAACATGTACATACATGTTTATCCTAATTTATACATGGTTTCACCTCACTTCCAACTGCTAGACTTGTCCCAAGCTGCGCTTGGCCGCCCCAGGTCGTGGCTTCGCAGTACTTGGCTGCGCAAGCTATGGTTGGAGCCTTGGATCAGCCTGGGTTCCTGTATCTATTTCTATCAGTTTTGGATATTGATTAGATTTGCATTAGTATATTTGATATATATTCCATTGGTATTAGGATTTGAATGGATTTGATATATACTAATAATCAACAATAATCTATTTCCAAATATTTGATTATCGATATCATTAGTAGAATTTGGTATTCCGTTACATAGTATATTGATGTATACCGGATATAGATCCATTTCCATCATTAGTATATTTGATATATTTCCATTGGTAATGGGATTTGATAGATACTAATAATCAACAATAATCCTCTGTTGGTAATATCATATCCTATATATATATATATACCTATCCATTACCCTGGGGTAAACTAACATAGATGTGGAACATGGCCGGCCCATTTATCGATGATTTACCCTATATATATATATATACATAGAGACAAGGGTGATTTTCCACATCTATCTTAGTTTGCAGGAGGGTGAGATGAAACCATCCTGAGGTCAATCTGGTGTTGCTTGCACTGCTTGCGTTGAGCAGTGGACTGAAGCTTTCTGACAAGCAGGCGCACGGTTGCGCAGGATTTGAAGGTGTGGACAAGGCAGTCTCAACTGGGTCTATTTGTGGTTTCCTAAATTTCGGACCCCAAAATCATCAAAGATGGGTCATTCTTAGGGGGAAAGCAATGGTTTTGGGCACCCATTTTAGGATTTTTTCCCCCAATGTTCGATTCTATATATGTTTCAATCATATGTTCAGGATCATGATCTCTAAAGACTACTATTTTCCCGGATCCCCGGACCATCAGTGGTCCAAGCCTTAGGAGTTTGACTACGATCATCTACAGAGCAGCAACTTGGTGGTGACGTCTCCCAAGCAAGGCAAGAGAGATTCCATCATTTCTATAGTTTAGACAAATTCATTATATTTAGAATCTATCTATATATATATATGTGATTTACTTAGTTCAAAGGGATATGTTGAACTCTATGGAAATTAGGTTTTGTAAGTCAACCCGGTGCCCCAAAACCAAGGTATTGTGCGCATCCAAACGGTCGGTGCCAGCTTCGACTGGTGCCTCAGCTGATACGGAGCTAAAGGAACATGAAGTCAGAGCAGTTTGAGTTCCTGATCATCAACTTTCTTCATTTTTTGTTCTGTGCTGGTCAAAAAATGGGGGATACTCCAATTTATGGCCATTTGAATGGCCATTTCAGTGGGAAAAATGATGGTAGACAAACAGTCTGTGGGGTAGCCCATTGACCAAGTCGTGGCCGAGGTTTCGTCCCTTCAACCCGCAGGATGGACAAGTGAGTCTGGGAAGCGGCTTCATTGTCAAAAGCCCAGAGGTAATACAACATGGCTTTGTCCAAAAACAATCAAAAACATGGATACCCCAAGAAAAACCTCAATTTATAGCCATTGAAACATAGGAAAAAGATGGAAAAAGAGTAGGAACAAACGCTGAAGCATCAAATTTGGGGGTGTTTTATTTTTAGACAAACCACTATGACCAATGTTTTCACTGTGTGGACTTCAGATACTTGAAGGCCAAGTACGAGCCCATAGCAAAGAGCATGAAGGTAGCATCACCAGTCAAGTGTCTATTCAGAGCTATCATTTGCAGTCTATATAAAGCTTGTGGTCTCGGGTTTGTAGACGATGGGTGTTTGATGGTATGTGCCAGCCAAGGTCCAAACGGAACCTTACATCCTCATTGCAACGAACCAGCATGCGAGTTGCTTAGGTTTATCTCGTGACTGTGTGTTGGAATGGATGCAACTGATCAAAAACGGCGGAAAATGGCAAGACTCTCCATCCTCCAAACCCACAAGGTACAGTACACCAAGAAAACCGAAACCGTTCGGATTTTGGGGAGCCCAAGTTCAAGACAAACACGGTTGTATCCGCTTGCTCGAATCAAACATGCCAGGGTCGGCGACACCCCTGTGGTCTGCATGCGAGGTGATTAACGATGCACTGCGCGTGCAAGTCCAGCTTTTGCTGCATAGTTTGCGCCTCTGGATTTCTCTGGTGCTGTTCTGATGCCCTCCAGTGATGCTCACTGTTGCTGCAACATTCTGCAACAAGGGATATCCTAAGATGTAGTGTGGGACAGTTGTATGATTTGACTACTTCTTTCTTGTAGGACCAAGGCATCTTTGCTTCCAAACAGAATCGAAAAGACCATGAAGATCTGTGGCTTCGATGGGCTTCAGGTCAGATGAAGTGGGATGTGCAGATCGTTTCCGCTTGCCGTGGAGCTTGGCTTGGGAAACTGGATGGGATAGAATCAACTCAGAATCAACAGAGGTGTTTCTCTGAGTCATTCTGGAAATTGCTTCATGATTTTCTTTTGCCTTGCTGCATTTATGCTACCGCTGATCCAGCAAGTCGTATGTGGTAGGAGATCATCTGAGGCCCCAAGTTTGACCTGGCCCTACTCACCTTGAAGGATGACCAGGTGGGAATTGGATTGGGGAACTGGGCACCATAGGGGAACTATTCAGGTTGGTAAAAATAGGTATTTTTGATCCAGATTGTTGTAAAGCATTTGATGTTTCACAGCATCATCATCTTTGACAGTTTGTGTTTATAGTTTTTTTGGAACAGACTGAAAACATACCTAAACATTTCTACAAACCTCTGGCCTTTCAAGGTCCTTAAATTGCGACAAACAGTTTTCTGCGCCCTGCAGAGGCTCAAAGCTGTGCTAGTTTAGAATTCGATCCTGTCTTTTTTGATCTGTTGTTCTCTCAGGTTTGCCCGAAAATAGGGTACCGCCAAAGACGGTCTCATTGTGTCTCATCATATTCCTCAATTTGATGGCAACTTTTGGGGTATACCTCATTTTCAGACAGGCCCATATGAGGCATTCTAGAAACGAAGGACTCCAAATTCACCTCAGTTATTGGTCATGGTAATACATATATATATAATATAAGGAGATTTCGGGTTTTGGGTATACCCAATTTATTGGTCATCTTTCCCATATTCAGAATGTCATAACATATATATATATATATACCTATATGTACTACATCAAATTATTCCATATTATATCCAACTAGATCACTGAATATTCATTGGTTCGATCCCCACATATTTTCCCATATTTTTCCCATATCCCCATGTTATCCCCATATTTCATTGGTTGATCTGGTCAGATCCCACCACTCCGGCAGGGCTTCAAGGCGACTCTGCGTAAGGCACATCTGGAAGTCCAGCCTCTCATCCTGCGACCCGGCACCTTATTGATTTGTTTGGAGGTGGGCTATATACGTTCTGTTTATCTATTATATTATATTATAATATATTATATATATCATATATATGAGAAATCTATTCTATATATATATATCATATGATCATATATGAGAATATATGATAAATAATCAATGTATATATATATATACAGTATATGTTTTGTTGAAATATGGAGAATGTAAGCAGTAAAAATGGGGGGGTATAATGATGTAGAATGGGCATATTTGGGATATACTGGGAATGAATGGGATGTAATGGGATATGAATCCTCAATCTATGGCCAATTTAAATGGGGAACACACAGTTTTCAACAACTATTTCTTGGGGTAATTTATTTTCGGACAAAGTCATTTGGGAGTGCCGACCAAAAACAAAAAGGGAACTACACCGTTGGCCACTTGAGCAAACCATTGCTACCCCCACCCCCATTTGACTCCCAGCATCCCCTGACTCATCCCAGGTCGCAGCATGTAGCAGAGATGGGAGAAGATGTGGTTGCCCTGGGCTTTCCACTGGGTCAGAACTCATTGAAGATTTCGAAAGGTGCCCACGAAAAAACAGTGGTCACCCCCAAATTGGGTTATTTCTGATCCAGAAATTATAGAGTGAAAGTTTATATTAATTTATGATAATTTGCCCAGATGTCCATTGTGGTGGCAGTGTTTGACAGGCTACTGGATCAATGGTGGCATTTCCCATCATATTTGTACTCGTATGACTTCGTATGATGTGGAAACAGAACGTATTCAAGTCAGCATGTGCCTTGAGTTGGCTTCAACCTTGGGACCCTTGGGAATTGTGATCCTGAAATCCAAGTGAATCCCAACGCAAGGATGTGAGCCTGCAGGCAATGTAGCTGGCAACGAGATCGTGAGCAACAATCTCTGTATTCAGTGCGAACCTTACCTTGGTGTCTTCTGCATACTCTAGTGGCAGATCGGGATGTGTTGCCGAAATTGCTGATGTTTTCCACAGAATCGCGAATGGTTTTCGGGAGCCAGCTTGATGTCGAGAGTGTGTCACTATATGGAAACATTCTCATTGTGGGTAGGTATGCAGCAAAATCAGTGAAATTCCTCTCAGCAAATTGGATGCCCAATATATTCCAGTCATGAAATGGTCAAGAGTCATGAATGTTGACCATCATAGTTCCCCACCGGATGCGAAGAAAACACAGGTCCACTGCACCCATCTCTCCGGGCAACAGTCTGTCTCTCAAGCGCAGTGAGTGTCACTCAGTTTCCGCCGGATCAATTTCACATGTCAAAAGTTGCCACATCAAAACTTTTGCAACCGATTATGGGGCTCTGGACCTGGATTATGGGTCTTCCACATGTGGTTTCATGGACCTTTTTCTTTACATAAATCAACCTAAATCAACCCTTCCTTTGAAAGGTTTTGATGTTAATACAGGTAGCCTGCTAAGATTGTTAAGATATGACCATGCCGACAACTAAGATTCCTTCGACCAATGAGATCATTGGCCCGCAATTCTTATTTAACCAATTGGGACCCTTTAGCCCTTTAGCCGCTAATTGGAAACCATGTTCTTTCAAACCCTTTTCCAATTCTATTGACGCAAAAGGATGTCCAGTCCAAATTTCGAAATAACATCATTCCTAAATCGAAATTCTGTTCAATGGGATCCCAGGTCAAACAACTTTAAAGTGATTGCATTTTACATATTCAGGATCTAATTGGGATTAACTGGGTATATGGAGGCAGCAGCGACCGAAAATAGCCAAGACACATGCCTTTTGAACTATAGTAAAGGTGCATAGAGCCAACAAATCAAGATAGTAACAATCCCCAAAAAACTCAAATCTGTCAAAGGTTCAATTTTGTTAGGATCTAAACCTTAAATTTTTCAGCAACTTATTTTACAGACTTTGTGGACCTTTTTTCCGTTGCGGACGATTATGGGGCATGAGACGTCCTGAGATCTGCTGAAAAAAAAAAAAATCGGCGGAACTTTTGGGGGCCTGTGCCCCTTGATCGGTTGCATTTGTTTTTTTACGGACTTTGTCCGTCGGCGGAACTCCACTACACAAATTGTGTACCTGACTTCTGCTGAAAAAAAAAAAATCGGCGGAACTTTTGGAGGCCTCTGCCCCTTGATCGCTTGCAATTTTTTTTACGGACTATGGTTTTTTTGTTTTTCGGCGGAACTCCACTACACAAATTATGCACCTGACATCTGCTGAAAAAGTTTTTTTTCAGCGGAACTTAGTATTCAGACCTATGGTTCGGCGGAACTCAACATCACAAAATGTGTAGTGGACTTCTGCTGATTCAATGGTTTTCCCTAGGATTTCTGCTGATTTTTTTTTTTTCGGCGGAACTCAACATCACAAAATGTGCGCCTGAGTTCTGCTGATTTGTATGGATTTTCGGCGGAAGTTCATAAGTTTAGTAACAGAGCGTCCCTGCAGCATTTTCTCTCATTGGCTTGTTACTGACCCAGCTGCAATGGATGCAATGGAAGAGGATTGGAGTGAGCCTGAATTTCAGGACACTGAATTCAAAGTATGCCCCGTTTAATTGATGGACTCTAGGTCCTCTAACATATATTCTCAAGTTTTTTGGGAATTAAATCTTGTATGGGAAATATCACCCTGCCACATATATATATAATATAAACATCATACATATATACATATATGTGTTTCTATCCAGGTATGTACACACCGACACATAAAAGACATATGTGTATATGTAAATATATATATATATGTTTGTAGGTCTGACATACGTACATATATATATATATATGTATGTATGTGAATATATACTTATGAGTATACATATTTCATCGGATTCAATATGAATTCGACACACACACATATATATATATACACAACTGTCTATATCTATCTATCACCCTGAACCACCTCTTGGTGTGTGTGTGTGTCTGCGGAGATGGGAATGCTGTGTTATTATCTATTATCTTAAATATATTTTAATCAGTTATATTTAGTATGAAGGAAGTATATGTTGGTATTATATCACATGACATATATATATATATATCACATGATCTAAATACAAATACACAAACACATATATATTATATAGTTATATAATCATATACGTGTACCTATATACATATATATAAATATATTTATACATAGCTATAATTTCGTATGGGTATAATATGGGGCTCAAAGGATCCAAATTGATGTCCCCAAATCAAAATCCCAAGCCCCATAATTGACTGCAAAAGTTTATCATCTATTTTCATGGGGGATTTCCCAAGTTTTTCAAGTTTACCCACTATTAAACTATATGATTATCCCATATTATCAGATCATGATTTAATAGAATTGACCTATCATTTCACCGAGCCGGAGGTGGTGGACCCTTGTTGGACACCGCGGGAAAGGAGGCCCGAGCCTGAGCCGGGTTTTTAGTGGCAGAATTCTCCTCCCAGCTGACATGTCTTAAGATTTCATGAAACAGCCGGTTCTTTCTCAAGATCACAGATCCAAAAAAGGCATAATTATATATATAATTATAAGATTGTTGGATACAGAAACACCATGAAACACATTGAAAAACACCCGGTTCGTTCTTTCTTTCTCAATCTCCGAGATCTTAAAAGCCATAGAAGTATTGGAACATACTGGAACTAAGATCGGAATTCCTTCTGGGAAAACCTGGGAAAACTAAATCGCCAGGTCCTCGGTGTGAATTTTGCTGGAGCAACTCGAGGCAGGAGATGACAGTGATGAAATTCAGAGCCACAACAGTCGGTGGGATTTAGAGCCTTACCATTAATGGAATTTAATGGATACTTATTGGATATGAATAGACCAAACAATATACGGGATATTCATATGAATGATATGACATATATTTGACATATAATCATGATGAAATACCAACTGACACTAGAAGTCTTCGTATTTCTGGGGATGCAGATCCAAGTGGCCAGTTGTGGCTAGTTGTGGCTACAACTGGACTCCACCAGCCAGCTGGAGGCGAGAATATCAACTACGTGATCCCCGCTTTCAGAGTCCAGGCGCTAAAAAAATGGTGATGGGAAACCCCTGAAGCTGTCACCATGGCTAGGATGGTGACCCTGGTTGAGAACTACGGTAATAAGAATGAATGAGAACTCGAGGGAGCTCGGGCGTCTATGTGTGAAGCCGTTCTGTTCCATTGCCTATGGTGATCACGTGTTTGAGGCCCTTATCAATCTGCACTTGAAGGACAGCTCAACAGTGCGGGGACGCGCGGACCAAGATCTGAAGTTAAGCAAATATGTCATGTAATTAGCCACTCAAGGCAATTTTCATAAATTTTCCTTCGAAGTTGGACACTGTAGGGCTTGGTAAGACACAGGAACAAACGTGCAGCAAGTACTGATTTGAATATTGGAATGGATAGGTCCTAATTATGTTATCCCATGGGTCCCATGGCGCAGTTGCAGATGCAGGAGCAGCAAAGCCCCCCATGGATTCGTGGCGGTTTTAAGACCCCAGGGCATGGCCTCGTCATCATCCATCCTAACGAGGCGCGAAGTTTGCGACTTGGGCACTTGCGAGTTACCTGGTGAACCGTGGGAAATGCCACGGACATGTGCTGTTTGTACTATATTTATACATACCGTTACATAGCTGATAGTATATATTAGTATATAATATATTAGTATGTATCCTTATTTTACCACAAAAAGGAAGACTTGTTTCAACTTCCGCTTAGAAACCAGAAAATGAGGCGCTGCTTTTTTTCCAAGGAGTTGAAAGGAGTCGCGACATGTCCTGCGGTTACTTTTCCGTTCGTTTTCCAAGTGTACCATGAACTCCAAGCAGCCAGACTCGAATACTATGGTTCATTAGGGCGGTACAGATTGCCTACAAATATATCCTCAAGTAACTGCTGATAGGGAGAACCATCAATTATTTTCCTTTACGGGTCCCATCTGTGATTTGTTGCTCCGAATCTTGGGGTCGGTTGACAGCAGTCCGTGCGCAGGCTCTCTACAACTACTCAGAAGGATGCAAGGAGCTGTGCTTGGCATCATGGCATCCTCTTTCAAGGGCAGAGCCTCATATTATGTGCAGGTCAATTTAGGCCGATCAAGGCACCAGGCAGAACTGGTCCTTGCTGCTCATGTTGTTCAGGAGGGTGTCTTCGTGGGAAGGGTTCATGACGACGGCTTCATGAGCAAGGCCAAGCCGTGAGTCGGGCCGTGCTGATCTTGGACAAAGGACAAGTGGCCTCCTGCAGCCAGGCCAAACCAGCACTTCAGGAGGGCAGCATGCTCCTTTCCGTATGAGTCTCAGAGATGCTGTGATTCTCTTTGCCAAACGATTTGTATCCCAGTCAGTCCTACTGAAGCCTATATTGTCCTAGCCTATATTCATATCGTCATCATATGTATATCTATATATTCTATCTCTCTCTCTCTCTCTCTCTACATATGTCATATTATATATATATATTTCTGTGTTATACACTCGTGTGATGACTCATGTGTGCATAATAAGATACATATGCATTCTTCATTCCTTTAAAGTGAGGATAGGAGTGGCCTTTATCATCTTTTGTTTCATTCCTACATATATGTATGTATTATATACCCTCTGGTTATTTAACATAGCCATGGAAAATTGCCCATTCATAGATGATTTTCCTATTAATACCTCCATTTAAAGGGGATTTTCCATGGCTATGTTAAATAACCAGAGGGTATATATATATAATATGTGCACACATATATATATATATATACACATATGAGCCAGGTCCTAGGATCCCCACACCACACCCAAGGCACGCTATTTACAGCATTTTGGAAGCACAGCCTCCCATTTGAGAGCCACAACCTCGTCGCTGGACCCTGTCGAGCTGTATATTTCCAACACATCAATCTAAATCTAGCAAAATCTCGCACATACTATCCAAAACATGCTTATGTACTGCCTATAGCGTACCTCACACATGGTTTACCACTCATTGTATATAATTATATATATATATATATACATACATACCTACAAATACATAATATACATAATATACCTAATATACATAATATACCTAATGCACATAATATACATAATATATATACATAATGTACATAATATACCTAATGCACATAATATACACAATATACATAATGTACATAATATACCTACTGTACATCATATACATAATATACATAATGTACATAATATACATAATATACATAATATACATAATATACATAATTTACATAAGATGTTTAAAATGTATATGTATCATTACATAGCATGATTTGTACTTATGGATAATTATATATAATATACATATATACAAATCACCAAGTAACATTACATACATATTACATACCTATGTATAGTATATACATTGCCTCACCAATACCTCTATACTCCTGACACCCTACATATACTACCTACACATGTACTACATCGAAGCCATATACGAATCAATGCATAGCGTGCCCATATACTATATACCATATATACTCCCTGCAAACTCCCTACATACTCTCCATGTACTCCCTATAACTGGGCATTAAGAACTTACAGCTGCACGAACACTGCCTATGTAGGATTGTTGTTGTTGTTGGGAACCCCCCAGGCCACAGGGGGGGAGGGGGGAACCATCTGGCTGGGGAGGGGGTCTGGTGATCCCTGCTCATTTTTTTGGTATCTATATATATGTATATTATATATATATACATATATATATTATTATATAATATATATATATATATTATGTATGTATATACATATGTATATATATATAATTATAATAAATTAATATACACATACATAATCATACATACGTATATCTATCCATGTCTATACAGTATATCTGTTGGGCAAACCTGACCTGTGACTCTTGGGACAGATCCGACTCGCAGGTGGCTGGTCGTCCACTGGATCGTTTCAGCAAAGCGGACATCAAGGATCTGATGCACGGCAAGGTCGGGGTCAACCCTTGGAAAAAATCCATTGGAGGCTCAGAAAATGTCAAACATGCCAAGAAATCGCTTGAAATTTGAAATCGAACTTTTGGCACTGTCAAAACGCCTGTTGTGCTTGTGATTCTAAGTGTCTTGATGTGTTTTATTCATTTGTCCATATTTGTCCGGTGACATCCTGTGATTTTCTTGATTTCTTTGACCTTTCTGATACAACCACCCTTGCAGACCTATGGCCAATATGACCCAGCTATGGCTTCCAGACAGCAGCTTGACCGCCTCCCAGCGCCTGTAGGCTGCCTTAGAGGACCTGTTCTTCATCCAATCAGACCTGAAATCCGATGTGCGCAGCTTGGACAAAGCTTCACAGCTTCACAGCCTGTCATGAAATCAATGGGAGATCTTCAGGATCCTAAAATGGAGGTACGTTAGTACCATATTTCTGGCCATATTTTGCTGGGATATTCCCTGAAACTAAGGCCTGACAAATAGGCGTTATATATGGTTGGTACCTCCAAATTTAGGTTCCTGAAATGGCCATTGATGAAATATGAGGACTTTTGATGATTGATGGTCATGAGGGCCATGAAGGGGTCTGAGTCGCGGGCCAGGTGAGTTTTCAGTCTTGCCTCAAAGGCAAAATCACCGATCACAAGGCCAGGGGGGCGTCTAGCTCTATCAAGGCCAGGTTGGGAAAAACTGGGGCATCCCAAAGGTCAGATGGGTTGGTCGTTTCAAACAATACATGTTTCATCATGTTTCATCATATTGTTCAAGCCTTTTTGGGATGATGCTTTCCATTTTTTTGCAACATATCTCAACTGACTAGTATTTTCCGTCAAACCACTAACCAGCAGAGCTTGAGGTCATTTTGGGTTCTGCCGTGTCCAGGTGAACACCAGCAAGACACCGGATTTCGACCAGGCCATCTGAGCAGTGGTTCGCTATGGCTATCCACGGCGAGCTACACCAAGTCTCCCAACCACATAAGCAGTGTTCGAAACCCCTGTTGGTTGATGATTGCGGGATTATATTACCCAATATATTGTGGATTATAATAATCTAAAAGGGACATCCCATCTTTATTTCTTTGGTATTTCACCGTTTTTTCCTGGTGAAGAACTTCAGATGTGATGACATCCCACACCAGGGCATCGTTTTTGTTGATGAGCCCGTCACTGATGGATGGACCCAACAATATGCCCGAGCCTTGATGCGGACATACGTTTCTGAGCAGACATTGGCAAAACATGGCAATGTTTAAACTATGGCAAAATTGGCAAAACATGGCAGTCAAACTTGAAATATCTTTTGAAGGACACGGCTTACAGAGATGATGAAGATAAGACAGTATCTGGTGACAATCCGTCACAGTGAAACGCTCATTCTGGTAGATTTTCCCGTGCATGTTGCAGTGCTTTCAAAGGAATCATCCAGCAAACATTGGAAAAGAGTCAAGCAGTAAGGCTCAGTAAGGCTTATCAGTAAGGAATGGATTTGAAGACGAAACAACATCTCAGATATCTCCCAGGTCTTTGTATTTTTCACCTGTCATGATTTTCTAATGAGACGCATGTGCTCCTGTTCCCTGGCGATGACTCAGGAGATTTTTGGTGATGTTGGTGTGCCTTGGCGTCGGCTGAGTGTCAAACAGGGGACTACAATGGGTGCTTGGAGGCTGTAAGATGCTGCAAGTCGTATTTTTGGGGCCAAAGTTTTTCTATCAAATCTATCAAATCTATCAAATCTGTCGGGCACAAGATGAGAAGAAATAAAAGAAGATCTCAGCTATTTTCCGCTGCCATGACAGCCTGTATTGAGAAGGTCATGGCCATGACGCAGAATCACGTGGCAGAGGCCTGGCCTGGGCCTGGGGAGAGCATTTTTGACAGTCAGGTCCCTGCTTTAGACCATAGTGGGGTCATATATTCACCAGCTCCTACCAGGTTTTTCATTTGAAGATATTGAAGACTTGTAATGTGAAACTCTTTGACAAAAGAACTTAAACCACATTGTGCAATCTGCACAACTCAGAGCTCAATACCTATTCCAGGGTGTTACCAACAAAGCTCATGACAGAACGCGGGCCCTCGGTCCATCTTTCCCCAAGTGTGTATCCTCATGTTCAGTTGGGTTCCAGCGGTAATGAGGGGAAGATCTTGTGTATTTTGTTCGGGGGCCTATGCTGGTTGGCCTCAAATATTCGGAATTCTCCATCCACCACCGAGATCCTTTAAGTAGTCTTATATATATAATTATATATATATATATATTATATTAGGTACCATATTCTACTGTACACCGTATCCCAACTGACTCCTATTCTTCAGGGGATTCACCCACCAACCACTTTTTTTTTTTCAGATTTCAGGCTGTCTAAGCCTTTGAAAAATCTTGTGAAAGTAGATCCTTCTGGAGAACTTTGGCGCGAGGCCTTCGCGCGCAGCGGTTCACCAAAGATCACCCGCTGGTTGCTGCCGGAGAGGGCCATAAAGCCCAGGCTGATGTGCCTAGGCCTTGAAGGTGCATTCCTTTTTTGGCACTTCGTTGTACAATCGAATTGCTATCTCTCATTGCCATCAGCAGCCAAAAGGGCTGCCCCTGAAGCTGCACCAGTAGCAGTAGCAGGGTCCCATGTTTGCCAAGGATCACATACGTGCGTCCTGGTAGCTACGCCTCAGAACCTTGGCAGAGTTGGTTCTGCCGGTAGCGATGAAAGATGCAGCAACATGACGAACAAAAATGCTGCTGATATCATTCCATCACTACCCAGTTCCTTGAACTTGTTTATGATATTTTTATGATGTTTCTTGTAGGGGCAGCAGGATCTGCCGAGACGGGTCAAAATTTGAGACAAGGAGAGCTTGGTCATTCCAAAGTGTTTTTAGGACTACTCTACCTAACTTCCTCTTTTGATCACTTTTGCACCTCTTCGTTCCTTGGCGGTTCACCTGTAATATGTTGATGGGCTTGTACGGTATGGGATCTGCAGAAGTGCACAACATTGTACAGTCAATTTTTTCTTCATATCCTGGTTGGTGGTTTGGAACATTATATGTTTTTCCATATATTGGGAATAGTAACCCCAACTGACTAATATTTTTTCAGAGGGGTTGAAACCACCAACCAGTATCACATTGTATGGCTTATTTTGTTTACCCTTTGAAATCGCTGGCTTATTGAATACCAAAGCCGGCCGATTTGTGGGTCCGTTGGTACCACGTCTGAGCCGATACACGCAAAACGCATATCAGCAGTAGAAGTGATACTTCTTGAAACTATTCCATATCATATATCATAATTATATCCCCATGATATCATGATATTCCTGTTATATCCCCATATCATATCATGATATCCCCATGGTATCCCTATTCTGGTTGGTTTTGAATCCCATACCTTTCCGGCCTTTCCCAAAAAATCAGGAAATCCTAGCGGAAGGGTCTGCAGTTGAGAAGGCTCACCTTCTGCAGCAAAATTCCGGTCGGTGGATTGAGCCAGAAAATCCATAGGGCATGAATCATTTCACTAGTTAGTCCCCAGGCAATCCATGACCTTAGTAGAACATGAGCTGTCAAACCATCATGTACCCACATTAGTGCTTTATAAATCTGTGTGATGTAAATAATGATAGACCTCTATATCAAATCCCAGGAATGATCCAGCTTAGAATGTCCTCATGTTGAGTCCATCTCTAACCATGCCAATCAACTCCTGCTTTTGCACCGGATATCTTGAAACGCCGGAGTGTTCCGTTTGCGTGGTTCAGTAAACTATGTTAAAAACTGCGCACGTTTTCAGGGCACAAGGCAGCTTGAGACTCAAAGCAAAGCCTCGGTATCCACGGAAATCGCCCACGCTGACAGCTATAAGCTTGATCACTGAGTATCTAATCGCATGAAATCCCCATATTTCGAATTATATTTATCGGGTGATATCACTTAAAGCTCAGAACAGTTTCCATTTCCCATCTTGGTTTCTCAACATGATACAAAACACATATCACAATGTATATACAGTATATATATATATATGATTATATATGTATATATAATTATATATAGATATATATCACATATCTACCCCGCAAACCTCCACATGTTGCAGCCATATCCGTTCAGCGCGGATGATCGATGCCATTCTGGTGACTGGCCTCCCTGCCTCGGGGCGCTCCACCTTGCTGCTGCAGCTGCTGAAGGATCCGGACCTGGCGGACGCGCGCTGTGCTGCCGGGAGACCCGGCGCTGGAGGGAAGAAATGGAGATTTGGCCGTGAAAAGTTGGGGATTTAGCCAAGTTTAGCCCTGAAGAAATGGGGATCAACTCACACAATGTGATTTAACGGTGATTTATTGATGAAGTTTGGATTTCAGCAATGGGAATTGGACACAGATCATACACAGATCAAGTCATTGGGGTACCAACGGAGCCACACATGTTGGTCGGTTTTAGGATCTGAAACCATCCATTTTTGGATCGAATCAAATTGACCCTTCGCTGTATTGGTGGAACCAACCCAAATTGTGGCGCGATTGTGTGACCGGAAGTGATCACATAGACAAGGGTTAAGCACTCCATAAGCACTCCAAACACATCTTCATTTGTGCACCAACAAGCTGTTTTTCGGTCGCTGCACTTGCAGATGCACCAAGTACTCCAAAAAATTGAAGGATTGGTCAACACAAAAAAGCGCCAACTTCCATCCCTTCCCCCTAATATTCAACACCCTGAAACCATAGTTTAGTATACGTAGGCAATTTCCAATTGGGAAATTGGGACCATAAAAATGGGGTGTTTAATATGAACAGGATGGGATCATGGAACATCTGCTGCCAGGTGTGCGTCCATCGCCATGCCAGAGCGTTTGGCTTGGTCTCTTGGTTGCATACCTTTATCCGAGGGTCGCTTCCTCACATCAATGGATATGTTCCAGGATTCCATTTGTGGTCAGCCACTTCGCATGGACAGGTTTTTTTGGGATGAATATATGTATATGTATATGTATATATATATGTATATATGTATATATATATATTATAATGTTTTGCACTTGTTTTGCGGATGTATGTTGTTTGTGCATGATTACATCGCAGTTCAAAATGCTCAAGTTGTCAGTCTTGATAATGTTGGTTTGCTTGAATCCTGAAGTGCGTTGGCAAATCACCCACAGGAAACCACATTGCTGCCAGTGGACACCTCGTGCCTTGGTCTCCATGGGAGGAGACCCAGAGAAATTCTTTTTAACAATACTTTAACAATACATGCACAGAAGTGTACATATGTATCATCATGTCTGCATGTGTATATATATATATATGTATATAAATGTATATAAATGTATATTAATATATGTATACATACTTAGGATAGTTTACATATGTGTATATATATCTATCTATCTATCTATCTATCTATCTATCTATCTATCTATCTATCTATCTATCTATCTATCTATCTATCTATCTATCTATCTATCTATCTATCTATCATCTATCTATCTATCTAATCTAATCTATCTTCTATACTATCTATCGATCTATCTATCTATCTATCATCTATCTACTATCTATCGTATCTACTATCTATCTATCTATCTATCTATCGATCTATCATCTATCTACTATCTATCTACTATCTATCTATCTATCTATCTATCTATCTATCCTATCTATCTATCTATCTATCTAATCATATCTATCTATCTATCTTATCTATATATCTATCTTCTACGATCTATCTATCTTCTATCTATCTATCTATCTATCTATCTATCTATCTATCTCTCTCTCTCTCTCTATCTCTCTCTCTCTATCTATCTATCTATCTATCTATCTATCTATCTATCTATCTATCTATCTATCTATCTATCTATCTATCTATCTATCTATCTATCTATCTATCTATCTATCTATCTATCTATCTATCTATCTGTAGTTTGATCTTTTGCAACACGACAGTCTCAATATGCACGCAGCTTGAAGTGCTGGAACGTGACCCAGTGACCCAGGCCATGTGTTCACTACGCAGAGGTCTTCGACTTTGGATCAGGCAATGGCTTGGGATGCCCATTTGGATTCTTATGAAACACTGGGACTATGGGATTCTAATGGGACAAATCATCAACTTGTGCTAGTATCTTTCTTCCACTGTATCTATATGTATCTATGGTAACATGTAGCGTCAACCAGGTTGTCGGTCCGGGGTACCACTGGCCGAAACCTCCAGGGAGATTGGTGAGGTCATCAATACATGGAGATTTCCCAAGTCATTCAAGTCATTCGACCATGACTTAGTCTTTGAACAACCATGGTGACTTGGGGATCCCTCATGACAAAAAAGAATACACAGCAAAACACATTGAGGTCTGGGTTAACATGTTGAATCCAGCCTCATTTTTGCGTACTGGATGTGCTGGCGCTGCAATTTCCAGTTTCATCTGAAACCCTTTTGGCTGTGTAAAAGTGGGTATCACTTGTTATCACTTGGTTTATCCCTCCTACAAAGAGTGGATCCTTGGCGGTAAAAAGGGGCCAATATTCCAAACAATTCCGATATTTTCCAATACAAAAACTGTGATGATTCAGGTGATTCAGCTCATACTAATCCAAGAATTCCAATACCAGGCTGTAATCCAATGCCAATCCAATAGATCCAATAGATTCCAATAATCAATGTTGGTTGTGGGATAAACCCAGGTATCACCATAGTATCACCCGCAAGAATCCTCGTCCCAAGCATCCTGAGGCTGCTTGTGCTGCTCTCCCGAAGGAGATTTGTCTCGCTTGCTGAACGACCTGTGCAGTCGGCAAGATGAGCTCCTTGAGATGTGCGACAAGTGTGCCATCATGATATCATGGTTATGGAGTTATGATTATGGCACTATAGTACCTATCTATATCTATTATAGTAGACTTAGTATTATGATGTATTATGACGTATTATGATGTATTGTGGAACTATAGATATGTTTCATGTTTTTGTCGGATCCCTGAATCTGAAACATGGATGGTTTCCTTGAGGCTTGGATATGGGGAAAAAAAACGGATGACATGCCAGATTTTGGTTGGATGAACATCTTTGGTGGTTTCAAACCAGATGTACAAGGCTTAGGATGTGCATGGTATATGCATGCAGTACTAATATACATATTGCATTTCTTTAAAGCACATGCATATCATTGTATATCTATATGCATACATACACATACTATGCACATACGATGGATGTGTTGAGTTGATTTGCCTTCTCGGACAAGATCAAAGATGCCATCACTAGGTGGGATTTGAGGTCAACAGATGTGCTCGAAACATGACCTGACGGTAAAAGCCAAGGTTGAAATTGACCCATCTGCTGATAGCAGCTCAACCGCATTCATGGTGGAGCATACAAAACCGGGAGGCAAGATTCTGGTTTCATAGATCCTCTACCCTACTTTGGTGTGTTTGAACATGTGATATATCCCCAAATGGCAAGTTCAGTTGAGAACATGATGAACACATTGCTCCAGCTGATTATAGGCCATGCAGCGGGTAAATTGGTCGCTTTACCCCTATATTCAACCAATTTAGCCCCCTTGTACCTGGGGTGTGTGTGGAGCAACCCATATATGAAACTCATGGACTTTAGGGGCACCCCAGTTTCAGAAGTCACCCGCTATCAGGTCACTTGCCGCAAATCCCTTTGGAGCCGAGGAGACGACTGGGGTGGCTGATCCCGCTCCCTTCATTAAGCTTTTTGACAATGAGCCATGGCTGCAATGCACTGACGTGTCCCACTAAGCAAGTTGTTTGCTTGCAGATTCAAGTGTGTGTGTGTGTGTTAGTTCAGTGAAGTGCAATATGGACGGCAGTTCACAGATCTTCAATAAAACGATCAAGCACGTTTCAGCTGCTTGAGCATAAAGCATGTTCCTTCTGAGAACTTGTTTTCCACTGGACGAGTTAAACGGACTTCCTCATCAGTTACAAGTTACAAGTCCAATTATTTCTAAAAATCCTCCATTTTGTTTTGACATGATTCCTCCAAAACAAGTGAAGCATGAACCATTCCTTCCAATCAGTCTGGGTAAACTATAGTGACCTCACTGTGCACAGTTTCATCATGGTTAGGACGGTTAGGATTCCAGGAACCGTCCCCAAATGGCCACCGCAGAAAACAGTGGCCACAACGGACTCAGGTTGGTGAAATATGATAATTTTACCCAGAATGATGGTTAGATCTGGTTAGTATACGGGAAATTCTCCCAATATGGAGGTATCCTGGCTTCCTGGCTGGGTGGTACCCCAATCATCGAAGCCATGGATGACCATGACACTTTCATGATCAGAAAAAATACAATGCTATATATATATATATATGTATGTATGTAGTATGTATGTATGTATGTATGTATGTATGTATGTATGTATGTATGTATGTATGTATGTATGTATGTATGTATGTATGTATGTATGTATGTATGTATGTATGTATGTATGTATGTATGTATGTATGTATGTATGTATGTATGTATGTATAGTACATATATATATATATATATACATACATCTTTTACCCAGATCAGTTGGCCAAACTTTCCATAGGACAAATACCGCCGGCAGTTCACCCTGCGCTGTGTGCTCAATGTGGTGGACTTACTACACGTTCAGAGCATCCTGGACGAGAACAAGGCCTGGTGAAGGTCTGGGAGACGGCGCCGGCGAAATTTTAGTGGATTTAATGGGTTTTAAACCACCTGTGTATATATATATATATTATATTATAATATATATACATACCATTATAATTGGATCTAATATGTTCTATAGTTATAATGGGTTTTAGCGGATTTAATGCTGACATTCAGAGTACCCAGATTTTTTTGTCATGCGTTTTCTTAATACACAAATAAGGGGATGGAAAAGAACCGCCATTGATAGCGGTAAAGATATCACGGACCCCCAACGAATGGTGGGATGACTTTGCACGCGACCATTCACTGTGCTGCATCTGGAGTCCGCCCATGCTTGAGATATATAGTAAGTTTTTGCGTACCAAGAGGCTCTTCTTCCACACAAATACGGTCCTATCTTCCCTCAAGATGTTTGTTCTTAAATGTTTCAGCAAAGCTGACAGAGCCTTGGTGAAGGGACGCAACCAGGAGATCGATGCAAATAGATGTTAAGGGATGTTAAGGTCATTTACAGATATTTCTACAGTGCTTGTTTTACAGTGGTTGGGATCTTGCCCACGCTTTGCTTTATGTTGCAGATGCTTGCAGATTCGGCATCTCCACAACGACACTAGATGTTTGCCTGCATCAAGAGGTGTGAACATAATTGTCATGTGCAAATAATTTCAATGCACTTAACAATACATCCGTAAAATGTGAGTAGCAGATCATAGCAGATATAGATATAGCATATCGAAGGCTTATGAGCCAGATGAGCTGGTGGGCTGCCTTTTCCTTTGGTGCAGGATACTGGTGATCAATCTGCAGGACTCGATAAGCTTTGGGGGAAGGGAAAATGTCACAGAGGTGTCACTCTCATGTGTTCGATTCGCAATCAATTCTTCATTCCCTATAGTATCTTTTGGCCGACCTCACAAAAAGACTGTGTTAAAAGGTTGTAGGTTTGTGGTAGCACCAGTCATGTTTGCAAGGGTGTCTTGAAATTGGAACCCCCGACATCACCAAAGATATCAACGTTTGTCGTGTTGGGAATCAACTAGAAACGGTGTTGGAAGGTCCCCAAGAGAGACAGCATGGCAGCATGGTCCAGTCGTGGCAGGATCGCGGGGCCGGGTTCAGCTTCGTTGCTCCGACATCTTGATCTTGAATCATGCGGATGAGCTATCAGAGTCGGCTGGCACCACGAGAAAACCACCTTGGGCACTACTGCTGGTGTGAGAAATTCTGGGCATCCATGGTTTGAAACGGCAAAATGGTCAGCTTCAGAGGTAAGTCAGATCATTGTTTTTTGGCAACTAATGTTTGTAAGTTTGTATGTTGAGCCTTTGACTGTTTCAGATGGCTGTGGATCTTTGTTTGGATGTGGACTGAGAGACGTGAACAAAATCGAAAGCCTTGGTGCAGAAGTATGCAAATCTGCTGGTGGTTGTTACTTTCATGTTTTTATATTCATAGTCCATAGTTATTCACAGACATTCCTATGATTCCTATGGGCATTGATTATTTGCCATGTGTTTTTCACATGGATATATAATCCTAACTTGAAGCCACCAGCAGATGATGTCGGACCATGTCGGACCCAGTGATCCCAGGTCATCGGTCGAAGCAACCAAGAGGATGTTGCTGTCTGCGACGGAGGCAAGGAACGTGACTGAAACACCAGTTGCTACCCCCAAAGTGACCAGCCGAACAATCAGGGTGAATTAAATTAAGATGTATTAAGGGCCGAACTGAAGCACCAAGCTTTTCTTCCTTGAGTATCTAATCAATAGAACATAATAGACCCATGGCTTTGCGGATGAGTTTAAGTGTTCACCAGCTGGGTGGCCAGGAAGCGTCAGCCCCAGAAATCCTGGGCCCCTGCAGCTTTTGCAGCTTGGGGTGCCTTGGGTGATAGGGGGGCCCAGTTGAAGATCCAATAGGCAGATGATGATGGACCCCTCTGTTTGACTAAACAGACAGTATTGTTTGGTGGTTTCAAATATTTATTGCATATTTTTTTTAGATGATTGTGATGATAATTGGTGTTTTCCACTAGATAATTTGCCTTATTTGAAATGATGATCTGATTATTGTACAGTAATATTTCTTGGAGGTAAAACCACCGGCATTTGATGGTGGACTTGTTGTTTGGGCCAGTTCCAAGTGTGGGGCGGGGGGTTGATGTAGTGAACCTACTCATATTCCATTGCCAATCAACCAATCTTCACCATTTGGGGTTTAAAGAAACACATACGCCAACACGGGTTTATTGAGTTTATTGTGTTGCTGCTCTTGCTGCTGTTGCTGTTGCTTGTTGTTGTTGTTGTTGCTGTTGTTGCTGTTGTTGTTGTTGTTGCTGTTGTTGTTGTTGTTGTTGTTGTTGTTGTGGTCGTCGTCGTCGTCGTCGTCGTGGTTGTTGTTGTTGTTGATGCTGCTGCCGCCAGTTTATCACTGTTCAATTACTTTTTGGTAATTCACACCAAAAATCATCACCTAGAGGGGAATGAGAGTCCAGAGTCCTGCTTGTTTCTCGTTCCAGGAAGACGTTGCTGTCATCGATTGCAGCTGTGGGCAACAGATCGGAAAGGCGTGTGGCTCCCACCACCTGTGAAGCTCTTCCCAGGCCGTCGATGTTTCAGTGCTTCGCTGGCACCGAAAAGGGGTCGGGCGACCAGTGGTGACAATTTGGTCTCACGGATGTCTCGCGGGGGTCGCATTGCGGAGGTAGAAAAGCATGCACTGTCGTAAAGGTGAAGGTGAAGACAACATTGTAGCCTGGCAAGTTGAAATTGTTATAGCAACATCGACAAAAAGTTTCTATTCTACTTTCTGTTGGAACGTGTCTGGATTTTTCCCGAGTTATGTTCAGTTTGAACAATTTCCAAATTAGTGATCTGCCCAATTAGTCACCATAATTAGTCTCTTTCATAATGATATATCATCTATCATTATCTATCAGCATATATCACCATATATCATCATAAATCATATATCATCATCTATCATCATCTATCATCATCTATCACCGTATATCATCATCTATCATCATCTATCACCATACATCATCATCTATCATCATCTATCACCATACATCATCATCTATCATCATCTATCACCATACATCATCATATATCGGTATGAACAACTTGTTGTGATTGTAGCAATGAGAGAACATCACCAGGGTGGATGGGTGGGATAGTGTGAATGTTACCCGTTTTGCGCTCAAGCATTCACACCACCCACTGTTAATTTGTAAAGTCACCCACCCGGTGAAACCAGTGTGGTGGGGAGACCAGTGGGGCGGGTGAATGCATCAGGCATTGATACCCAAAAGCGAATTGGGTATTGAAGAGTAATCAGGGGCGCTTGCTGCAATAGCCCTCGGTGTGGCGTTGGTGGCCTTGATCATTGTGATAACCTGCTGCAGCTTGCGCATCAGGAAACAGACTTGGGAAGTCAGCACCTTGCCAAGTGGCATTCGAATCACTATCAATGGATCCAACAGAGGATGAACGTAAGCAGATGGACAAGTTAGCTGCAGTGTTCACATGGGTTGGAGTACCGGCAGGTGAGATGAATGATGAGACCAAGCTAGCAGGATCCCTGGCAAAGCTGCTTGGGGCCACATATGATACCAAGCCAGTCACCTTGGGAGTTGTAGCAGAAGGTGACTTTGAAGCAGTGATTGCAAAATGGAATGTGCCAGATGGAGCAGGAGCAAGGCCACCAACATTGACAGAAATTGGAACAGCCAAGCTAGTGGGCCATGTTCGCAGAATTCTGGCTGGCGCGGGTGAGACGTTGGAGTCATTGAAGAAGAAGGCTCATGCTCTGTCACCGTCGGCCGCAACACCGCCCATTTCGACAGCTGCAGCAAGACGCATCAAGCTTAGCTCCATCATTTCTCAGGTGGATGATACTGAGATTCTGATGGCAGACGACGAAGTGTTGAAGGCCTTCGCACGATATGAGAGGGTGTATGGCAAGGGTGACAGACCACCGAATGGCACAGAGCCAACATCTGAGCAGCTATCGGCTGTCAAGCACTTGTTGGATTCGAACTGTTGTCCATACACAGACTTCCCTGTCTTTGGCCCCTATGGACAGAGGATCTACAAGAAGGTGAAGCTCAGCGGTTATCAGATTGCCAGAGATGGACAACTGACATCGGTGGAGCTTCATGGGCCTAGCAACATTGGCAATGGATCGGATACTGTAATGTCTTGCAGAACATCCTTGTCATGCTAGATGCGGTGGATCTGGGACATCTCCTTAGGTACAAGACCATGATCGAGCGCTTCCATGACAAGTATGGAGAGAAGGTTTGGTCTGTGATATATCAAGGGGATGTCAGATGCAGACTGGAGAACATGCCACGGATCAAGCGCATTGCACAAGCGGCCCATGACAAAACCACGTCCACCGGTAGCACCACCAACTACGACCCAGCACGGCCATGGAACCACATGTGGCTGAAAGCAACGGAGGATCTGGAGTTTTGGAGAGAAGAGGTAGTGGATCCGTCATTCCTCATCATCACCAAGATTGCCAACAACGATGAGATTGTTCATGGCGATGCACCTACGAACTCTGCCAAAGGAGGTCCAACAAACAACAAGCTTGAGAATCTCCTATCTCAGGAGCACGAGTTCCGCAAAGAAGATTCATGGGTCTACGCGCATGACATGATGCAGGATCTCAAACAATCGAAAGACAGACTGGATCAACTGGAGTCACAACTGAAACGCCTTACTCAACGAACTGAAGATGCTACTCATATCCTAGAAGGGATGGAAATTGCACTCGGCTCTTGACAACATCGACTCCAAAGTGAGACACAAATCCATAGTTGATTCGTCATGCCCGCCATCCACGTGGAAAACCATGTGCGGGTGGAATTTCTCAGCCAAGTCCCATGCTGTCACAGTCAGATCAATCTCTGAAGATACTGGCCTGAGACTTTGCCCTAGATGCTTCCTTGACGATGTGAAGGACTCTTCCTCCTCCAGTAGTAGCTCATCCGAAGATTAGCTGCAGTGAGATTGTGGCTTCAAATGGAACCCAATCTTCGGGCCCCCAGTCTAACTGGGGAGCGGTCACCCATCCAAAATGGATGGGTAGAATGGCGCAGTGTTTCAAATCGAGCAGCAGCCTATTAGGAAAACACTGCGGGAGGGATGAATTGATGTGACCGATTGCTATCATATATCATCATTATATATCATCATCACATATCATCATATATCATCATCACATATCATCATATATCAACATAGATCATCATATATCAACCAACCATAGTGTTTTTTGGTGTTTTTCCGCAGGTATGGATAGCCCCACAAATCTGTCCTCCAACTTGGAGCATCATTACAAAAGAGATGGGTTACAAAGCGCTTGCGATCCGGGGGATGACCCCCTTGCAGTTCGGAGATTCGTCCTATAGATGGATGTGTATACACATTTCTGTTAAAGGTTTATATATGTATATGTGCAAAACTAAATAGAAACACGGACATATAAGAAATATGGTGTATGTGTAAATGGTACATATTGATGTAAAATATAAAAGATAGAATGTATTGCCGGCAAGCACCAAGCAGCTATCAGCTATCACAATATTTTGAACATACTCCAATCCCTGATACAAATTCGAACCGCAGAGAGAAGGCAACAACACACATGGTTTTATTTGACAAACACGTTATATACACAAATAAAAATATATTCATAAACAAAAACAGTGTATACCAAATTGAAGGACCGGATAACCCCACAAGGCAACTTCTTCCAATCATGAGCACCAAATGTTGTAGCCGGGACGGGGAAGGAAGGAAAGACAAAGAAGGTGGTGGAGGATTGAGAAGTAAAACAAAGTTGTGTGCGACAAAGTTGTATGTGAAAGATGGTGTGTGACAAAGAAAGATGGTGTGTGTGTGACAAAATTGTGTGTGAAAGATGGTGTGTGTGAAAGTTGTGTGTAAAAGAGAGCGTGTGACAAAGTTGTGTGTGAAAGATGGTGTGGCAAAGATGGTGGGTGACAAAGTGGTGTGACAAAGTGGTGTGTGAAAGATGGTGTGTGACAATGTGGTGTGTGAAAGATGGTGTGTGAAAGATGGTAAGGTGACAAAGATGGTGTGGGAAAGATGGCGTGTGACAAAGATGGTGTGTCAAAGATGGTGTGTGACAAAGATGGTGTGTGACAGATGGTGTGTGAAAGTAGATGGTGTTTGACAAAGTGGTGTGTGAAAGATGGTGTGTGAAAGGTGGCGTGTGACAAAGATGGTGTGTAAAAGATGGTGTGTGACAAAGATGGTGTGTAAAAGATGGTGTGTGACAAAGATGGTGTGTGAGAGATGGTGTGTCAAAGATGGTGGGTGACAAAGTGGTGTGTGAAAGATGGCGTGTGACAAAGATGGTGTGTCAAAGATGGTGTGTGACAAAGATGGTGTGTGAAAGAGGGAGTGTAGATTGCGTGTGTGTGTGTGTAACATCTGAATAGATGTAAAATTCTCTCCTTTTTCTTTTTTCTCTCCTTCTACATTGCAGGGGGATCAGGGACGTTTGGCCTCGCCTGGTCCAACGAAGCTCCAGCCATTCGTCAGGATATGATTGAGGGACGCCTCGATCACGTACCTGTTCTTGATAAGTTGAACTGTTGACTTCAGTTTCTGTTAACCGCCGTACTGTGTTTGCATCAGTTCAATTTGAATTCTAGGGTCTTGATTTCATTCTTCCGACATGGCAACCGGCTAAGCCAAGAACCGGAAGGGGATTCAGTTCCCATCGGATCTCTTAAAAGATCCACTCTTGTCTAGTGTAATATCCATGGTGGCTCCGACATGGTGCCATGGAGCCACTGGAGGCAACCCTGTTTAGGGTGACTGATGACTGCCCTGACTTCTGAATTCACACATTTTAATCTGGCAATTCATCTACTGTAAGTAAAGTGTAACAGTCGGCCTTTCCGTTCTTCACCTTTTATGATGTCCTGCCGTTCCTGTTGTCCCTGGAGACCGCTGTGATTCTGCCCTTCTGTGTACTGGCAGCCGTACCGAACAACCAGAAACATTTTTGTTTTGCTGCTGCTCAAGCTTTTGAAACATTTCACAACATGCAAGGCAGGTACATGGTTTCCAGGTGTGGTGATCTTTTCTCTTGATGGTTGTCTGGTGAGGTAAAACATTTTGTGCATCTAATTCGCTTGAACTTGAACAGCCGTTTATGCCCATGTGACTTGACTTGACCACGGTCCCTTTGAGGGAATAACGCGCGAACTTGTAAATTAGCAGAACTGAATCTCTTTAATAACTTTGTTGTTCCACTGTCGTCACCAACTAGTCCCCCATTCGGTCCCTAATTCTTCCCCCGTGCCCCTCGGTAATGTGTTGTGGGGTTCAGGTGTGTGCTCTGTGTTTGTCAGATCCTTTTCGCCGTGTAGGTTGGTTCTGGAGGTCCGTTTGTTCCCTTCCCCCCCTGCGCTGTTCCGGCCTTGGCCCGTCGTTTGTGTCCGCTTTTCTCTTCCTCTTGCCTTTCAGGGTTTACCCGATCCGATCACGTACCTGTTCTTGATAAGTTGAACTGTTGACTTCAGTTTCTCTTAACCGCCGTACTGTGTTTGCATCAGTTCAATTTGAATTTCTAGGGTCTTGATTTCATTCTTCCGACATGGCAACCGGCTAAGCCGAGAACCGGAAGGGGATTCAGTTCCCATCGGATCTCTTAAAAGATCCACTCTTGTCTAGTGTGTGACAAAGTTGTGTGTGAAAGATGGTGGGTGACAAAATAATTGTGACAAAGTTGTGTGTGTGTGTGAAAGATGGTGTGTAAAAGATGGTGTGCGAAAGATGGTAGGTGACAAAGCGGTGTGTGTGTGTGAAAGATGGTGGGTGACAAAGTGGTGTGTGAAAGATGGTGTGTGTGAAAGATGGTGTGTGAAAGATGGTGTGTGACAAAGTGCTGTGTGAAAGATGGTGTGTGAAAGATGGTGTGTGACAAAGTGGTGTGTGAAAGATGGTGGGTGACAAAGTGGTGTGTAAAAGATGGTGGGTGACAAAGTTGTGTGTGAAAGATGGTGGCTGACAAAGTTGTGTGTGAAAGATGGTGGGTGACAAAGTGGTGTGTGAAATATTGTGTGTGTGTGACAAGTTGTGGGTGACAAAGATGGCGGGCGGAGGCGGAGGCGGAGGCGGTCGAGGAGGAGGCAGGATACAGAATCAAAAACAAGAACCCCACACAAAGATGTGGGGAATGCATATATGTATATGTGTGCTATGTATATAGAGTTAATTATATATTGTTTGTATATATATATAATCATTCATCATGCTCCCATTGAACACCCTGCCAAAACGAGGCTTCGCTTCGGCCCCGGTGTGCACGATGCGGCCTGCTCCACCTGCTGCCTGGTGCGCCGCGGCGCGGCGTCTCTGGAGGCAGTGCTGGCCATGCTGCAGCTGCTGCTGGACAGTGGAGAGGCCGGGCCCAGTGCGGCAAATGGTAAACATTAATGGTAACATAAATAGCGGTTAAACATTAATGGTAACATAGTACGAACTATGAGTGGTAAAACATGAATGGTAAACTACAATAGTGTATCAAATATTAGTGTTACCATTTGATCACTAACTATTTAATCCTAATCATCAACGATTGGTGTAGTATTAATGGCAACACTAATAGTTGGTGATTAGGATTTGACACTAGAATATCTTTAGAGACCAAGAGCGAATATAACTCATAATCCATATTCATGGATTCAATATTAAGCAGTGCAACAACAACTAAAAGTGAATGTTAATTAGTACCATCATATATCATCAACAATACTATTGATAGTAGTTATTTGTGGGGATTTAACATGGGTATGAGTCAAAATTTAAGCCCTATGGGACCAGATAATTTAGTATATGTTTAACGTTAACCATCTAATCATGGGGTACCCAATGTTGACCCGTGCCATTTTAAACAACTAATAGTAACACATAGCTCATAACTAATATCATCAACATTACTACGGTTTAAAATGGTTTAAACATGTTCGCCCCAACCCGGACGTTGCTCCACACCTACAATCGTCATGGTCATCATCATCATTATCATCATCATCATTATCATCATCATCATCACCATCATCATCATCATCATCACATCATCACATCATGATTATCATCACATTAAAATTCGCCACCCCCTCTGAACACTATGTTGACTGGGGTAATAGCATCAACTTTATCTTCATGAGAATTTGCCACCCCTTCTGAACAATATGTTGATTGGGGTAATAAGATCAACTATATCTCCATGAGGGATCAAAATTCGCCGCCCCCTATGAACAATACGATATTTGAGTGTGTCGGAAAATGTGGGATGGCCTTCCGATTTATGGCCTTCAAGAAATGGGGAATATGATGATAAACCATCAACATTTGAGGCAACCGCAACTCTTGGGATTTTTCCTCAAACCATGGGGTTTAACCGACCAATTAAAACAAGGATATGACACATTTATTACATAGGGATTTAAACAATAAAAGTGGGGAGTGACTTCATATTTCCACCGTTTGTGGACTGATAAAACATCCTTTCAAATGCGGATTTCAACCTTCGAACTGGAGGGGTGAAATCAGAAACCTTGTGGATTTCACCAGCCAACTGCAATCATATATTCTCCACTAATTTCAGGACATGTAAGTTGGCCGTGTCAAAAGCCGGGGGCCACCAGACGCCTATTAATTATGGCATTTGCTCCTGAAACAGACAACGAAACAATAGAGGAATCCTATTTTTAAACAACATACATGTCCATTTTTTGTTTTTCCTGTTTGTCCAAGTTTCTGATTCATGGGCTGAATCAGTGCGGGATCCACACTGCAGGCTATAGGATATGTCTGCATATTTGGCTGTTGGACAGATGCGAATAAACTCATGATCTACAATCAGATGTGGATGGTCTGGCAGTGTTCAACCACTCAAACGTGTGGTCGACAATGTTAGCCCTCGATGTTGTTGGCCCGTGCTTTGTCAATCAATTTGGTATACAACCATTTGAGCACTGCCCAAAACTAACGCAGATGTTCATTTTACAGCATATACACTGTATATATATATATATACGGCAAATGCCTGGGTTCTGCCCGGACCCGCAACGACGACGGGCGACGCATCATCATCATCATCATCATCATCATCAATCAAATCCTTATTGGAGATCTTCAATGCATGTAGAAGTTTAACGGGGGTGGGAGAATTAAACCCTTATTGAAGATCTTCAGTGAATGTAGAAGTTTAACGGGGGTGGGAGAATTAAACCCTTATTGAAGATCTTCAATGAATGTAGAAGTTTAACGGGGGTGGGAGAATTAAACCCTTATTGAAGATCTTCAGTGAATGTAGAAGTTTAACGGGGGTGGGAGAATTAAACCCTTATTGAAGATCTTCAATGACTGTCGAAGTTTAACGGGGGTGGGAGAATTAAACCCTTATTGAAGATCTTCAGTGAATGTAGAAGTTTAACGGCGGTGGGAGTTTTAATATTTCCTAATATCTTTGTTGATCTTCCCAATTGACTGTAAAGTTTAACGGGGGCTGGAGTTTAATATTCCCTAATACCGTTTTTGTTTTTCCCATAGGAATTTCGGGTGTTTTGACCTTTTTTTTAAATAGTCCCTAGTACCTTTGCTGTTTTTCCCATAGGAATTTAAGGTTTAATGGGGGTGGGAGTTTAACATTCCCTAATATCTTTGTTGATCTTCCTAATTGGATGTTAAGTTTCACGATTTGAGAGTTTAAAATTTCCTAGTACCTTTTATGTTTTTCTCATAGAAATTTCAAATATTATGCGATTTTTGTTTTTCCCATAGGAATTTCGGGTGTTTTGACCTTGTTTGTTTAATAGTCCCTAATACCTTTGTTATTTTTCCCATGGGAATTACTGTAATTTGCAATATCATTTGTTTGTGAATTGTAGATATATACGCTGCAACGCCTGGGCAGAACCCAGACGTTGCGCGTATATCGGCATATATATTAAATGGGGATTTCATGAAAAGACACGTTGTGTATATATATATATATGTATATATATATATGTATATATATGTATATATGTATATATATATATACAGGTGTATATATATATATATGTATGTATAAATACATACAAATATATATATATATATACAGGTATATATATGTAAATATATATGTATATATATATATATGTATATATGTAAATGTATATATATATGTATATGTATATGTATATATTTGTATACATATATATATATACATATATATATATATATATATTATATGTGTATGTACATATATATATATATTGTATATGTGTACATATATATATATGTATGTATGTATTTTGATATATGCATATATATATATATATACATAAATATATATATTTACATATATATATATAAATACATATACATATATAACGTGGTTTCCTGGGGATTATGATGATCCACTGGGAATCCCAGCATGATCCGCTTTCTTGGAGGCCTATCGCATCCAGGGCTACCTGTCGTTCTTGCCACAAGACTTGGAGCCAGGACATAGGCCATGGCGGCCATGGGGATGGATGGAATCTGGACCTAAGAATGGCAGTTCCACACCAAAATCTGAAAACAAATGAATAATCCTTGAAATACTGCCCAAAATGATGTTGATTGATCAATGCTGAAAGTGTAAATTTTAGATCATATCGGTCCAAAGTCGAAGCGGGAGGACCTTGAGATTCCATTCATCATGTATCAGAAACGGGCTTCAACTTCTGACAGGAATCTGGGAGCCAAGAATTGGCGGAAGCTGGGGTTCTGATGTCTGTGATGAGTGTCTCCTTTCAACCAGTCTTGCAACGCAGGCCAATTTGAAGAGACCATTTTAGAATAGAACCTTCCCTTACAGGAATTTTCAAATTACCATTGCCCAAACTTATGCATGACTTTCCCCATCTTGTCCACAGACCTTGATTCTTGTTCGTACTCAAAAGCTCCCCTGATACAAATGGAAAAGGAACATCCACTACCCACTGGTAATCAATCATGGCAATGCAACATTCCCATAGACAGTAAACCCTGCTTGGTTAATTCCGGGGGTCCCTCCAAATAGTGACAAGCCGCTGCTCAAAGGGTACTTGTATGTACCTTTCTCCCGCAAAGAAACAGTTCATGGGTTCCAATCCAGGGTTGACATGGTTAAAATCTGGTTGGTGGTTTCAGACATTGTTTGTTTTCCATCATATATGGGATAATCCTTCCCATTGACTAATATTTTTCAAGATGGTTAAAACCACCAACCAGAAATGTTTTGTTTTTTTCCATTGATTGATTCCCAGCCAAATCATTCCCATGGCCAAAAATAACCTCCATCCAGTGGCTTTAATGCAACATTATTCTGCGATGGTATGTAACCAAATATGGCAACTAGAGAAAGATTCAAATCAGTTGACGGGGCATCAAACCATGGTAGCTGCATGTAGCTGCCATGTTTGAGTACTATCACTTGGGCAATTAAGATTAAATATGATAATCCCCATATTATATCCATTTATATCCCATTATAACCACTACTTTCAGACATACCGACCCAAGAAATATTGCTGAATAATATTCCCATATCACATCCCTATAGATGTGGATTAGATCCACTAAACCATCCCAGGCCAACCAAACATGGGGGTCATTTTGATCCTAAACAGGGGGGGAAATACAACAAATCACCCGCCTCAATTGGGGATGGTTTATGGCATTGGGATTACCACACTGAGTAGAACAACCATGATTAATTAGCCACTGGATCATCCATTCGCAACCATTTTGTGAGTGTATTTTTGATGGTCCCCTTTGGTGCAACTCATCCTTATTAAGAAGATGGTCTGCAGCCAGGCCCACCCTTGGCAGCGATGTGTTTCCTCCTCCGCTGGAACGACTTTGGGCCATGCCGATGGTGGTGGTAGAAGGCCTTGGCTTCGGTAGCAAGATGTAGCAAGGAAACTTGTTGGTTTAACCAGCAAACATGGATTTTTTCCTGGGATTTAGCCAACAAGAGTAAGGACATACTTGGATATCATGCGATTTATGGCCAGAAATATGATATTTGGGTGTGTGTGGAAACGAGGTATAGTTGGAAACATGGTGATACTCATTCGTTGAGGGCATAGCCAGGCGTATGCCAGGAGCATGCTAGTGCTTGAATCGGAGGCGAGACATGCCATGACATACACTGGCAACGACGACATCAGATCGTGGTTTCCATTTTGTAGACGACCTTTACAGGTGATGTTGTCAAGACAAAGATTTCCCTCGAGCCACGTCGTTCTACAAAGTGCGGCCTTTTCTGGATATATCCACCATACATTCAACAGATTCCAACGGTTTTTGGTAGTTCTAAGCCAACAGAAAAACCATCTGAAAGGGGGCCCCATGGGGCCCCACATTGTAACAATGGCTGCATGGCAGGCTACTACCGGAGACCTTTGAAGCTTTCCCCTGTGCTGCGAGCCGGAGCTGAACCGGCTGCATCTCGCCCATGGCAGGAGCGGCTCGGCCGATGGGTTTGAGCGTGTATCATGTATGTTCGTGAAATGGAAATATACATGGATGTGGGTAAGTTTGTATGGACTGTGTGTATGCAAAGGAATGTGTATATATTGTAAATGTATGAGTGTAAATATATTTGTTTGTATGGGTAAATATGTTCATGTTTATTATATGTTTATTTATAAATAGGTATATGGTTGTGTACACGTACCTGTTTTCATATATGCATATCTCTTGTACTTTGATATTTAGATGTGATGTGTGAAGAGGTTTTTGAATGTTTATGTTTGTGTATATGTATATGTTGATAGTTTATATACACATGTGCATGTCTCTCATGAATATGTTTCTTTACAATTTTACATTACACGTGTTTAAATAGTATGTACATTATTCTTGTGGACGTGATATCAAAAATCCACATATACGGCACACCAATAAAAGCCAGGATAGATAAGACACCAATTTCACCATGACATCTCCAGAGGAGACTGCCTTTGACTCTGCCGTAGCCGATCGCGGAGGATGCAGCTGGTGTTGGAGGAAAATTATTGGGAATTCATCGGATTGGGACAGTGTGTGTGTCTGAAGCTCCATGAGTGTGTAAGGAAAATTGTGACGAACAATGAAATCTGGAGTTACCCTCTGGTGAACTAACATAGCAATGGAAAATCACCATTTTTAATGGGAAAATCCACTATAAATAGCCATACACCATTTTCAGAGAAACCCAGAGTATTTCGAAAATTTTCCGCTGATAGTGATGTTCATTTTCTTTTCATGGTGCTGAGGTAAGATCTTTCTATGTGGACCGCGCTTGGATGAGGCCCAGCTCAAAGTCCAGCTGAAGCAGTGTGTTGCGCCGTCCTTCGAGTTGATTCTTGGGACGCAGCTGCGGTCCGAAAGTCAGGGCAGGAAGGGGGGGTGCCTCGTTTGTCGTTTTCTGGGACTTCAGAAACATCAGTGCAGGAAGATCGGGAAGGGATGTTCATGACATCTCATGACCCTCCTATTGCATCCAACAAACACACAGAGTCTGGGGGATTGTTTCATTGGAGCAGATGTTTTTCTCGTTTCAGACAAACATGGTGGGGATGATCCTTGCAACACGGCGTGCCCCACTGCGTGGTGAGGTTTGCAATCTGGAGGAAACCGTGCCAGAGGCAGCTCAGGTCGGACCACCAATGGGTGGTGGGAAGCGGGGAACCGATCCCAAACCCACATGGAGATTGGATCTGACCCTAGTGGCCTGCCGAAATCCAACAAGGCCATGGAGCGCCTAGAAAAGCAGGTGACTGGAGCCCTGCAGAGCATGTCCAAGGAGCATATCGCAGAGGTTCTTTTGTTGGTGGATTTAAATGTGTTAAGGTCTGACATAGATTGACATAGGGGATACCCATGGATACCCCGAAGCGCCCCGAAGTGCTAAGTTTTTCGCAAGGAACATGTTCCACCATGGTGATCTACAGCTGGGACCCATCATTGATTGAAGCGGTTAATCCTCTGGTCTCATTAATTGAATCTGGGCAGGGGCCCATACTTTCTGACAGAAATACCTCTGGGTCAGAATTGGATGCCCTCAAAACTGGATGATTAATCCTACAAAACTGGCCGATCATGACCTATCATATCAAAGATTATGCGTGACTCGTCCTGGAAAGTTTAGTTCAAATAAACTTCATGGCGTCCCACGGGTGTCCCTGGTGTCCTGGCGTTGCACAGGAGGTCGATCAAGATGGAGCCGGTCGCTGGATATGTCAATTTGGGGTTGCTGGTTCTAAGTCATTGGCCCCATGTTCCACAAGAGCTGAAGGTAAATGATGACGAATGGTATCCAATTGCATAGCATACCTTCCGCTCTATTTTTGTCGCATGACATCCGCAAAAATCCTGGGTTCGGTTTTAGGTTGAAATCATTTTGATGTGGGGTGTCATGGAGACGCAGTGCTGTAGTGGCCGGAAGAAATGATGCATCACTGAGGATAAAATTGCAATCTATATGGGTAGTTTAGCATTTTATGTATTTTTAACTGAACATATTTGCTAAGCAGCTTCAACATTGACTGTATTTTTGCATCGTAAACACAAGGCCATGCTAAACCTGTTTACGTCCCCTATCCATCATGGGCAAACGGTACCCGATTGGTCGGGTTATCCTCCCACCTTAAAATGTGTAAGGCCTTAATATGGTTTCAAATTTGAAGTCCCAATCCATGCGTTTGGTAGCAAGTCGAGAATCTTTGGCAGGATTTTGAGTCGTCATTTGTCGAAACCGCAAGCATTTGATCATGTATAAGCAATATATACTGTGCTAAACATAATACAATATATACAATAATATATAATCATATATATATATATATGTATATATATATATATATGTATATTCTATATGCAACATCCTTAAATCATATCTAATCCCTTGTCCATCTCTATTTTTCCAGGCTTGATCCACCTGGGGCCACCTTTTTTTTCCCCCCGGTCCCAGGTGCGCGGCCCTCTGCAGAGGCCTTTGCAGAACTCCTGGTGGTGGAGCTATCAGGTCAGGTAACCAATAGGATTTCAATAGTGATATGGGTATCCCTCTGGCAAGTTAACAGTTTGCTATTGAAAATGGCCATTTATAGTGGATTTTCCCATTAAAAATGGTGATTTTCCATTGCTATGTTAGTTTACCAGAGGGTATGGATCAATACCTATCAATACCATTTTTAGGGGGATGAACATCCATAAATCCCAGCTATTTTGATGTGAACAAAAAAGGGGTACAATTGGTTTTGACACACTGCCATATAAGATCAATAGTGATTTCAATAGGTAGATTTAATGGGGATATAAGTTGTACTGGTTATTCAATTGTTCTCAATGGGAAATTCATAGATATATAGTGGGAATATACAGTAAGGTATTTCATATATATATATATATAAGATGACTGCAACATCGAGAAAACACCAGGATGGATCATAGTTTTCCATACCTTTCAGATGGCTATTTCAATTTCCGAGCCCTTTGTGGCTGGGATTTGTGGAACTGGTGAGTCTGGAAGTTACCGATGGCAACTTTTGGGGATGGCAATACTGGATGATTGGGTTGACCACATTGGCCACAACAAAATGATTGTTAACTTTTAGTGAGTACCAAAATTGATGGTTTAATAGTTTCACCCGCGATTCCCATTTTTCCCGTTGCGGTTTTGAATGTTAACTCATTCCCTGTTCTTGTTGCTGAATGTCCCATGTTTGTTGATACCTTTTCCCAAGAGAACATGTTGAAAGGGACTTCGCAAGGTATGAAAGTGGATCTCCACGTTGCCCCATTCAGATGGAAGGTTGGATGGTTTTGGCATGTCATCCGCCAAATATGCCAGAAAAGCGCTGATTTTGGTCGGTGAAATCCAGTTTAAATCTCATATTCCAATTATTCCAAGTTTACCAGCCATACAAGGCTCATATGTTCACAAGTTTTCTACGATGTTTGTTTCGTTCAATTCGCACTGAGTTGTTGCTTCGATGAATAGCTGGTTGCCTGATGGTTTAGGGATCCATCCCCCAATCAACACCCACACATAGGCTACAAAAATAAATGCTTCCCTTAAAGAAATGGGTTTGTCTGAAATACAGTGCACTCAATTCCAACTGGAATGATCATTTTATGTTCCCAGTAAAAAACTGCAGTGTTTGAACATACCTACCAGTATATCTGTTTATGTATGTTTCAATTAATGGTTGGTTGATTTGTATTCCCATAGCTTTTGGTGAAAATCACAAGCTCATCGTTTCCCCGAATAAAAAATGTCTAACTTGTCAACCCTCAAACATGCTCAAGCATCCTGATGTGTTTTGTGATATTCACCTCAATGTCACTGGTTGATCATCATTTCTTCATGAACATGGTCACGCATTGGCGATGTAAATCTTTTTTTTTGGACAACCACATATCATATTGTTTGTGATATCTCCGGTGATATCCCATTAGATCCCCATAAACTGGTTGGTTTTGTGTAGTTATGCGTAGAATCAACTTGCCAGAAATTGGAGAGCAACTTCCCCTTTTTCAAATGCATGGTCTCAGCTATCAAATCATATGGTCGGTTATATATCCCATTATATGTATACATGTATGTATATATATATATATATCCCCAACCATGACCCCCCAATAAGATCCAAATAGTAATACTAATCATCAACTCTTCATTGTTTGGTTTTTTGTTGATTAAATCATGCAAAATCCTCATTTTTATGTCAATGAAACCAGTGTTTTTCCTGGGTGAATTTCCCCATGATCCCCACCGGCAGGTGCCCACCCCGTGGATACCCCCAGCGCCGTTCCAACGAAGCACCGCTTCCGTGCGCGGCTGCGACCCCAGCGTGGCCGGACGTTGGTGGAGGCGGTGGAGGCGGTGGAGGTGCCGAAATCGTGCGCCAGGGATGGGTTTCCGGCCCGAAGGAAACTGGGTATCCCTTTGGTAATTTAACATGGTAATTTTCTGGCAATCACCAGGACATCCGTGATATGAATGTGGTTGATAGTGATATTAATGAGTTACCCTCTGGTAAACGTTTACATAGCTATTGAAAATGACCATAGAAATAGTGGATTTTCCCATTGGACATGGTGATTCTCCAGTTCGTTATGTAAACGTTTACCAGAGGGTATCCCTTTGTTGGATACTTTAGTACTTTAATCATCTTTAATCTTTTGATATCTTTTGCTATCATGGGTAAAATGTAGATTCACCAGCTAAACATTCGATGCTTTGCCAGGTATCTAAGATTCACCATGCAAAGTGGGAGATCTCATGGGGATTAGTGGGGATTCAATGGGATTCAATGGGGATTTTCCAGGGGATTTCATCCCGGATTTCACAGGACTTGGAGTCAATAACCATCAACATGGGGGATAAATGTTGGGTATCAGTGCGGAATAACCATAGTATATCCAGTATATCCCACAACCATTTATATGGAATGTATGTATGTATATATGCATGTATGCATACATATATATATATATATGTAGATAATTGGGCTTTTAAGCGTGAAACCATGAAACATGGGAAGATCAAATCCCAAATTCTGGTTGGTACTACTGTATCTGGGGGACTTTCCAGTGCTCATTTGGATGTGTCTGAAAATGGGGGATGTACCCTGCCGTCAATCTATGCCAATTTTAATGAGAATGATGATACACCACTATATCAATTATAGAATTTTATGTTTCTTGGTTCCCCTATTTTCTTCAGACGATGTCATTGCGGACCATCTGTGTTTTTCTTGATGGTAATATAATCTATGGATATAGAACGATGTACATGATTGGGATATTCTAATCGCCGGGTTTGTTACTGATGTTTCCGAGGATATGAACTTGAACCGACCAGAAAGAAAGGGCCTGACATGAAGATGCAAACAACCCAAATGGATGATTTGGCTAGCGAACAAGATGGATATTTCACCAACCACACATGGTGATGAAGAAGAGATTCCGGGTGACAAGAAAAGAAACATCGATCCAAAGATTGAGGACACCCAAGGCGTCTGTTTTGTTTCCTGCTTTCAACTCAATAATCCAATTTCAGACTTCGAGGAGTACCAAGTTTTGTGACGCATGTTGCGCAGCAAGTTCCTTCTTGGGATGATGCTGAGCTGCTAGACTATCAGTGACTATCTGAATATACATTGCCGACCTGTGGATTCTGCCCATCTTTTGTGGTTTCATAGTCAGCCACAAAGTTATTAGTTGCACTGACAAAGCGACCGGTCATGTTTCAAAGTCTATAACCTGTGGACGCCGTCCACTCGGAAATATTGTAGTTTGGAAGACTTGCTGTATTTGACGGTCGACTCCAAGATTTCAAGTTTCATCAACATTGCACACACACACAATCTTTATTTGTCATGCCTGCCCTTGCATCTTAAATTTGAGAACAGAATTTCTCGATGTTTCATGTGTTTAGTCTTGCATGCTTGAAGGATGGATGTTTCATGAGCAGGTTCACTGGGAGAATGGCGTCGTCTCTGCCGCTTGCACTTCATGGATACGCATTTTGTGAAGGTTGACTTGGGACTGACTTCCAAAAAAAACATGTTTCCAATAAGTTCATGAATAAAGCCCTTGCTCAACTTTGTTCACGTTTCAGCAGGCCATGCTAAAGTGTAGTCCTTTTGAACCCTGCACGATCTCTTCCTGGGGTTCTGAAAAAAGGTCGCCCTTTTTATCCACTGCTTCATCATCATTGTCCCCAGCAAAATGGCCAGAACTATGGGTAAATCACCATTTTTCAGACACACCCCAATATTTCCACCGCCTTCAAGGCCTCCAGTATGCCTCTGTACCGAGGTGACAGCGTGTGGTGGAGCAACAGCTCTGAAGGCGCCCCTTATCTATGACCATCCTGGAGTAACTCTACAGTCTGGGCTGGCTGTCACAACAGCACGTCTGTGAAATTCCATCATGTTTCCAGGATAGAACTTGAAATCCCCCATCTTCCCCGTTTACGGTGGACAGGATGGATCCGGCTACGGTTTACGCTTCATCAATGGACCCAGCTATGAGACCTTAGTCCTCGGCAGCAACCTGGATTCATGTTGAATCCCATCCCCCCGAAGGGTGAACATTGACATAGCGGTCTACCCTTGGTAATCTAATAAAGCAACATGGCCATGGACCTTCCACCATTTTTCGCAGGTATCATCGAACCACACGGGCCATTTTCCATGGCCATGTTAGATTGAGAGGGGGCTTCATTTTCACTTAAGTAGATAGGTTCAGTTGCCAACACCTATGGCAACCAAACATATTTCAATATTGCCAGGTGAAATTGCTACACAGTGTCTCCCAACATGGCTGGTCACGCAAAACCCAGGTGATATTTACTGCCGACAGAGTTTGACCAAGTGAATGCGGCTGGAAGCCAGCATCGTCTTAGTTGTGGCTGGTTCGATGATTTTATTTTGTGTTCGTTCGTATTCCAAGGATCTGACTTGTGGTAGTCTCGTTTTGCATCATTGTGATGATGTCGATGATGTCTCACTGACTTGGAGTGACACTTTTGTCACTACGTGGAGAACGCCAAAGAAGCCTTCTCCTCTTCACAGACGCTCAATGCCAGCGTCTTCTTTACGATTGTGTGCGGCAAAAGCCGGCTAGGGACTCAACCTCTAGACGCACTATGAACCCCAGGGTGTATATATAATATCCTAGTTTTGCCTTGAAAATAGCTGTGGATCAGATTGATTAGACCTGTTAGTGGTTCTTTAAGAAACAACCACACATTTTGATGAGCACCCGCATGCGTCTTTTCCAGTCCATGCTGTGTACAGGTCAATGGCAAGCTCGTCCGAACCTTGGAGGACGCCTTTGACGGTGTAACCCGGGATTCACATCATACTAGGTCTCCCCAAAAAGTGATCATCTGCCGCTAAAATGGTACCTTCCCAATCAAACTGCCAGGAGATTGATCCGATCCCAGGACTAGCCAGGAATTTCCCGGTCGCTCCCAATCCATTGCTCCATTGCAAGGAGTGGCGAGAGGCACTCGTTCCAGACTCTGGCAGCATTTGGACCTTGGAGACTGACTTGGGCATTCTGCTGGCGTCACCCTTCAAGGCGGCGACGACTTGGGAACTTGGGAGTAAGGCTGCTGTGAGTCTTGTCATATATGTTCTTGTAGTGGGTCCCAGACGTGTAATTTACAGACAACCCCCCAAAGTTGATAGATGTTGATAATAATGTTGCGTCCTGATTAGTGTGTGGCCCCCCCCCCCCTCCCCTAAACTATTTCTGGACTCTCTTTAAAGTAGAAAGTCAAAAATTTTCTTCCCAAAAGAAAAACATATCCTCAATTAAGTAAGGATTTCAATTGGCTACAATTGAAATCTAATTACTATTGTTTTTTTTGCCGATGAAGTTGTGGTATTTGTAGTACTTGTAGTACTTGTAGTACATGTAGTACATGTAGTACTTGTAGTACTTGTAGTACTTGTAGTACTTGTAGTACTTGTAGTAAGCTCAGCTCATGTTTAGCTTATACTCAGCTAAATCTCAAGAGACACTGAACCAGCTCATGCACAGCTTGCTGCAATAGTGAACCCAGCAAACAAACCTACTAAAGTGAAATGGAGCCTCTACTGGTCCAGGGCCTTGGAAAATTGTGGGAAAGCTGTTCTTTAATAAGGGTTTAATAAGGGATTGGTTCTTTTGGGAAAGGCTTGCAGTTTGAATTTGGCAATTTTGGAAATGGCTTGCTTCCCTTCTTCAGGGGCTGCTCTGGCACAGCTTGCTGCAATAGTGAACCCAGCAAACAAACCTACTAAAGTGAAATGGGGCCTCTACTGGTCCAGGGCCTTGGAAAATTGTGGGAAAGCTGTTCTTTAATAAGGGTTGAATAAGGGATTGGTTCTTTTGGGAAAGGCTTGCAGTTTGAATTTGGCAATTTTGGAAATGGCTTGCTTCCCTTCTTCAGGGGCTGCTCTGGCACAGCTTGCTGCAATAGTGAACCCAGCAAACAAACCTACTCAGATAGAGATGCATTTACAGGCTCAGATAGGGAGATGAGCAAAAAATTGACTGAGCTACAGCGTTTTTGAGAAAAAATGCCTCTCAGCAATTACAGTTTTTTTTGCAAAAAAAAGGGCTCTCCCAATTTTGTTTTGCCACAAAAGCGAACCCTCCAAACAATACATGAGTTTCAGAATAATTTGGAAAAAATTTGCCACAATAGCGACCCTAGGTACTAATCAGGACTCAACATTAGTATACACTACTAAAATCTGGTTGTAGCGCAGCCTGCGCTCAATGTTCCGAAGTTCTTCCATTTCCCTCATCCCCAGCAGTTTTGGCTCTGCCTATCTCTGCCTGGGTCAGGAGACCCTGTCCACTCAGCTGCAGCGCGGCAAAGTGGATGCCTACTTGCTGACCCAAGGCATAGAACAGGCTGGGAAAGTCAGCTACCAAAGCAGGGATACAAGTCAAAGCAGGTGTAGAGTAGAATACTGGGTAGTATATAGAATATAAATGAATATAATATAACAGCATATAATATAACAGCAATGATCAAACAGGGGGTTAAGCATCACACAAGATATGGATGGATATTTGTTGTGTATTAGGAAATTGATGTGCAGGCAGAGTCTGGGCTGCATCACGCACCAAGCAATGTGGGGGTCGAATTGGATTGGTTACAACGGATGCAAGTCGAACCAAATGGCTTTGCACAACAGGAAAACTAGGAGATGGCTCTTTAGATTAGATTATGCTTCTGTCTTCGCGTCGATCACTGGTTCTACCACTTTAGACCCTGCACCCCAAATTTGGTGCGCCCAAATCCACACGATTCTACCATGGCCGTGTTTGAGTCACGGATTGCCACCAACTGCATCTAGGTCACCAAAATGTACAGATCTAATACTCAAGGTGTCTGGGGGCTATTCAAAATTGGGAGAAAGGTGTTGCACCCACCATGCCTGACACGTCGCAGCTGTTTAAACGTCATTTTCAACGTGCCAACGTCATGCAAAGATGCATGCACAAGGGTCGAAACGTTAGTTCACAAGTTCGTGTATCGCAGTGCGTCTCAGCTTAGGGAATTCCTTAGGGAATTTCTCTCAGACGACATCTATGTAGCTATACAGGCTATACATTTACTATCCCTTTCAACTGGAGCCATTGACAGTTGCACCCCTAGCATTTGCAAACTCGCAAACTCAGCACCAACGTTTCACTTGCGAATGCCGCATGTGCAAAGTTGTGCCAGTGATGGCTGACTTCCCAATCAATGCAGAGGACAGAATTTTTATGACCCATTTTCATCCATTTTCCACATGCCTGCTTGGGGTGCGTCCTAGGTCATCTCTGGATGTAACCCATACATAGCTGTGGATATAGCATAATATAACATACACATATGATCCCATATGTAAAGTAAGTGGGGTGAAAACGTTGCAAGTTATGTAACCATTGTTAATAAGATATACCCCCAGTCCGGAGTCCCGCCCGCAGTGAAGTGATGATGGTGTTAAAGTTACTGTTCATATTGTTCTTGTGGTTGTGGTTGTGGTTGTGGTTGTTGTTGTTGTTGTTGTTGTTGTTGTTGTTGTTGTTGTTGTTGTTGTTGTTGTTGTTGTTGTTGTTGTTGGTGCTGATGATGATGATGATGATGATGAGGAGGAGGGCAAATCTCGTCATCCGTTCGGCCATCCCGACGACAGCCCGAATTGCATAAAACGCTGGCCTTGCGCGGTCAAAACGCACTTCCTGGGGCAGCACCTCCGTCCTGGCCGTAGTTATATATATATATATTTATTTATAATATATATATATAGAATATATATATATATTAATTACCAACTTTCTAGCTAGGATACACTTCGAAGTGGGTAGCAAACCGAACAAAAGAAACAATGCAGCTCCTTGAGGATCAGAGAAAGGATTTCCTTTTGCAATGATGTATTGTATAGGGAAAGGCAACTGATCAAAGGCAACATTGCAAACTCAACTCATTCTCAAGCAAACTGGGTCCATCATCACTTCAAACAAACTACGCATTTTTTCCTATAGCGCTTGTCATGATGGGTAAACACCATATTAAACCATGTTCCGTCTACCAAATCTCACCACATGCGGGTATCAAGAAAGCCATACTTAAACAAATTTAAGATGTATACAGGATTTACAGCAGGGAAACCCCGAATGCGGAGCCAGCAACCCATTGGAACTATCATCCCAGCGCCAGGGGTTTTGCCATAACAACATAACATGGTTATTTGCTGCCAACAGGTTCGAGACACGGAGTGTTGGAACAGTAAAGATTAGTATTACTTACCATTACAGGCACGCGTGTTGGTTAAGAGCTACTTACCTCCTCGCGACTTGACTAAGCTCGGAGAGAAAGAAAAGGTATCTTGCCATATACAGTTTCATGCAGGCTTTACACAAGTTATAAAATCCCTCAGCCTCATGGGACAAACAACCATACATCTATTAGGGTTTCATTTAGGGTCTACATAAGTTATAACATCCACAAGATGACATATGCACTCCAGACTCGCCAAAAAAAAAGTGAAAAAGGGGAAAAAACCGAAACACATGAAGTCTGCAGAGGGTTCGCTTTTCCGTCTAAAATGTTGTCTTGGAACATACTAACGCACAAATGTACCAAAGTCATAAATCCCCACGCCTGCGCGGTGAAATGAGCCTTTTTAAGACGTCAACCATTCCGTTCCGGGCAAACCCTCAGTCCTGCCTGATCCTGCCTGTATGTTTTGCCAATCAAAAATTATACAAGATACCATAAGATACCACCTACCCCAGACCCCCGCTCATACCGATACCTACCCCAGTACCAACGGCAGGACTCGACTTTTCAAATTGCTTGGGCATCGCTCGCAGACCTTAGTTTCCTTCCATGCCAACGATTAGGGTGTCTGTGGGTGGTGAAGGCCGCGGATTTTGGGGGAAACAAACCGCAAAGGTGAGGATAGAACCTGATATAATCTGAGAATAGCTGAAATCAACCCTCTCGGTTTTTTAGTTCAAAATAGTGCAACATAGTGCAACATTATTTTTGTAAGTGCAAGAAGCATCCGAAAACTGAACAAACGTGTTGTTGAAGGGATTCAAAGCACATATAGATTCCAAAACTGGTAGAACCTATTTGGGTTGACGAGTCTAGTGGTAATCGGGGCTTTCAAGTCCGATGAGAATGGGTATTTCTTGTTGTCAGGGATAAGAAACCCTAGAAAAGTAATAAATATATATACATACACATACACACCTAATGAATACTGAGTACCCTTTTTATGCAATCCTTAGGAGCGTTACAATGCAATGACAATTCCTTTGGAAGAAGGAAATTGAAGAATAAACCAATAATTAACAGGCCACCCTTTAATGGATGAAATGGATGGTTGTATACCTTATATATCACTTTTACAGTAACCACATGGCTTTTCTGGTTGATTTACACATCGAAAGAGCTTCGACAAACTCCGGAGCGAGCCCAGGCTATCAGAAACACTGGATCAGTCAGGCAGATGCCTGGATCTCAGGGACACCAGCCTGGACAAGGGAGATATGACTGGACAATGACTGAGCTGTGGCAATTTCAGGATGGGAAAACCAAGCCCCCTTAAACCCCCCCAAGGTTTATATACAAGAACCCTTAAAAATGGTGAAATTGGATCGTTGGGCATGGGTTTTTACATGGGTTTACCAGATTCATTCAAGCGTGGTTTGCAGTGATCTTAAATGACAAAGTCCCATCTAGATATATATATATAACGCCCAGAGTTCTTGATTCGAGCACCAACTGGTGCCCATAGAACCAGTTTTGACCTTGTGGCATACCTCCCCTTGAAGCCATTGATAGCCATTGGAAATCTCGTCGTTTGGGTAGGATCATTGTGGATCCTCCGTTCTCAGACGTGTTTTGAGGCAAGGATTGTGACAGACGCACATTTGGAGAATGTCCAAGTTCGGACGCGTGCTCCTGAGGGGCTGGACGATACACATGTCCATTGACAACTGAAGGCCCCATTGACAAATTGAACAACTGACGTGTTTCGTAGTGAAACTCCGAAGTTGGGGGACCCCAAAAATCATCCCAGATTCGTACAGTCAGTAGTCTTTCATTGAAAATGGTGCTGGTGACATGGAGTCCCCGTGGCAAACTTTGCGACCCGTGTGGCTCCGCGCTTCTGAGGTCCTTTCTGGTTCTGCCGCACTTTCACCAGAGAGGCGGTGAAATTGATCCGGTCGTGATCAAGGACATGGAGGATCGATTTGCCCAGTCCAAACACGATGTCTTCAGCCCCTTGGATCCCCTTGGCATGGCTGGTGAATGCTGGGGTTTCACCCCATGTGGGATGGCTTGACCAACCATGGTGCAGTCGAATCCATGCGGTGGATGTCTGAGGATCCGCGATGATGAAGTGCAGTGGCATCATGGCCATCTTGACGGTGTGGATATCGGGCCTGGCTTTGGTGCAGGAACTTTGGTTCCGTGCTGCCATCCTGCTTGGGTTGCTTATCTTGCTTATCTATGGCTTATCTGCTCAACAATGGACTGCACTTGGCTTGGCAATGAGGTTGCGATTTTGTTTGAGGGTACTCTGGAGAATACTCTGATATCTTGTGACAAGAATCTCAGTGACCTGTAGGCGACGGTGAACACCAAATCCTCAAATGTTGGTCCAGATTTTAGTCAGCTTACTAGTAGTAGGAAAACCATGTCTACCATAGGACTACATCCATATGGATGGCATGTTCCTGTCATGTTCCTCAGTCACCAAGGCTCAGTTTCCCCTTGTACAGTGGCTACTGTCCTTGGACTGCATGGCTTGAGGATTGGTTGGAATAAGCCCAGGATAGATCTGGGATGGTTGGATGTTGTTGGATGGTTTTAGCATTACCAAATTTGTGGGTCTAAAATGACCCTTCGGAAGTTTATGCTTTCATTTCAATGACATCTATTGGAGATGGCCATGTGAATGCTTTCTTGAGACTACCCTTTCGGGAAACCTGACCATGAATGAAACATATACATACATATACACCCTGACAACCAAACATGGCTTGCTGCCAAATCCCACCATTTATAGTTTGATGATGTTTGATGATTTTCCCACATGTAGATGCCCAGCTGGAGCATCCATTTCTTTAGCCCTCCAGCTGTGTCCCATCGTCTCAGGCGCCTGCGCAGCCCGACGGGACCTTTGGAAGAAGTTGGGGCGCTGTCGCATCCTCCTGCTGCTGTTACTATGCATCCAGAGTGCCTTGGTGCCAACGCACCGCAAAAACACATCACTTGTACTGAGAAGAATCTTCAACTTATCCGCCAGTATGAGTTGTCCATAGTTTTCATGTTTTCCAGCTCGGACAATCTTAGATGCAAACACGATAAGCTCAACTGTTTTGACTTCTGGGTGCCCTATGTTTGTCTTTAGACAGGGACAACGGCACCTCAAAGACTCAATGGGAGGTACCTAACAGAATGCAAGGTCTATGCAAGGTCAATATAGCTCACTACGCCCCCAAAGTCTGGAGCAGAATGTGGCTGCCTTCACCATGGAAATTATATTCCCCACATGCAGGGTGTGAGGCTTTTTGGGTTCGCCCAATTTTGATCCATTCCCAATGGGTTTCAATCCACCGCAGCAGTAGGTGACTCAACCAAGTGGATGGAAACCATTGGAAAGAAGTTTTTCAGTGACAAGCTGTTTAGATAGATTATTATCCATATCAATACCACCAACAATCTTATAAATATCATAATTATGGTTTATCTATATATCAAGATTTCTCATGGATTACCATTGCGCCTTTGCATGGTGACTTGGTCTGGAAGCGCCCCAGGTGTTTCCATTGCATTTGCTGAATGGGATCGTCCGTTCCAGACGTGGGGCATGCTGCTGCTCCACACCACATTTGTCCCTCGGTCTTTTTCCAAAGCAGAAATCTGCATAGGGACTGACCCAAGTTCACTTGTTATATGATTATTCATGATTATTCACTATGTGATATTAAATATAATTTAGATCATTTACATACAACATCTTGCTGCAATATATTGACCAAACCTGGCACTCTTGACCAAACTTAATTAGCATAAATATTTGAAAATCGTTTTTTTTTGTGTGCAATATTTCGTTTCATCATGATGAAGCCGCAACATGCTGCACGAGTGGAAGAGAAGCAATAGCTATCTAGCTCATGTTTGCCTTGGTTGACTTTGGTCCCAGATTTTTCAGCAATATTTGTCGCTGCAAAGATAGAACCTGCCTGCGCAGCCATCATTTTGAAGTTGACTCGTAGCAAACAGAAACAGCAAACGTTTTCAAAGGGCTAGAGATCATTCGGGGTCACCAGGGTTAAGACGGGTGGAGAAAGGAAGTACTCCCGAATTTTCTCAGTCTTTCTGAATGCAAAGATGGATGCAATGGGTCTGAAAATTGGATAACTCCAGTTCCAATGGATTATCATCATTTTCATTCATTTTCTCATTAAATGAATTTTAATTACGTACTGTAGCCACATAATGTATCATAATGTCACATAGCCATAGCCTGTGGGGCCCCAAAGTATGACCTTTTTTGACTCAGCAAAAAAAAAAAGTGGCGGTTTTTCATGTTTTTCAGGTCAGCAACTTCAGTCCCTTTGGTGTGATGGAGATTTTCTTTGCAACGGCGGTGTGCGGCATTCCTGCATACATCTCGATTTTGCCACTTGGATCCACTTGGCCTTAAATGATGCAGCAAACCAACACCACTGAGTTGGTTAAAACATGTGTTCTGCTTCTCTACAATATAAATACACCCTGAACCAACCCTAAATAAACCCCAAATCCCCCTCTCCCCCGAAAAAAAAAAACAAAAACTAAAAGCAACTCCAAGTAAACCCTATAATTTTGAGGATGATGATGATGATGATGATGATGAGGATGAGGATGAGGATGTTGAGGAGGAGGACCGGGACCCACCCTTTGTGCGAACGTGGGCAATCGAAATGCACTTGCACATGTCACAAGGGCCATTTTGTGCGGAAATTCACAGGTAAAATGCCGCGGGCCAGCTCGAGCACCCTGATCAAGCACCGGCCTTTACACCTACAGTAAGAACCCAGTGTGGACACAGTGCTTGGGGAAAAACGATAACTGAGACTTACCTCAAACAAACCCTAAATAAACCCAAGCTTATAACACCCAAGATAACAAAAGCAACCCCAAGTAACCCCTAAGCGAACCTCTGAAACTTACGCTACACAAACCCTAAACCACCCTAAATAGATCCTAAACCCACCCAAATAGATCTTAAACCAAACCTACTGTATAAATAAACCCTGAACCAAGTCTAACTAAGACCTAAACCAACCTCAAACGGATCCTATGTAAATCTTAAACCACACCTAAAGAAACTCTAAACCAACCTTAAACCAACCTTGCGACCACTGACATTGCAAGGCTCCATCCAGACTGGACTGTCAATGTGGCCCAGGCGCTTTTTGCTTGTCTTATGGCTGAGCTCCAAAAAGGGCCCTACCTAACTCATTTGGCGGGAAACTATTCCAATATAGTCTAATGTCAGCCCACGATGAATCAACAGTTTGCTAATGTGGGAGAGTCCAATTTTGGTTATAGTAGCATTGTCACTCTTGGGGGTATGGGGTAGAACCTCAATTCATGTTTTATTAGTCCAGGGTTGGTATTGCACTGGTATGGCTGAGGCTACATTGACCGAATAGTGACCATAGTTTTCTCTCAGCATGTTGGATCACATTTGAATGTTTCTGCGGGGATAGGTCAACACCAAACGAACCCAAACGATATCATGTTTGGATTGATACGCATTCACAAGAACCAGCAATTTATGTGAACAGCACGACACGAAATAAATAGACAATTGCAAACCTTGAAATTATATTGAAATTATGAGGACCACATCATCTATACTATCCTGGAAATACGGTTGTATCTTTTCCTGGGGGACCTATACACTTAAACTTGTCAGAATCTCTGAGTTTTGTGCTTTGACTCGCCGTGTCAGCCTGCCGTATGCAATGAGCAACAAGAAGATGCAGCTGGCTTTCTTGCGGAGATTATTCTGCCGCCGGTGGTGTGTATGTGTCAGCCACTGGGTTCAAATTTAAGGGATATTGATGGAATTTAGAGGATAAATATACAGAATCCGTGACTCCGTGACTGTTCGATTTATATACGGTGTATATGTTATATAATATTATACGTGTATATATATATATACACGGTTATATAATATATAATTTATATACAGCGTACAGTATATATATATATAATATATACATAATATGTACATAAATAATATATATATATTATATATATATTACATGTACACAGATCACTCCAGCGGTGCATTTCCTTTGAGTTTTCTTGATGCCGGCGTATGATTGGGATAAGTCCCTTTTGGGATCTTTTGGGTCATGTCATTGGACACCCAAGAAGAGTTGGATAACATAGTGATAGTGGACACTCAATAATGATATCAATGTATTGATTTAAGGGAAAATTTACAGGAAAGCCCCATATTTAATGGGAAAATCTATGGTTTCCTGTAGATTTTCCCTGAAACCAATCCATTGATGATATCATATATCTGGAGGAAATTTGAGGATATCTATTGATATCATTAACATGGTCATTCTCATTCAGATGTAGTGGTGAAATGTAGTGAATGAAATCCTTATGATGACTATTCACTTTGCAGTTTTCCAGTGCCTTCGAACATTCTGACCCAAACCAGGATAGCAGCATTGGTTCAAAGAAGACAGGTTTCCGGTTCCCATTTCCCCCAAACAAACTTCAATTGGATTGGTTTGAGGGAACATTTACGAGAAAACCCACCATGTTTTTCATGGGAAAAACCATTGTAAAAGCGCTTCCGATGTTTTTCGCCAGTCGCGAAACGAATCAGCGAGGTTCGTGCTGGCCAGTTGGCGCGACGAAACCATGCGCCTGGATTTCCTGCTCCGAGACCAGTTGCAAGCGCAGCGCTGCTTGGATCGCTGGTGGCTATGGTACGAGATGGTGATTTCATGGGGATGAAACCATAGATTTATGGGTTTTTAAGAAGCAAATACATGATGTAATCATGTTTTTTTTGGGGAGGTTGAAGTAAAACCAATAATGAGCCTACAATGACTGGGGATGGTAAAACCAGTCACCCATAAAAACTGATGATTTTTGGGGGTTGAACGATGAAATTATATGAGGACATGATTTGGTTGATAATTTATTAGGCGTGTTGTACTATCCTATATATATAATCCTATATATATATATACTATATTGGGAATGATCATCATCCGCGAACTGGGAACCCCGATGGCCCATGGCGCAGCAGAGATTTTTGATCCATTGGCTTGTCATCATGTTCCTGGTATACTCCCCGTTGGTGCAACCATCTATCACATTATCTGGTGAAGCTTGACACTGGTTGACAGCATCTATGTTACCTGCTTTGATAAGGTCGAAAACTGAATGAGGAAAATGAAAAAAGTGAAGATCTTCTGAAGAGTATGCTGCCACAGGCGTGGGGCCATCTAGAATAATCATGCCTTGCTGTGATGCCAGTGGAAACAACACATGGGGACCCAGGTGAAAAAGTGACTGAGCTCGTACAGGCATAGCAGTGTGACCTCGCTTGCAGAATCATCTTCCAAAAGAACACAGAGTCAAAAAGTAGTTTCACAGCTGTATTGAAGAGAATTGAAGTAGCATGGAGCGTGCTTAAAGGTGATCATTGATTCTGTGTTTCTTCCCCTGTAGCACTTTGGAAGGCAATCATTGATTCACTTAAGCGCCACGAGCCGGTGGAGTGTCAAGACTTCTCAAACGTCACTGTGTCTTGGTCGCAAAACCCTGATGCCCTGCTGCTCACATCAGAAAGCTGGTTGTGGGTGTTGATCCCCCCATACTCAAAATCATAGGTTTTACATGGTTTTACCCTCTGGTAATGAAACATGGCAATGGACATCAATGGACCAATTTCCCATTTGTAGATGATTTTCCTGATGATTTTCCTGGTACTTTCATCAAACCTCCATATTGATATCATATTGATATCCATTTACAGTATATATTAAAATCTGGTATATCTGGTATATCTGGTATATCATATACATATATATATATATGTGTTGTATCCATTTCGTTCGGGGATTTCCCCATGTTTGACACCGAAGAAGCGCGCGATATTTGGCCAGGTGATTTTTGTGCAGGTCTGTGACTTTGCCCAGATGTGCTCGGTGTTGCCACCGACGACCATTGTGCAAATGTTAGACAAGGCCATGATTTGGAGCCATGGATTTGGAAAGCCCTGGAAATCCACGATGATTTTGATTCAAATGCCAGTTTTCGGGAAGAAAATCTGATGGACTCAGCTGTTGTCATGTAAAATTTGCCTATTTTTAGAGGACTGAGCAATTTATATAGTGCACTGTTATGCTCTGTACCTGCTGTTGGCAGTTCCTCAATGCTGATGTGGTCAGTCAATCATTTCTCACATGGTATATAATGATGCTGTAGATATTCTGTACATACAGGGGTTCCTACAATTGGGGGGTACCCCCTAAATCATCCGTTTTAATAGCATGTTCCATTCTAAAGCATCCAGCTATTGGGGTACCAGCCATATTGGAAACCGCCTGACGGGTCCCAACCTCACAGGTGTTTCAAGAACTGGATCGCTTGAGCGACCTCCTCAAAGTGCACAAGGCGGCGATGGAAATGTGTCCCCAATTTCCTTCAGTTTGGCGGCACGTCATAGATATCAAGAGTTTGTACCCAAGGTCCCACAGATTCTGGTCCGCCCTGGTGTTCTTGGGACAGTTATGTCATGCGTTGGTTGAACCGCTCAGTCCAGACCCCGAGATCAGCCCACAAGCGGAGACGCCCTTCCTTTGTAGAGCTGCATGCTGCTTGGTAATCTTGCTATTCCCAAGCAGCAACATTTGGCATGCACTATATAGAAACATGTCTCTATATCGACGTGTCCCAAAATGGAGGATTAAAACCCCCAAGTTGTGGCAACTTGAATGGCGAAAATGATGTCCTCAAGGATCAAATGTTTCCCCTAAACCTTCAGACAAACCCATATGTTGCCCCATAGCCATATAAGAGTTTCCCATATTATGATATTGATCATCTCATATTATCCCAAATATATATATATATATATATATATTTATATAATATATAATATAATTATATATATATAACCTGATATGAAAGTTGAAGTTGAGTTGCACCTGCCACAGGTGGAAACTGTGGGAGATGTGTATATGGCCGTGTCTGGCTGTCCCCATGAGATCGCCACTGGGGCTTCATTGCGCATGGGGGTTGCGTTTTTTGGGGGGTTCTATAAAGGGGGGTACCCCAATAGCTAGACGGTTTATAACATAATGGAATATCTCCCAAACAAATGGATGATTTGGGGGTACCCCCAGGTCAAGAAACCTGCATTTGACCAAACACTTCTATTAGGCTAAGAATTTGATCCGGAGGAAGCCGGATCTCTCATGAAGGGCAGTGACCTTCATTGAGATGTCTCAGATTGCTTGAAAGGCCAATGAAGTATACATTGAAGCACCCATTTTGGGTCACACCGAGTCATACCATCTAGGATGTTATTTCAACCTCACGATATTGTGATATATATATATATATATATATTTATCATAAATGATCATGATCTCTTGCTTCCACTCAGATGCCACTCCCATGTTCGATCCTTTTCTTCCGACCCCACAGCGAAAAACTCACCGAAAAAGAAAGCCCAAGGCGAACCATGCAGATATCGCTGCGCACTTTGCCATCGCTGCTCAGTCCAGTATCATCAGGAGCGCACCAAAAAAGCAACGGTCTGTCGTGGGCGATGGTTGTGGTGATGATGATGATGATGATGATGATGACCAAAACAACCAGCGTCAAACTCCGCAGCTTCGCCCTCAACACGACAGCCTCGCTCACTGCGCTTGGACAGGATGCGAGCGTCCGATGTGATCCTGCCACAAGGGTTCCAGGGCCGACGTTTGTCGGCAGTGCTGGGTGACAAGCAACTGGAAACTTGGCCGAGTTGAGATCCTTTTGAGTTGCCAAAGGGTGGCAGTATCATCGCTGTCACTGTGAGATAGCCAGGTAAAAATAGGGATTTTAAATGATTCAAACTAGCCATACATGTCAGCACTGTTTCCCAGGGGAGTGCAAGGATCATTCAGGAGCTAGACAAGAGTGAAACGAGATTCGGAGTTCAAAAACAACAATGATGCAGCTCAGCTATTTTGAGCATGCTAGAGCAGTATATAAACCATGCTGCTTTTGGGGTCCCTTGATTTTGGACATATCCAATATGGATTTCATTGGATGGTCCCAAGTCGGAAGATGTGGCGTGGTGACATTGTGAAAGACGTCAAGGGTGTAGATTGTGGTGATGCTGCTGCTGGTGAGGAAAGAATGTAATCACCATAATCACTGAGCGAGTTTGATGAATATCCTTTAGCATCTTTAGCCGAAACTTTAGCCCAGCCTTGAAATCTTGCGGGATGCTGTGTGAACAGCATCGGCCAAGAAACAGTTGCAAGGAAGGCTGTGGACCAATTCCAATCCCGTCCACTTAGGAACTGAGGATCCGGATTGGCTTGAACAGCGGGCGGATACGTGCAGGTGCATTTAAGCTCGGCGATTGGGGCAAAAGTAAAAGAGTGGGAAAAATAACTATGATGGAGACGGTTTTCGAGTCACTCAGTGTTCCCGATTTGAAGAGAATTCATGATTGGTGAATAGTCCGGGGAAGACTAGTTGAGTCCTGTCCTGTCAGATTTTAGATGCCATTGTTTGGATCAAGTCTCAGAGGGAACCGTTTCCGGCTGCTGCATAGGCAGACAGATGTTTGATGATTTTTGGACGCTTCCATTCACTGGCCAGTAAAGACGGGGCAAAGAATCCATCCTGTTTGAGATGATGATCCACCATGACTCACATCTGTCAAAGGGGGGTTGAAACCACCAATCAGTTTCGTGTTCGATTCCCAATTTACAGGGACTGGTCACTGCTAAGCAGTTGGCTAAATTGGTTAATGACATTGTATGACTGGATTACGGTTTCAAGGTTTTATCATGGACAATGGACAATTGTGTATATTATATATATATTATATATATATATATATCAGTATGCAAGGGGATGATAGGGGATGATATATCTGACATATCTGAGAATATCTACATTTAATAGCAGAATTATGCTTATTATATGGTTGGCTTTCTAAAACCAACTCATCAATGATGGAACATACACATACACTAATCCATAGAATCTGTGGCATTCGCTCTACCCGACCTCAGACGATGCAGGTGTGGTGAGTCTGGACAAGCCACGCTTCAAACTCTTTGGCGATACGGTCAACACTGCAAGTCGCATGGAGAGCACCTCTGAACCAGGAAGCGCTCCGCGCTGAAAATCACTGGGTTAACAGGGTTGATCAGGGGGATGGTAACTGATATGACTATAGTATACATGTGGTTTATGAAGCAACAACACATGAATGAGTTGTTACTGTACCCGTTGGTACTTTGTTACAGTTTGCGAACTGGAAGCTATGGCCCATTTGTAGTGATGATGATTTACCTTTCTTGAAAATTGCGATGTTCCATAGCAATCTGTTAAATTACCAGAGGGTATTGTATGATATTGTGTAAGTATGTGTAAGTTAGATGTAACCTGGCCATAGTTTGGATAGAAGCATGACTTGGCAACGCTTAATTATGTTTAAGACTGGTCAAACGTGATTAATTATGTTTAACTACGTTACCATGATGTCAAACGTTAGGAGATAAATGTAGTTAGACAGAATTAAAAACGTATCTATTCACATCTATTAGCCTCAGGACTTAACAATCAACTGCCATTAATGCTACCATTAATAGTGCCATCAATAGAAATACTGCAGCATTGTGTCGTGCTAGTCCCAGCCCGCCAGGATGTACCCAGATCAGTGAGTCCACCAGATCAATCCTCAGTGAGGAATTCGATGCGCAGGCACGAAAAGGGGTGGGCTATCGGGACGGAATATTAGATTATGGGATAATATGGGATAATATGGGATAATATGGGATAATATGGGATGATATGGGTTAATGTGGGATAATATGGGATAATATGGGATAATCTATCTATAAGATATGGGAAACCTCTTTATGGCTATGGCGTAACATGTGGGTTTGTCTGAAAATTCAGGGGAACACCCCAAAAATTGTTGGTTTGGAACATCATTTTCCCCATTTGCCATATTTTCAGACAAGGTTAGGTATCAAAGAATTGATGTTTGGCGCAAGGGAAATATGATAATTTCACCAACCAAAGTGAGAGACATTTACCAACAAAATACTCGGTATCGATCATAATGATTATTGATGATGGGATTTGCTTCTTGTTCAATCTTATGGAGATTTACTTAGGCTCAAATTTTGATCCGCAAATTCCAAGTACCCTCTGGAAATTTCACATGGCGTCGATTATCATGGGATTATGATGATGATTACACTCTGGTGAACTAACATAGCAATGGAAAATCACAATTTTTCATGGGAAAATCCACTATTTCTATGGCCATTTTCAATTGCAAACTGTTAGTTCACCAGAGGGTATCATGGGATGAAGATGAACATCATAATCCCATGATAATCCCCATGGTAATCCCCATCATAATGGGGCCTTTTAATGGTCATCCCTTTCGTCCTCATTCAGCTAGGAGCGAGGCTGGGTTGAGGTGAAGGGCAAAGGTGCTTTGAGGACCCGAGGGCCTGAGGGGGCCGAACGTATTGAAAAGGCGAATGAGTAGAATGAAAAACCACACCGGGGTCATAGTTTGGATATAAGAGTTATCATTATAATCATAATCATAATTAGTCTATTCTATAATTGATAATTGGGATCTTATTAGAATGGACATTGACAAATCTGAACACCAAGTCTGGTTGTACCGTACCTCAAGTTTCCTGGGCCTGTTGAACCCTCTGGTAATCAACCATGGCAATGGAAATTCGACGATGATTTCCCCAACTATAAACCTCAGGGTGATTTTGCAGGACCTACTACCTCCGTGGATACAACCTAGTTGAGACGCCGGATGACAGCAAAATGCAGGCCGGATCTGGCTGGATCGTTGGGCAAAAGAACATTGAACCTTAAAGTCTCACATACGGCCATGCTGTGCAAATGAAGGTTGAAAACTACAATACGTGTCATCACGCTCTGTCGCACAGCTCCTTTTTTGCCAAAGTCTGAAAGTCTAGAGTGATCTCAACTGAAGCACTTAGTCAAAAAATGTCAAGAAGTTGAACCAAAGGATATTTCCAATCTCTGTAACATGTTACATCATGTTAGTATGTTGTACCCACTGCCCCAGGATTCCGTCACCATCAAGGTGATACAGAAGGCTGGAAATACACTCCAACTAACAAAGAACCTTTCATGACTTGGGATTGGAAGGCAACTTTCCAAAAAATGGCTATTCTCAGGATCAAACTGTGAGTTTTTGGAAGGGAAATGATTCTGAGTAGCTGAGTATATGGTTCATACGCCTGTTTTATGCATTTTCAAACCTAATCGCAGCTCCTGCGTGCTTACAAGATACACAGACTTGTTGCTTGTACTCCCCGCGCGTAATCAATCTTTGGTTGGCAAGGTCAAGTCTGGCTTGTCAAAAAGCTGAGGGGCAAACGTCGATCAACTCAAGCAGTGTGTTTATTTATTTTTTGTTCCCCACCAGAGAGTCTAGGGTTTGACCCGTACCTTCTCGTAAGATTCATGGTGACTGAACATGTTAATTTCAATGTTCAAATATGTTCAAATCATAATCATTTGCCATGGGATTTCACAATCACCAGGTATCACCAGAGGGTAACGTACCACGCGTGGGTAGGCAGCGTTGGCTGCTGTGGACAAGGATGAGGCCTATCAAACTGAAGCTCCAGGTGAAGCGGGGCAGTTCTGATCTGTCAACACTTGTTGTGTGACTGAAAATAGGAGATCGCCCAGTGGTTTTGACATTTGTTTTGGCCATTTGAATAGTACGTATATATAACCATTGGAGTATATCTAATGTAACCATTGGAAGATGATGATTAACGGCAACATTGATTAAGCATTGGATTTTGGGGTACACTATTTTCAGACACAGCCAGATCGATTTCAGACTCTTCTTAGACAATTTTGGCTCAGCTTTATTCAGGGCTTGGCATGATCGATAGGATTTTGCTATGTTCATTCATTCATTCATTTTACTAAGTTCAAATGATATGATCATTTTACTTACCCATTTAATCATTTATTTCACAGCTAGATCAATAGGGTTTTTTGCGATGTTGGGCGGGATCTCCGTCCCAGATTCTGTCGGGTTTTGGTTCACCATGGGCTTTCGTGACACTGGCGCAGGCAATCCCTTGCTGCGAAGGGCAGCGGGGAAAGCGCTACAAGATCTTCTGGACAGCATTCCTGGGACCTTGCAGGTCACACAGGCGTGAAAGCTGAAACCATCTGAAACCTGTAGCGCAGCCTTAAGGAGATAGGTACCACTTGTGGTAGCAAGGTGCATCCAAGGAATCGTAACTGGGGAACAACTACAGTAACTAGATGAAAGAACCGATTTAGATGTGGGATATATGGCCATTATATACCATTATATACCGTGTTATAGCTTATCAACCACGTATTTACTATAGTTGGGATGCACCCTCAAGTATACATATCTTAAAATTGGGGGATACGCCAAATTGTGGCCATTAAATTATATATATATATTATATCCGTTGAATCAACACCAAAATGACAATTCTACTAGAGATAACGATGACAACAAAATTGCATTTCGACATAGCCTGCCAGCCATCGCGCCTGAGTCGACCCCATTTAGAGGTGCTACAGGTCTGTTTTTGTTTGCCTTGGACAAATATCACGGGCAATAGCCACAAGAATGATCTATCAATCTTCAGGATGTAGATTTTCATGCATTTTCTACCATTTGTTGGAAATTGAATAGTTTGGGGTGACCATTTTCAAATGACGACATGTGTCGCCCAGTTTTTCGCCTGACCTGAGCCTTGAATATAGGTCATGTCGAGGGGCCAGAGCACTCGAAACAGCAACATGTACCAAAAGAAGAGAGAAAGTTGGCCCCTCGGCTCCAGTGATCCAGTTCCGAAGTGTTCCAAGGATCGACCGGTTTTGACAATTGAGAAACCCTGGAGGATGGGGGAATCGGAGCCATTTTTTTTGACCGCTGTCTGGAGGTTTTTTGGAAAAATACCGTCAGGGGCCCCCTGGAATTGGCTGAACTATAATGTGATATATAAGTACTTGGATCACATGCGTTTCCTACTCCGAGTACAGAATCTCTAGACTCTAGGCGGGCAACCAACTGTAAATCTGGGCACCGTCTACAGCAGTGTAGTTAGGATTTCTTTGAGACCAAAAGGCATTTGTGCCAGCTGGCAGAAGTGTGCCTCAAGTCTCTCAAGATCACTTAAAATCATTGCCATAAAAGCCAACCTGGAAAGTCTATCTAGATGTTGATCAAAGCCTATGAAATACATATATATATATATATATACCATATTTTGGATGAACATCCAGAACATTCCCAGCTATTGTGGTGATATTTTCCAGCGCAGATCCATAAATGTTCATATATCCCACCTATTTTGGTGATAAAAACCAGGGAAATCCATGGGTATTGACACGTTGTGATCCATGCCACTCTCCGCTTAGGAGAGAGTGGCTTGATATGAAGCTGCTACTGGTCTCCAGCACATCCAAGCGCCCAGAGATGTTGCACAGTTTGAAGGAGGATAAGAGGGAATACAAACGAGTCACTTTGGACTCTCAGATTGTGGTGAGGCCAGTGGTGGTTGTGGGCTGAAAAAGGTGAATGGTACCGATGGTACCCATAAAACAACCATGATTGGGCCATCATTGTTTTTCACACCCCCAAAATCGTACCAAATGTCTAAAATCCCTATCAACACATGGTTTCTGGTGTATTTAATATTTACCTTAGTAATCCTTAGTATCATTAGGGGAATGGGATTCTTGTACGAAATCATGGTGAAGCATCAAATCTAGGGTTACACTCACTCTGGTCATGTTGTTTCAGTTTGCTATGGAATATCTTGACTTTGAGGTACTTTTAAGAGGTAAGTCATCAAATTCAATCGGCCATGTTCCATAGCTATGTTGAATTACCAGAGGTTATTAGTTTTTTTTGAGTATGCATCCCGACAATTCTGATGCTTGTCTTTAAAGTGCCAAAATATGTTGTTTGCAGCACCTTGAATTTCTGATGCATACCCATATTTGCTTGCAAGCTTGGTTCATTCCAAGGTGAGTCTCTACCAGGCACTACCAGCTGTGAGACCATTGAGTGGAGTGTTTCTACATGTTGTTCCAAATTTCTGGGTTCCATCCGCTTGTTTCTATCAGCCATATCCTATGGTCGAACCCAGTTTTTGCTTTGGTTGGTGCAACAATGGTCCTTGAGAAATGAACATATCTGACATTTATTTGTGGCATGTTTTGCCCTAAGACCACCTCACGATCATGTCGTGAAAAGATGCATCTGACTGGGTCTGCGAAAACTATGCCACTATGCGCCTGCAATCCTGCGTGGTGCTGAGGACAGACGTGTCTTCTTTTCACGCGGATTGGTGATTGCATGGCATCTGGTCTTGTCCACCACATCGCTGCTGGATTATGCCTTTGACATTCCCATGAGTCCTTTGACTTGCGCGGGCCCTGCGCGGTGCGGGAGAAACTTCACTGTCGAACCCGAACCGACAAACAATGGCAAATGGAAATGACAGGAAATACCTTTGAAATAACTGGAAATCCTCAATATCAAAATGTGAATCCTTTCCACTTTGGTGTTTCCATTGCTATAGTTAGACTATGTTAGATTATCAGAGGCTAGCCGAGCCATGAAACATACGTGGCATACCATGTGGTTTCCAAGTCCTGACATGATGAGAGATAATGACTCTGCCATCATTACAACAACCATAATATACACTGAGGCGGAGGAGGCTAGCCTTGCTACACTCCGTTATGTGATTCATGTCCACCAATCTTCATGTTCAAACTGAGACATTTGGCATTTCCAAAAACCGGGGGTACCCCTATATCATGTTTATTTGATTTTCCATTATAAACCATCCATTTTTGGGTAATTACCCATTTATGGAAACACCGGAAACAATAAATTTAATATGTACATTCAGTGAATCTCTGTAGGCCTGACAACAACATACGAAGACTTCGCCATGGAACAGACCCTGCCGTCAGAATCTCCGTGTTACGATGCTGTGCAGCAACTTGAGCTCAAGATGATGCTCTGTGTAAGACATGGAGTATTTCAAGCAACCCATGGCAACCGACCTCTCTTAGATGTCGGTGGAAGATAGGTTAGCCAGAACACCCACGTCCATCACCTAATCTCCAAATTGTCTCTAGCCGCTAGCCATTTCAGCATTTTGAGAGATTATAGTATATTATAGTCTGGTCCAGGGCCTGATTCGTATCATAAGGTCAGCCTGTCACCCACCACCCATGTTTCACCATGTTGCTTCAAATCAACCCCACCCAGCTGAATTAGCGCCACCCATTGAAACATAGCACCCTAACCGTGGCATGTGCCAATGGCGGGAAAGCAACCGGCTGGCCCTGACCGGCAGAAGAAGCGTGGCGCATGTGGCGGGCGGGCCGTGGGCGTGGCTGTGAGCATTTCGCTGCTGGCCAGCTTGCCGCATGCGCATGCTGCGCTGTCCATTTCCTCAGGTGCGAGGTGAGTTTGGGCAATGCCAGGCGGTGAAGTGGTTACTGACAGATACTGACAGCTCTGTTTTTGGGCCTGGCTTGGTAACAAAGACTTCGTAAGTAAGAATCAAGTAATTTAGATAAGATGGATGGAGCATCTCGATGTAGCAATCCAAGCAAATCAATTTTCATGGATCCCAAACCTGTTGTCGGCAGACACGCACTAGCCAATGGATGATGGTGATTAGCTTCAACTAGCTTCAACCTTACTGGTACAAGGGACCGAGCACGAACCATCATCGACCAAACCTCGCATGCAGGTTTGAAACAAGATGAACCCATCATTGCTTGAAACATTACAGTATGGATGAAGCAGTTGACAAGGGTTTCACTGGAGTCGCATGAAGTGCTTGTGTGATGGAATCGTCCTCATAGCAAAACAAATCTTCAAGGGTGGGGTCCGGCGGGGTGGCGTACTTCATCATAATTCTATTTTTGAATATTTTTGCTGTTGCCAAGACTCTTCTACATCAGGGGATTGTCACAGCCTGTGTCGCAGTGATTAGCACACCGGAATTAAAGATAGCATGGTTTTTCCCTATGGTTTTCCCTATGGCCCAATGTACAGAGGTTTGACATGGTCATGTTTTGAAGTTTCAGAACTCCCAGCCTGCAGGTTACGAGAGCTTTCTGACTCAGATCAGGAATCGAATCGTATGTGCAGAGGACGATGTTCAGGAGGTTTTAGCACAGACCTGTGACTCCATGAAGGACGGTAGACCAGATTCAAAGATGTTCAAAGATGTTCAAAGCCCATCTCTGAAGGGTAAGATTCCTCTAAAACACCATCCCATAGCATCCCCTAAAATCTCTTCCCCCCACCAATATCCACCGATATGCACCTGTTTATGGTGTCAGGATGGTCCCTTCTGCCGTGCCCTACCAGAGTTGGGCGTGGGACAGCCGAGACATCAACCCTTCACCTTGGACTCCATCGTCCCGCAGCACCTCTTCGGCGATCCTCGCGCCAGCATGGAACGAGCCCCTGGGAAGGCCGGTGCCGGGTCCGATGCCGCGCAAACGGAGCAGGCCACGAAACAGGCCACGGCCGTGTTGAATCGCTTCTTGGAACATTTCTCCAAGATCAAAGAGGCGACATGGCAGAAATTGATGAAGTGGATTTGCAGATATTTTGCAGTGAATGAGTGGGAGGTTTGAAATCTCTGGTGTTTTTTTAATGTTTTTTCGTTTGGTTTGTTGATGGCATGTTGGGTTCTATGTTATTCTCATTGCTTTCCCTCCACATTTCGAGGAGCTAACCCACCCGAGGTGAGCTGGCCAAGGTCCGCAACGACTGAGGGCCGCCTGGATCTTCGGCGCTTAGCCATGGGAGGAAAGCTGGCGATGCCTCGAAGCTATTCACGAGGTCTACCTAACCAGGTCTATGCTTCTTGGGAGGGCCCTTGGCAAGTCGAGCCAGTTCACTGAAGCTGAAAAGATCAATTTTTGAGGATCTTTTGGATGTATATGGTTGATATGTTGATGTGTGTTTGTGTGAAGTTTGGCTGTATTTGATTGTTGACAATGTTTTTTTCATTTTGTTGATGTTCCCTATTCACATGGCCATGCATTTGATTGAATTTGGGCTAGTTCCCCAATTTTTGGGCAGACATGGGACCCATAATCTTGTTTTCATTGGTTCTGCCGCCTTGTAGAGTGGAAGATGGAGCCTGGCCTCAACAGAAAACCTCAAGTTTGAGAATGTCCTGCCCCCCTGTCAAGCAATCAATTTGAGGCCGGAGTTCCCTCAGGATTAGCTTGAAAAAGGCTCTCAGGATCTCTCAGGTTCAACCTTTTTTACGCCAAGGCTGTTTCGCCTCCCATTGACACCCTGAGAAAGAAAAGGACACGCCGAAGTCGAAGGCCTCGAGCAGCAGTGCGGCTCAACGGAGCCATAGGCGCATGGAGAACTTGTCGATGGTGGTTGATTGTAGATCTATGGGGGAATTGTCGTATGGGTGATAAATATTGATAAATATTGATAAATCACAAATAACCACCACGCCATTTTTGTTCATTCACATATCATGTAAAAGTATAAAAACAACGATTGCCAATTGACGCTCATCTTGGATTTGTCCAGCTTTCATCCACTTCCTCAATGTGTTTGCATGTTGCACCATGCGTTGGACTTTCCTCGTCTCAAAGTTTGGAACATGCCAATGCCAACCTGTCGCTTGATGGTACCCCATGGTACCCCCGTCAGAAGCGCCAGGTTCGGTGCGGTTCAACCGCCCCGTGGTCATCCGCAGCCTCCAAATGATGCCAACGTCGCTGTCCGGCGCCGGCGAGGAGCTCTGGGTCAGGGGCCGCCTTGGGGGGGCCGAAGTCTGGCGGCATGCCTGGGGCCGGGGCGGCGCGTGTGGCATTGGGGAGCTGGTGATGGGGAGGCCGGGAGGCATTTGGGGAGGCTTACCAACCATTAGAGTAATGACTTTGAGATATTTTGGGGATGTATTATTATTGATATTATTGGGTTTACCATGGTTTACCACATTAATCGGGAGAGAATGTGGTAGACCCAAGGCTATAAACCGCTAATTGGGATGGTATTTATGGCATTGGGTTTACCACATTAATAGGCATTTTGATGGGAGATGACAAGAGCCAAGAATGGAGGATATGGATGTTGTCCTTATGGGGGGTTGAAACCCGACACAAAACGAGGTAAACAATCACTTGCTCAAGTGTTCTTCAGGTGTTTAAACATTGGGCCGACCTAAATCGAATCACTTGCTCATGTGTTCGGTGTTCTTCAGGAATTTCAGGTGTTGTAGAACAAAAAAGCTTTTGGATGCGTTTGGGTTTCCACAGCATAGCTACGTGCCGGATTTGGTGATGGAATGGGATATTGAGCACTAATATGATAAGGGGTTTCTCGGAAATGGTATAGAATGGGGTCTAATACAGAGATAGATATACTGTATATATACACCAGAATTGCAGCTTTAACGGAGGAAAGCAGGTTTTAATTTTAAACCATTGAATTCGGACGACAAACTCAGATCATCCATGATGCTGCTGGGCGGAAGTGATAGTGGAAACTAGACAAGGACTGGTGTAAGAAAGACAGTCACAGGTGAATCGTCCCAAACATTGGGCCAGCTTGAGTTCTACATTGTCAGTTTGCCTGATGGACCCAAAGATAGAGGAATTGTTCTTGGATTCAAGGTACAGTGTGAAGCCAACATATAACATGGGGGTCATTAAAAAAAAGCTGGGTAAGATGGAAGTTTGATTCTGTGCCCTCAAGACTGCACTTATGTTGATACACATGTTCATATAATTTTGCGCGATGTTAATGTTGTTCCAACAGAGCACAAACAAGTCTTCTCTTCCACAAATTCCACCAACATTGCTTTTTTGCGCATGAGAAGCACCATGAGTCAACCATGAGCGCTGGAGGTGGGAAGGTGATGGTCAGTTCTACTACGCACGGATTCTCACCTCTCATCGCACTGGCGCAACTGTCCTCTGGATCGATCGGGATCCTTCACACCGACTGGTGAGCTGGGAGCATTTGGTGACACCTGCAGGAAGGGCTGTGTCTTTCTGGTATTTTTTGGTGGTACAGCGCCACACTACTCGTACCCCCTGGTAAACTAACATAACTATGGAAAATCTCCATGTTTCAGAATGATAGGTAAATCAACTATAAATGGCCATTTCCAATAGCTACGTTAAATTACCAGAGGGTAACCACTTTTTTGGGGGGTACTATTGTAGTAGATATGGCATGAATACATATATATATATATACATATTGAAAACTGTTGAAATAGAATCAAGGACAGCAAAGGCTCAAGGCTCTTGCACTGGTATTGTGTGCAATCGATCCCACACTCTCTTTCTATATATATATAATATCTTTCTCTCCCTCTATTTACTATATATATATACATATATATATATATATACAAACATACACATACACATAATACACATAAATATTCTACAGCATCTCATTTTCTCCCACCCCAAGATTTGCTTGAGGTAGGGAGCAAGAAATGTGTAATGTGTACAAAGATGAGGCATTGACCACAATGAATGATGTTTAAGTGTGATGGCTGGATTGACCATTGCCGTGGTTTTTTCCCAGTTGAGCAGCAACCCCCTGGGAGATGCCGCGAAGAGGCCTCGTTTGCAAAGAGCTCGTCTTAGCGCCGCCGGGAGCAGTCGAATGGCAAGACCTGGCCAGGCGAAGCAAGGTGTGGTCGGGGGGGGTCTGATGGCTTTAAAAAATGTTCGGAATGGGTTCAGAATGGTTAATCATGGCTAGTACTGGTTAATACATGTTAATAATGGTTAATGATGGTTAAGAATGGTTAATTTTGGTTGATTTTGGTTAATAAATGATGATTAGTGGCAATTTATGGTTATATAAAGAGGTTTCCTATGTCATGGGGGATCACATAGTAAAGTCATGGTTGTTTCAGTTCTTTTAAGACTAAAAAATTGGATTTAAAATGGGTCACTCACGACTTGGATGATGACTGGGGGTGGCCGCTTGACTTGGGAAACCTCCAGTCGTGTTGATTTTTTGAGATGCAAAGAGATAAAGAATGGGAAACATACACGTCATCGAAAGACTGGTATCTAAGACTTGGTATGGATTTTTTTGTGAAAACGGGAGAATGCTAGCAGGCTGTTTACCTGTTTGCTCTGAGTGCAAAATGGATCAATGCCAAATCACCACAATCTTTGGTCTCCTCGGTCTTGAATTTTGCACCATACTGGCAGCCATGTTCTTACTGTTAATATCTGAATTGAGCATACTATAGTCAATCTGCTCAAGTCTGACCCATTCAGAAATTCAGAACCTTGAGCACAGGCTGTCGATGAGATTGCTTTCCTGTCAGTCTCGGCCTCCCAGTGGCTCTTGGGTGAGCTTCATGTGGCTGCAACCGCCTGGAAACCGGAGGAGCTGCGCTCGGAGTCTGACAGCGTTCGGCCACCAACGGACACTGCAGCCCGTGTGGTGCAGGTCCTGCCCGGGCCCCATGCGTCCATTGAAGAGGCTTCAGAGTCTGAAGCTCGGAAGCACTCAGGTCTTGCTACTGAAGTAGCAACAGGTTCAGGGAATCACCCAAAACAAACAATGCTAACTGCTTTCAAAATATTCTCAACTACTGTAATCCATTGGGGATATTGATAGAAATCACACTGTTTGAACAAGGTATGATTATCGGGCCATGTTTCTTTCCGACTACTTGGCATTTGTGGGGTTGTTTTTTTTTTTATGACGGTTTCCATCCATCGTTCCACAATATGCCACATTTTTTGTCACACCATAGTCACTATGCTGTTTGGGTTTCCAATTTTTCAGAGACCACAGCCTTGTTCTTTTCCTATGGGGAAACCCCAAGTCCCGTTAAATGGTTGGGATCTCCTGAGATGATCTCCTAAGTGGGTTAAGAAGTTAAGCCAGTTAAGCGGGGCCACAAGCCCCTTAAAGATCTTAGAGTTGTGTTATATGAGTTATATATGGTGATATTGGGATATAGCCGGTTTTTCCTGATTTTTCTCAATCCTAATTTACTATAGTTATTTCAAGTCGTATTATCCCAGTGTCACATGTTCCCCCTTTCATTTGGCAAACAGACGCCTTATCTGTTTGTGAATTCCCAATCTCCTCAAGCACCATGAGCCTTATCTTTTGGGATGCCTCAAGTTAGTCACTGGTTATGACCCCGTTGGCAATCATGGCAAGTTACTGGCCATCAAGTTCAACTTCATAAAAGAATAATACCCTCTACTCCTCCTTGCTTGATGCACTATCCACAAGTGCCGAGGCGTGACTTTGCCGTTCAAGATCACTAGCCATCACTCCCAACTACCATATCATGCTCGTATCGTATCATATCCTAATCCTAATCCTAACCATAATCGTCCATAATCATACTCATATCATAAACATACAAACACATGTCTCAAATAACACAACATATATATATATTTACATTGTATATTTTATACATATATATATATAGTATTCAATTATATGTTTTATACACATGTGTATGTATATATATACACATTAAAATATATATCCTATACATATATATATATATGCATTAAGTTATGTGTATATATATATGTATATATGTACACATAACATCACATAACATAGACATCCCCCTTGCCAGCCCCATCCACAGTTTACATTTAGGCACTCTTCTACAACGCCGACGATATGTTGGAGCGCGGTCTTCGCCTGAAGAGTTGGCCTGGTCGGTGGCCTGTCGCCGCCATGTTTCCACGAGGGAAATTCGATGGCCAAAACGGGGATACAAAGTCAGCACAGTTTGCATACAAGAGGATACAGGTATGGTGAGAATATATATATATATATATAATTATATATTATGATATATTGTGTATATATATATATATTGTATATATATATACACATAGCCAGAAACGGGCCAAAAATATGGTGTAACATACTGGTTCGTTTGAACATGCAGTGTATCCCCAATCAGCGGCTACGAGGATCCACCAGCGGATTTAGGGATAGATTGGGACAAAGTCGGAGTGACACAGCCAACAATTGAGGATATGGAGTTATCCATCAACAGAGGGAATTTGACCATCAAGCATTGAGGTAACCAATCGAAAAAACACATGGGGGTTTGATATACAATGTTTCTCTCAAGGTTGGGGATGGACCTGGCAATTTTCATGGGGAACATGATGATCTGGTAGAGTGTCAGGACTGTTCGGGCATCCAATTTTGCGACACATTGTACCGGTAGCACTGTGTATTTGTTGATAATGCCACCTTACCAGGGGGCAACACTACAAAATCAGTAAAGTGATAGATCATCACAAGACAGTGCAAGCACCTAAATTGGACCACTGATTGACCATCCCAAATTTCATGAAAGAGATTGGTTATATGGACTTTCCAAGCATGTAGGATACCGGGTGAATGACTAGAGGGTTGACCCCGCAGAAAATAGTGGATAGTAGCAGGTATGCTACACTCGATTGAAACATCTGCCCTTGCTGAACATCCCAAAGATGAAGAGAATGGTTTACATTACCCTCTGGTAATTTAACGTAGCTATTGGAAATGGCCATTTATAGTTGATTTACCCATTAAAAATGGTGATTTTCCATAGCTATGTTAGTTTACCAGAGGGTAGGATGTTCACTGATACTCCCTCAGCCCACGTGGATTCCAATGAGATCTTCCCAGAGGTGAGCATACCAATACCCTAATAGGTTGATAATCTATCTAAATCGCCAGGTGTCCATAGCCATGTTAATTATATTATATGAATTACCAGAGGGTGCATTAAAAAATCATTATCATCGTTATAACATATTATACATGTGATAATCATTATAATCATTATAATCATTATAATCTCAGATGTATCTTATACATATTATATCGTTGGTCGACCTAACTGACACTGTTTTTCCCTAACAAACGATGGGCCAACGAGGCAGAAGAGTGAGGCCAGCACTCGAAAGGCTTCGCAAAAGCTGCAGACCGCGGCCTTCCACTCGGACCCTTGGCCTTCGGATTAGAGAATGAGTAGAAATTGCCTAGATTAATCCCATCCACCTAATTTGAAACACCCGATGAATGCTGTAAATCCGCTACGAAATGAGGGAATTCATGGGACTGGGGTTCATATTAGGAGGCACTATATAGTCATTGTGAATGGACGGGTTCGGAATTCTGATCATCCTATGTAACAAAAATGATCAAGCGCCTTGTGAGTTCGCAAGTCCGATTGAACTTGATCACGCTAGTTCTGCTAAGATAGTAATGAAGATAGTATCTTCTGCACCTTTTACACCAGTCTTCGGTGTATCACTTGATTTTATCTGCAGAAATGTCGACAGTGAATCAATAAGAAACTACGGATTGTTATGATTTATGTCACGATTGGGACTGTGAAAGCTGCGAACTTCTTTTGTCCTCAAGGCCTCAAGGTTGTGTTATTTTTTAGTTGGAGAACCTATCGCGGCACATTCTGACACACGTCTAGGAATTTCTATCTTTTCAAAAATATTATTTCCACATAAGCCCCAAAAAAGATAGAATAGTATTGTTTCAATTGTTTCCAGTAATTTATCGCTATTTGAGTAGGGTTTTGTTTTTCTATTTTTTTCATTCTTTTCCTTCGTCTATTCGCATCTCTGATTCTCGCATTGAATACCTCGGACATATACTTCATCATCCTACTTCCCCAGAATTCCTTATTTGCTTCAATAACTCGCGCTCCCTTCGCATCATTTCATCTCCTTTTAGACGAGGGGCACCAAGAGCCCGCTGCACTGGCAGAATCAGCACACCGCCTACATCAATTTATTCCACATCTTTTACACAGGCACATTTCACCATTGTGGAATTAAAACAATTTTCCTTCACTACTATGGAGCAATGGTACAACACTACCAAATAATATATATTCCTCTCCTTTTTCCACTTGCTGACAACCGAGAACAGTGAAAGACTATTACCCCAAAATGAACTAGATAACCAGCCATGGGAATACTGCTGCTGACGTGTAGTACCTTCTGTGTTGCATATCGCTTTCGAAAAAAGAACAATCTGTTTGGTGCTACATTATATATATATATACGTATATATATATAATACATATTGTATATATATATATGTATACATGCATATTCTGGCTGAATTATAAAGACCTCACCGCGATGTCGCTGAAATGATGGTTCGTAAGGGGAAGCATCCCCAAAATGACTGAACATTTCAGGTCGGCGAAAAAAAAATGGAAAAAAGTATGTATGTAGTATGTATATTTATATATGACTGTATTATATACGCATACGTATATATCTCTATATATATATATATGCATGTATCTGGGTAAATTATAAGGACCTCAGTTCGACTTCACTAGAATGATGGTCAGGGATAACTATCCCCAAATGGCTTTTTTCAGGTGGGGCCGGACCAAGGTGGAGGGCTTGAAGCAGATGGTCAGATCACTCATGCAGCCAGGGCTGCAAATGGGGGACCAACATCAACAATGCCGTTGTAATGGCATGCCCAATTTTTGGGAATAATAACCATGGTTAATAGTGGCTAATAGTTGTCAATAGTGGTTAATGGTGAATAATGGGATATTTACTGGGTATCCTCCGGTAATCAAATGTGGCTTGCTGGGAAAATCCCCATTGACCTCCATGTACTACGGGGATTTTCCGGCTAGCCATGTTTGATTACCCTTGGTATATGGAAAATGGTGTTGAAAGCTATGTAAACTATGAGCTGCATGGATTTGTAGGTAGCATATTTTCAGACAGACCATGTTTGTGGTTTTGTCGAAGCCAGGGGTTTCATCTTCCCGTTTTTTTGGTTGGATGGCACATGTTTGTTGCTTAAATATAGTTCAACCATGTTTAATTCATGATTCGGTTGATGAAATCCTCCTTTGTCCCACCTTGTTGGTTTTTCCTTCTGGAAGACGTCTTGTCCAAAAGTTGAACATCCAGTTGAACCATGCTGAACCAAATGCGTTGCATATTATAGATTCCTTTAAACTGCAAACACATGTTCAGTGGAGACTAGCAACAGTCCGCTGAGCTTATCTCATGGACCAAAGGCCTGCCGGACGTCCTTCCTTGCGCTTGCCTCCACACGTAAGCGAAGCGAGAGTGCTGTCAGATTTGGATTACCTGGTCACAACGCTGAACGTTGGCCTTTTGTCGCCGGAAGATCAGGACTGGGCTACACTCACCTGGTATCTTCAGGGATATTCAAGGACCAGACATATTTAGATTTGAACAGGAAAACACCTCAGGTTGGCTGAGTAGATCAAACTGAATTGATGCAGCTTGTGTTTCATAGTAACTCTAAATCTTCCAGAGTAAGAAGTCACATGTACATCTTCACTTTAAGAACTGGCTCTACTCAATTGCACATTGCACTGTTTTTGTGTGTCCTCACAGGAGAAAGTGGTGAGGAGGTACGGGCACTTTGAGATTTTTTTCACTGACTTATGGGACTGGAGAGCACCTGTGGACTCGCTTCAAGTGCTGTACGAGCACTGGAGGGAGGATCCGATCATGCAGAAGGAGGCAGCAAATGTCTTCCAGGACCCTTCCATACACATGTCGATTTGTTGAAGATAAGACACCCCAAACATCCAGTGCTTTATCATCAGTACTTTGGCGAGGTATGTCCATGTTCGAATCAGGTTGGTGCTTTCAAACATGAGTATTTTTCATTTTTTTTCCACTACTGTACGTATAGTTGATCCGAAATGTATATGTTTTGGGGATGGGTTGAAATCACCAAGAACTTAGATTTTGAAACCTCTAGATCATAGCTCCTGTCTGCCTTTAGCTGCCAGGCCCCTTGGCCCCAAGTTTGAAAGCCAACACTGAACCGTCCCAAAGCATACCCCACCAGCCCTGCACCCTACAGGAGGGACAGTCTTGGCAGGGATCCTACTACTGCACACAGGGGCGCACTAAGTTCAGCTTGGACATCACAGCTGTGAAAGTGGTGGATGGCAAGGAACAGGTTCAAGCCGACCTCACCTTCACGATTGCTAAGAAAGGCACTCTGGTGAAGTAAGGATTATGTGTTGTTTTCCTCAAATGTGATGTTTGCTAAAGCTCATGGCCTTTGTTTTAGCTCCTAGTGACTTAGTGGCTAGGTAAACCTGGGTTTGGTTGGTCAAATCATGAATTAGAGCCAGCAGAGGAGGAATCTCACATCCCACATCATCGCACCACTTTGTTTCTAAAGTATACCAGTATGTATCTCACGTTTAAATCCATGTTTGGTTACACTATATATATATGTATATCTATCTCTATCATCTATTATTTATCACCTATTATCTATCATCTATCATCGATCATCTATTATCGATCATCCATGATTTGTCATCTAGTATTTATCATATAATATATATCATTTATTATCTATCATCGATCATCTATCACCTATTATATATCACACGTTGTTTTTCTTTAATAATATATCATAATATATCATATATGTTCCATCATATATTGTCTATCTTATATATATATTATCTATGATATATCTATGATATATCTATCATATACTATCAATCATCTACTATTTCTCATGTATTATCCTTTATATATCATCTATTATCTATCATATATTATCTATCATTTATTATCTGTCATCGACTATCTATCATCTATCCCTTATCTATTATATATATATTATCTATATCCATAGTATTTATGTATCACTTTATATTATAGCTATGTTTACTTTGCACATCTCCATATCCATGTCCCAGGCGGCAACGTCACAGGGATCTACGAGGTTCTAGGGCAGGTGGAGTCAAGCGGTCGTAGTTTGATCTTCGAGCCCATCCCCGACAGTTGGAAGGAGCAGCCCAAGAACTTTGTCATGGTGCCATGGCGGGGTTGGTGCTGATCCCACAGATTTTTTCGTTAATTCCATGAAGATTCATATACTACTGTAATATATACTGATATGGAATGTGAAATGTGTACGTGTTTTTTTCCCACATACATGGTTGTCATAAACAGATAGTCAGTATTTGTATACATCTTCTATAGATCTAGGAATCAGCCACAGTCCCAGGTTGGCACCCAGGGGGTGGTATCGGCCACTGACGATGGCACTCTGCGTCACGTCTACGCCGGCACGGTACCCATCTACGGCTGCGATAGCTTCGAGCTGTTCACGGAAGCGAAAGCTGAAGGCCACCCCGACCCCAGCAGTGCGGATCACTGGAGGAATTCACCCTTCAGTGGCGCATTGCAACGACTCAGTACCTGGATTTGGGTCAATAAAACGTTGTTTTTTTTCCTATAATTTGTTTATTGGGATGGTCATGGTGGTGATGGTTTGGTGTTTTATTGACATGGTCTGGAGGCTGAAGGTAGGTTTTGGTGAAGGAAGGGTGTTTTGGATTCGATTTGTAGTGTGACTGGAAGAATTTATACGCCCTGAAAATCAAGAAATTATTTTTTGTGCAAAGCGAATCAACCAGGTGACACCATTGATATGAATCGCCATAGCTGGCGGAAGGTTTTACAGCGACTCATGCTTGAATCTTGGATTAATCTTGGACCATTTTGGAGCAAAGACTGCGCTTTCTTGTTCTGCCACTTTGATCCTTTTTGGTGTTTGGTTCTACAGACCACACCTGATCTTTCCAGTTCTGCAAAGCCTGAATGGTTGCTGGCTGATCTTCACAGGTGACTTTCACGGGACCACACCTGCTTGATTTGTCAGAACAAATGTGATTGAGTCAAGACTTGAAAAACTAGGAGCTCTGCGTAAGTCTTCAATAATTTCCCAACTATCAATGTATTGGTTTAAGGAAAGATCTACAGGAAACCATACGTAGTTTTTCCCATTAAATATGGGTTCCATTGAAACTATCAGATAGGTCCATAAGTTTCACCCGCTGACTCCCAGAAGTTGCTCGAAGCCTTCTTCCTGTCATCCTGAGGAAAAGTCCCAGAAGCCCAACGAGGCAAGCATCATGATATCTGGGGAGGCAACCAACATCAACCAACCATTAAGAATGGGATAGAATATGATCTATAATCTACATATAATATATATAAAATATAATATATAATATATAATATAATAATATAATATATAATCTAACATATATATATAATAATATATAATCTAACATATTATATATATATATTATAATATATATAATCTATATATAAGCAACAATGCCATACATTTGTTGGAACACCCAAAACTGCCATTTGAATGGTGAATACGATCACATACTGCAGGATTCGGGGATTGCAAAATTTGCGACAATCAGATATATGAAATGGGGGCAACATAATATTGTGCTGGGGAGATCTTTTTCAAACAATATTGTTCGATCCCAGTTCTTGTAAGTCTTGGAAATTCATCAAACCACCGTTTTTTTTTTCTCGTAATTACAGTATATAGGTCGAAATGTTTATTCATCATCATCATCATCATCATCATCCTAAAAATCCTCCTAAAGATCATATCAAATGTTTATTTTTGTGAGAACACCGGGACGTGGATCATTCATGATCCCTGCCAGGTGGCTCCAATCTTTGAAGCCGCGCGGCAGGCGGGGCTTGTAAGTGTTGAGTTCACCACGGGCGGCGAGGAGATTGTCCTGCAGCTGAAGCGCTGAGCTGAGGGATTTCCCAGCTAGCCACATTTGATGACCGAAGGGTAACTTATAACACGAGATCATCCACAACGAAACGAACATGAGAAATTTGATGACTGTGAATCCACATAATTGGATATAATTGGGACAGACCTGTGTACATGACATTGACCAAGAAATCACGATGTTTGTATAACTAACAAACATGGGTATGTTTTACAAATAATCAAGGAAGCAAAGTCAGATGGTGGATGTAGCTGTAGCTGTTATCTCATCAACAAACAGAATTACATAAGAGTTGCTTTGGACGATGGTGATGGCAGCTAGCAGCAGCTACAAAGGCTGCCAGTTGAGGCATACCCATGTCATCCTATGGCTCAGATGTGTGGAAACGCACTCATCGTGCATCGCAAAGTCCCGAAAAAGGGGCAGTGACTGTGGAGGTCTTGGAGGGAAGATGCAGATCCCAAAATGCTGTGTAAGATTGTGTAAACCTTTACAAACCCAGCTAGCTCAGGTACCAACCAGTTAGCCAACTCCATACCTCATCATGGCTAATCTAATTGCTTCTACTCTGTGCAACAATGGGATATCATCAGATTAATTAAGTGGAGAATAAACGTGTTGAACACTTTCCACGTTACGATTCGGAAAAACCAACATTGAGAGCACAGGGACTAGCAAGGTTTTTCAATATGGAAGGAGTTGAAGAACTCCTGTTTGGAGGCGCCATGCAATTGTGGGAACATATGGGAACATATTGGAACCTCCCATTTATTAGTTGGAGCGGCTTCCTGGAGGCCCTGGCACCTTGAAACCCTCTGACCGGGCCCTCAGCCGCCGAGGTGAATGGGAACGCTATCGCTTTGGCTTGCTGGTGCGAACTTGGGGAGTTCAGATCACTGGATGGCTACATCTGGGTTTGCTGATGGCTGCTTGGAAGATAAAACATATAAAGAGCCCACTGTAGAAATGTGTTTCCCACAAGGGCCACCATAAAACCGCGATCAAATTGTAAATCACCGTAGGATAGCAACAAGTGTTTGTTCCCCCAATCCTAACTCAATGCCTCCAATAACCTGACCATAGATTAATAAATTATGGAGAATTCAGCCTGATCATCGTCTTGAATTAGATGCCCAGACACCTTTTAATCATCCAAAATCCCAGTGAAGCTGCAGCTGCTGCAGCGCAAGGACAAAGTGGCCTTTGATCGAAGAGGAAAGCTGATTACCCTTGTCATGTTGTCGCTGGAGGGAGTTGCCGTGGCACTTCTGGATGCGCTGATCTTCAAAAACGACACTCGGCCCGTGCCAATTTAGATCCTGCTCATGGCTGCTCCAAACTGGATCTGCCGCCAGATCCACTGCAACAAAAACATGAGCAGAAGAGTCGCATGCAAATAAGGATCCGTTCTTCTTCATGCTCTACGGTCTCTATGTCTTGTTCAGCCACTTGATTGCATTTGGCATAGCCGCATAGCCAATGTTCTGCCTAACACTGAATACTGGTGGTAGATGAAATGGCAGCCCCGGTTCCCTATGTGTTGTTTTCTTAAATTTATGTTCTTCGCGAATTCTGTTACATGTTTTGGTATATAGATTACAACGATCCACACCCTGCGCACACAATTGATGCTGTGCTTGTGATGGTGGAGTGAAACAATCAAAATCGTTTTCATGATGACAGGTTGAGGGGAAGGAAAGCAGCTTGAATGGTCGGCTATTCCCACTGTTTTCTCAAATCAAAAGACTCAAGTGGTTATTCGCTTGGTTGTTCCAAAGGATAACCTAATTTACACGAAACGATGACTGTAACATCCTTTTGCAAGAAAATCTCGGAGGTTCCTGTAAAGGTTCCGCTTTTTCATCAGTTTCACCGGTTCTAGGAGTGATTTCTCCATGTTTCGACTTCATGTTCTATCCACCATAACTCGGCGAGTTGTCCACACTGCAAGGCAAAAGTTGCCCCTTTCCGGCCCGACTCTTGTTGTGTTTCCTTGCCCTTGTGGGCTGGTCGCTGATTGACAGTGTGTACCCTGGCCGGAACTGCGGAATTGAGAGATTCTGGCAAGGTCGTACTGTCTTACCCCCTAAAATAAGATTAGCTATCAAAATATATCAAAATTAATGATATGAATGGGTTTGTTAGTGTTTGTAAATGATAGTTCATGATAGCCATCATCAAAATTATTGCAAAAAATATGTGTTATTGTTTATTTTATTCTTCCCAGTTGATGGTTAAACCAATTTCCTCGGTTCTGAACAATGTCAGCCATCAACTGGGAACCCCATCGGCTCGGACGTGAACGGGGTTATGGGCAATGTCACACATGCCCATCAGTAGATATCAGTAGGTATATCCTGTGATATTCATTAATATCTATTATAGATTATTTAATTATATATATATATATGATGTTTTTTCATATATAGTTAAATGATGGAATATATATATATAGTTAAATGATATATCATGGACTATCTATGGATATTTGCTACTTAAAAAGTTCAATGATGGGATGGTCCGCAAAGCCCATGGCATGGAAGCCCATGGCGCACCCAGGATTTGTGACTTCCAGATCAGGCAGCGGAAGTTTCAGCATATCGGCACCGACCTTAGCTGTGGCGAAAATGGTTCCATCGTTTTGTGATTGGGACAGCTAGCCTCTGGTTATGACTATAACATATAGCCATGGTTTGTTGATGGCCCTAATCGAAATAGATGGTGAACAACTGGGTTTACCTATTCGTTGACTGGTGATTTTCCATGGCTATGTTAAATAAGCAGATGGTAGATGATGAATATCGATGAATCATTTGATTTCTGTTAGTTTCACACACTTCACACAAAGAGATCAGGATGGACTTTCGGGGGTCATGTCATATGTGTACTTTTTCCAGGGGTGAACCAATGACAATGTGCTTTGCCTTTAATGTAGTTCTACTGACAAGAAAAATAGGCTGGTTGCATCACCTGAGTTGTTGCAAGTGTTCACCAGTGGCATTTGAGTACCCTCTGGTAATTTAACGTAGCTATTGAAAATGGCCATTTATAGTGGATTTTCCCATTAAAAATGGTGATTTTCCATAGTTATGTTAGTTTACCAGAGGGTAACTAGAACTTATTTATCTTCTTGGCATTGAGAACATTTCAACATATTCAATGTGTAAGTCGCCTTTCAATTCGACAAGGGAAAATTGTGACATATTTAAAACCCTTCAAAAATACAACAATTGACAATCACCATTTGCAAGTGGAAAGTCAGCTACAACAAGTGGGCATTCCATTGCCATATTGGACTGCCAAAAGGATAAATGGCACAGCAACACCTAGGCTACACGGCAGTGGTGCTAATGCTGACCGCTGGAGGAATCAGGTGCCGCGATTCACATCCAGATATGGTGATTCAATTTCGCTCACAGGTATGATATATGATATATGATATATGATATATGATATATTATATGATATATGATATATTATATGATATATGATATATGATATATGAGTTTTGATATATGATATATGATATATGATATGATACCGTATATATCAAATATTATAATATTATATATTCTATTACATATGATATGATCTATCTATGGAAACAAGTTGAATATTCGCATCATTTTTTCTTGATTCACCCTCAACGCGGGTTTGGTGCCACAATATCCACAATGTGGGACGAAACACAAAAAAAATCTCACGCATCATGGCGCAGCACACGGTAACTGTCAGGATGCAAGAGCACTTGGACCACTGCGTTTCTGGGCTGCGGAGCATTCCGATGGAAGGATGGTTTATGGTGTGTGTGACGTCGTCGTTTCTATTTTGGAATATTTTGGAATATTTTGGGGTTTTGATTCTTCAGGATTCTTTGATCTTTGTTGTTTTTTGATTGGTTTACTGATTCATTTGGGACAACTCTGTAACTCCCTCTGACTTGAATGCTAAGAGGCAGGCTCGTCAGAAGACATTGACTGGAGCAGCACGAAGTTCAAAGAGTGACAAGGGAGCTCAAGACCGTCCCTGAAGAGCAGAAAAGACGTCCACTTTCTCCTCGTTCTTGATCAGCTCGTTTTATTCGATTGTACATGGCCACTAATTGACAACCAGTTTGGCTGCGAGTTTCGCAAAGAGAGCTTTCATGAGATTGCAGGTGGTTGGAAGTTGATTTTCCCTCTGGTAAACTAACATAGCTATTGAAAATGGCCATAGAAATAGTGGATTTTCCCATGAAAAATGGTGATTTTCCATAGCCATGTTAAATTACCAGAGGGAAAATCATCTTGGAAACGGCGCCACCAAGGCGAGCTACTACGAGCGACACGTGCAGAGACAGATCGATAGCATTTCCGAGCCTCGCAAAGCGTAGTCCCCAGGGGTCACCGTAACCAGTGCCACTGAGCTCGAGGAATTGACCGATGCCGATTGAAGGTTCTGAATGCCCCGATCACAGGGTTTCTCTACCAGTCAGTAGGATTCAATGGGGGTAACCCAATCTGTGTCACAAGAAAGTCGAGAGGAGACTCGGCGAAAAGATTCACAATTCAGCCGTCAGGCAGGTCTCGTCATGGAGTGTTTGTATTTAGTCTTTGTGTATCAGCTTGAATCAAATGTTATAATGTTCAAGTCAGTATTGATTAGGTGCGCTGCCTACTTGCAATGAGGCATCTACTCCCTTGATCATGTATAATATTCTATATGGATCACCAGCGAACATCCCATCAATTCCCAACATAATTGTGTGCTTGCTAGTTGCATTAATATACACATAATTGCCATTTATTACCAAACCGGTTTTGTTCATTTTTTCGTCATATTCTACTGGATTGGTTTAAGGGAAAATCGCAACGACTCGGTCATGTTGTTGTTCTGATGTTCAGCTCTCCATGACTCGGTCATGAGGACTTCAAGGGTGGCAACCAAAAGCTCTTGGCCAAAATCCTGCCAAAGCATGTGGTGCAATTGGTCAGCGAGACTTGGACGAGGTACAATTGTATACTATTGGTAAAGCAATAGGATCCCCCTTTTTTTTTGGGGGGGGGTGGTATAAACCATCAAAATATGGGTGGTTATTGTTGGTTTATTATTGTTTTACTAAGATTATCCTACGTTTTAATAGCTGGATACTAAATGGATGTGAACAGTCGTGCTTCAGGCCGTTTGGAAGCGATGCTGATTGAGTCATCTTAAGCCTAGAAGCCTAAGTCAGATGTCAAGATGTCTAAGTTTTACTGGCAAAGATGTAGTTCGTTCATCGTAGAATCAGTCCGTCCATGTCCGTCCATCGTAGAATCAGATGTTATCCAGTACTGATGTACCCTCTGGTAAACTAACATAGCTATGGAAAATCACCATTTTCAATGGGAAAATCCACTATAAATCACCATTGTCAATAGCTACGTTAGTCATTACCAGAGGGTACTGTGTCTTTCCCCCCCCTGATGCACCTGGAGAGCCCTGCAGAGACTCGGATCTGAACAGAGGATGGAGTTTCGCCCATCGCAGAGGACTACGCTGATGTCACGGTGGTCTTCACCGATCCCCGGCCGCAATTTGGACGTGACATGACTTGACCCAATGCCAAGAATGCCATAGGCCCCTAAAAATGGGGTTTGGCTTATTCAAGAAAATTGGTTTCTTAATGTGTCTTATACATGTCGGTAGTTTGGGGAATGTTTGGGGATGCTTTATGGTTGTGGCCTGCCACACAATCCACCGTCCAATACCGATTTCAGGAGGACTTCGTGGCGCCAGGGAACACAAGCTGTAGCTACTGTAATTCCTGTCTGTCAACACCTGAACTGTTCCCAAATGCTCGACGTATGGAGCATAGATTTAACCAAAAGATGTAGGAACATGTTGGTAGATTATTCCATGGAGCATTTGGGGGGGTTCTACTTCTACTGATTCCTAAAGAACTACCGTTATTTTTCAATCAGTCGTTTCTGGCTAAGGACCTCCAAGGCTTCACCGCGTTTAGTTCTCGCACCTTGCAGCACTGGTTGGTTGGAGATGGTTTTGATCACTACAACATACAAAAAACACCATGAATTGCCATGAATCCATGTCTTGTGATCATTTTAAGCATCATTCTGCATCATTTTGCATTTGGTTGCAAGTAAATTCCCACTTAAATTCCTTAAATGGCCACATGAATGGCTGCCACGTTCCGAACGTCTGGAAGTTGCTAGGCATCAGCCCCGGGGAGTTGGTGGAGCTCTTGAATATGCTCTATTCGGCCTTTGATGAAACCATCTTGGACTGGGGCTTGCACAAAGTGGAGCCTTGGAGCTAGGCCATGCTAGGCCATGCTAGGCAGTTCAGTTCCACTGGAGAGGAGGACTTTGAATGACAACCATCACATGCGCCGCAAAGCAACATGCACCTGAGCTTCGAGCTGTTTTAAGCAGATGTGGCTTGTGAATCGTGAAACATCTTCATTCCTGCTCAGAATTGCTTGACCTGCATCATGCGCTGGTTCTGACTAAAGTATTGATACAGAATACAGAATACCGCCGTTCATCATGGAGGGATGTACAGAGTTTGTACAAATACGACATATCACCGATGGTATGCAAAGAAGCAAATATTGTGAAACATTTATTTCACAAGACAAAAGCAAATGTTTTCTGTCCAAATGTGTCCAAATACTCAGTTCGAAGCTGGATCAGAGGTCTATATTATGGATTTGGCCCAAAAAAACTGGTACCCCTAAAACCACTGGTTAACCTGATTGACCTCGTTAAAATTGCCATTTTGGACTATACCCCATTTTGAAACACACCCATATAATTCTACATATCAAATCAAGTTGGTTATCATACATATATACATACAAATTGCATATATATAATATATATATATATATTATCCCATATTATCCCATGATTTATCCCATATTACATCCCAATGTAGTTCTGGTTGCTTACCCCCTTATATCCGTGGCTTAAAACATCCATTCGAAGTCACAACGCCTGAGGAAGTCATTGGCGATGCCTATTTCATCTCTTCGGGTTGCCCCATGGAGGCGCTCATATGGCTCAGCCAGCAGGTACTCCTATGTGTATAATATATATATGTATAATAGTATGGTGTGTTATCTAACTTATTATACATGTATGCATATGCATATATATATATATATATTTATTATATGTGTATATAATTGTGTATATGTGTATATATATGTACATATGGATGTATACGTATATATGCAATATTTTTTACGTAGGTATACGTACATAGATTCACAATTATATGTAACTAGGCTGATGTCTCTGATTTTGGAGGATTACTTTTGGTTTAGGGCATGCGATGTCATGTGGGTTCAAATGTACTGGACAATTTGCCAAATCTGACTGGAATTCCATGATGATGTTGAACATGTTTGCAGAATATGAACCAATTCATCATCCTGCTGCATTCTTTTGCAGCATCGTATTGTTGCAGTTTGTACTGCCAGGTTCTTTGTGAAGTGATTTGTCTCCTGGAATTGCTGCAGATGAATAGATGAATCGTTGTCGTTTGTTGGTTCAGTCACCATGTGTGTTGTGTCAATGTTTGTAAATTCCATTAACTGAATCAACATCGCCATTGATTGACATGACTTTGTGGATTCTCTATTTTCTTAACATCTTTAACTGGTCCCTTTCAGCACCTCCAAGTTGCAGGACTCGAATCTTAGTCCTGATCAGCATGCCATGCGGGCAGTTGAGGCCAGCGATGAAGCGGTGGATGTCAGAGAGAAACGCTGTTGAGATTTCTAGACATTGTTTATGGATGTTTATGGTATGTAAATCATCCATCCCATAATGGGAATCCTGAAAAACATGGTAGTATATATATATATCATTGTAGCCTATAGCTCCCTATGTTAAAATGGATTGATGACCATCCCCCAATATGGCTGTATCAATCTTTTGACACGGAGCACGCGGAGCAAAGTCGCACTGGTGGCGGGAGCACAGACCCATCACACGGAGAATCTCAGTGGCAAATGGGTTTGTCTGAACATGTTGGGTATATTCCCAATGAAATAGCCATTCAATAGGGATAATGATCAGCAAAACCATTGGGAAAATGCGGTACACAACATTTTCAGACACACCCAAATAGTTTAGTCCAAAATTCAGGACATGTATAGTGTATAAGCTGTCATGGACCAGCAGACATAATGACAAAGTAACAAACATATCCAAGTTGGCAGCCTCATAGCAAAGCCGCCCCTTTGGGTTGCAACAAAGGCACTATCTCAAACTAGCCAGGACAAAGGCATCAATTCAGGTGACTGACGCCACAGCGTAGTGTACAAAGCAAGGTGGCTATTCGCGGCAAATAGCTAAAAAACTGAAAAATAACAATTCTTCAAGTCTTCAAGCCCGAAAAAATCACGTAGACCGCAGGCATAGCATCCATAGTGGTTGTGTTCCATTGGCTCAAGACATACCAGGCAGAAATATCCACAAGAAATAACAGCTCCCCTGGAAGCAAAGGGCCTAGGCCCTACTCACCGCAGGATCCATACTGTATCAAAATCTCAGGTCTGGTTGACTCTGGGCTCCACTAACTCAGTTGCTCAAAAGCACATTGCTCAAGGGCGTCAACTCACTCATCACCAAAAATCTAGATAAAAGCCAACGGCAAATCAAGAAGTTGAAAATCACAATCGGCAAAGGCATCTCTAGTTGGCAGCGAACGCGAGTCACTGAGTTGTATGGTACAAGGTGTAGGCAATAAGCAAGTAGGGGAGGAAGTGTATCACAGAAACGTCAAGGCTTTCCACAGAAACTGCAGACATATCAGCGCACACATGTCATGGCTCTATCGGTTAGGCATGCTCCCCATCACCCGTAACAGCCTCGCCGCGTGAAGGCTAGAGCCACAGAGGCTATCAATCTTTTGACCATGGCACATATGTAGACATGATTCAGGCGAGAAATCCAGCCCCACAAACAACAAACAAATTTGATGTTAGTAAAGCAACAGTAAACCATCCCCAAGTTTACCACTTTTATTGGTGGTATAAACTTACAAACCAACAAAATATTGGTAGTGTATGATTGTGTTACCAACATTAATAGGGATGCTTTTAGGTGCCTGGTTGTTTCAGTTGCTGCATATTATTTGACAGGTGGCTTTGGCTCTGCAGCGCATTGTACCTGCAGTTGCTTGACCGAGGAATTGGGAGGGTTGAGGCGTCACTTTTTTAAATGGATTGTTTGGATTATGATCAGAAATGTGATCATATATTGTCATATATGGATATACTACCAATATTTATTCATAGATATATATTATATATAACAATAATTGTTATTGTTATCTTTATTTGTTATTATTATTAGTACAGTACATTATATGATTTATATATAATACATATGAAATATCTATTATATATATATATATTATACATACATACATACATACATACATACATACATACATACATACATACATACATACATACATACATACATACATACATACATACATACATACATACATACATACATACATACATACATACATACATACATACTACATACATACATACATACATACATACATACATACATACATACATACATACATACATACATACATACATACATATATGATCAAATATAGGGTCAGATTGATCAGATTGATCAGGCGATTGATGCCAACATCATTTCTTGATTGTTTCGCTTTGCCCTTGATTTTCCAGGCCTGGAGGACAAATAGCAAATCTTAGTTTGACAAGACGTGGCATGAATTCTCTGCCGTTTGAGGTCTGTGATGATGGCTCTGTGCACATGAGACGCTTGAAAGCCATGAATCTGTGGGCTCATCCATGGGCTGTTGATGGGTCCCGGCGCAATGCAGACTGCGTCCCATTTCTTCATGCTGCAATACAATCAAATCCTAAAAGCTGAGTGGCACAACGTGGTGATGCGTTCACTTTAAGCCTATGCGATGTTCAGTACTGGAATGCCTTCCAAGGATGTGGTATCCACACGGGCAACGTCATCGCTGGTGTTGTTGGCAAAAAAGGATTGCATGGCCGGACACCCTAAAACTCAAAGTCTGATCCACCCTGAACAAATCCTTTGTTGGTGGGGACTGGCTTTTGAAAGGACCTTCCAAAAGCGATGCTGCTCACAGTTGGAAATGTAGTACGGCACCCACTGAGCATACTGAGCTTTGCAGGACCTCGCTTCCATCTATTTGGACCCAACGTGGAATATGCTAATCGAATGGAGAGCACGGGAGTGCCTGGAAAGGTACAAATCAGTTGCTTGCACAGAAATTTCTACTGATCATGATCCCAATTGGCGATCTCCGAGTCTCCCTGGGGGTTGAAACTGCCACAGAACATTAATGATACCGGTTGGTGGTTTGGAACATTTTTTATTTTTCCATATATTGAGAATAATAATCCCAACTGACTTTCATATTTTTCAGAGGGGTTGAAACCACCAACCAGGATAATTATAGGTTTGATCCTCCCCATCATTCTCTGCGATTGGTGCATTTGGTGCTTGCCAATTGTATTCAACCCAAATCCTCCATGTATTAACTTGCATTTAGGTGTCCTTTTGAGTACATGTGGTAAATAATCCAGCATGATGGAGGTGGACTTTTTATCTACTGTTGTCCTTTGTCATAAGTCAAAAAAATGTGTGGCCCTCACCTACTCCTAAGTCATGTGTGTTTGCAGAATGGCAAGTCGTTGGTGATCGTGTCAGATATTCAAGTAGTCAGATTGCAATTTTTTTAGTTTACATCTTAGTTTGGAAAGATATCAAAATTGGCCAAGACTTTTGGTTCCGTGGGGTTGAAACCTCCAGCCAGACCAACCACACACAAGCGTGACTGAAATGATGCAACTGGTCCCCTCCACAGGGGCGCTGCTTTCAGGCTTCTCTACAAAGCAGTGGTTGGACATCGGAGGCCACGATTATATCTTTGAGGATCGCTCTGTTGCTTGGAAGATGATGAGGCTGCGGCTATAAGGTGCCAAGTTTCAGCAGGAGGGGCAGAGTGACTGGTGATACTATCAGGGATATTCAGGGATAATTACTCTATATCTCTCTATATGTTTGAGTTGTTCTTCAGGTACTGAGTTGAAAACATCGCCTTGTCAGAAGGCTTGCAGGGCTTGGCGGCTTTGTGTGCATGACTCATGGTTGAGTCCGATCTATCACCCAGGTTGACATGGGCGGACGCCATGATCGAACCTTTTTGGTGACACGAAGCAAGGTGTCTCTGTCGGCTGTGGGTCATAAACCCTGGCAATCCCTGGTATGTTGGTTTGACATCCCAAAAATAAACAACGTGAGACTGGTTGGGAATTCTCACCTTCCTATCGGTGTTGTGCCTTGATCTTCAGCCAGTACGAATGAGACGGAAAGCACAGTTGAAATAGGGGAAGATCAGAAATCGCAATTCCTTACTTGTTTTTTTTTCGTTGCTTTTCCTTCTGGAAGTAAAAAGAAGTACTGGTAGAAGTTCTTTAGGTTTTGTCCTTATTGAGTATTATGGCATCCTATATTTCCTGCGGTTGCTTCTGCTATCTCTATCGGTCTCCTCTGCATTGTCTTTTTGCACTCTTGGTCCACTCACGTCATGTGCCAAGTGCTACATGCAAAAACGTACCTAGTTGGTGGTATGTTATAGGATGATTCATTGAATTACATATATAATTATTTGTGAGTATGAGTATGAGTCGTAAATGTTGTTATATCATGTTTGATTCGAAGGTGCGTGGTTGCATCACCATGCTTGGTCACCCCCCTAAGGTGTATGAATAGAAAGACTTGCATCTGTGTTCATTGAATTGGCTCCTTTTGTGTCCATTAAATTATTGATTTGGTTGGTTAAAGTTAATTCAAACATGTTTTTGTTGGTCATAGACGATATTCTTAGATCATAGTCGATCCCCACTTTTGCTGCTTTGGACAGGTAAATCACATAGTTTTCTAGAGAAAATCTTATGTGTTATTGCTCCAAAGCCTTGAAAGTCTCAGTTTTCGCTGGCAAAATCCACAGTCGACATCCACATTTGTCTGAATTTCGCCACGTGTGGTTTTTCGACTTGGGGTACTTGGGAGTGCAGTTGGCCTTATAAATGGGTATAACCAGGGAAAAGAAAGTAAGTTAGGACAAGTTGGGATATGGTTGCCCCACAACCATGTTTTTTAGAACAAAAATCACTGGACTGCCAATGTGAGGCTCGGGCCGCCAAGAAGATCCGGAACCGTTTGGCCATGCAGCGACAGGAGATGGTGCTTTACCAGCAAGTTATGGGTTAACCATCAAAAAACATCAAAAAACAATAAAAAACAGGTGGTATTCAGGTTGGGTCAGAGTGAAGCAGGATGTTTGGCCTTGTTTTCGGGGCCCATTTGGAACCTTGTGGAAGTGCCTGAGACAGTGATCTTCCCTGCTGAGCTATCCCAGTTTTGGCGGGTCCCCAAGTTAAAAACATACCTACAGTAAGTGTGTCCTTAAATGCTATCGGTGGTTTGACTTCTCCGCGTAAACCATGAAATCTAATCCACCTGGCTGTTAGTTTCAAAGATGTGTCGTGTGCCTGCTCTCGTTTGGTATTGATGACCTATGTTTTCTTCCCTGTTACAAGCACCATTTGGCACCAATTTTGGAACTACATGTTGGTGTCAAACATGTTCACACTATGGCCATACTATGGTGACTTTGGCAATCTACGCTAAAAGGGGTCCTTTTATGTGCATCATCTGTGCCAGGCGATCGCAGCCACGCCAACAGAACCCGAATGATGGTGGGTGACTCACAGTCGCCTTTAATGTACAGTATTGCTATTGGCTGGAAGATCTGACTGCCATAAAAAACTCACATGGGACTCAGCTCTAGTCTAAATAGTCTAAATAAAAGCCTCTGCAGGGAGTCTATGCGTGTCTAACTTTGCTAGATTTGCCACGCTTGGTTCAAGCCACACAGGTAGCGAAGCGCTTGTCAGTGTTGTTCTGCTAGCAATGTGATGATGTCCTCTGCAGTGTCAAGCAGAGAACCCCTCATGTTTTTTCACTTTCCCAGAATTGGACGAGAAAATCTGCTGGAAAGCCCCAAATTTGACGGTTAGAGCGCATTGCTGATGTTTCCTGTAGATGTTTCTTTCAAACAATCCAATGACACTTTGTTTTTTGTTAAGAACCTGGTCATATACCCTTGAAAGAAATGCTACAGCAGCCAAACGGCATTGAGAGGCACGGCTCCTTGAGATTGACCACGCATCCTGCTACACTTAAACACTGGAGAGATGGTCCTCAATAGCAAATTTCAATTTGTTAATTATTTCTATGGATTTGACTGGGTTAAGTACAATGTTTGACGTAAGAATGGTATTGGTAGGATGCGATATGCTGTTCCGAAGTCATGCATCATACACAAAAAAAAGAAGCCCGATCGGGAGTTCTGAGCAGTCAGACCTTGCGCTGCTGCGGCTATTGGCTCTCCTTGCAAAAGCTGTTGTGGAGTGCCAAGGCCACGTACTTTTTGAGATTTGATCATGGTTCTGTTGCTGCAAAAATTGTGAATGATTGAAGTGGCGTTTTATGCACAAAATTCCTAGTACGATGGTTTTCAGTCACATTAAAAATGTGGCTGGAAAATGGATGTTCATTGCATCATTAAGCCAAGGTCATACGTTTTGACAAGTTCCCCAAGTAGTGACACTATCTTCAAAGTTGAACCCTCAAAGAGCTGAAGCAGCAACACGCCTCGCGAATGTATGATTGATTTGTGTAGTATCCCGATAAGCCCTTTCTGCTCTTCCAAAGGGCAGAGCGGAAAGGGCTGACTGACGTGCGTGCCTGAAGGGCAGGATGCACAGCATTTTCAAATCTCCGTGCCGCAGAACCGCCTCAGTGGCACCTGAACGCGAACCGTGAGCATCCAAAAGCTGGAGAATGAGCGGTTCATTCCATGTCCCAAATCATCAAGGCTACATCCACGATCATCCACGTATATTTACGATTATTTATGTATGTATATATAGATTATATATATATATATATACTATCGATATATATATATATATATATATATAAATACTGTATATATATACACACACTGTATGTATATATATATATATACACTGTATGTATATATATATATACAAATATAATGTATGGTGACTTTAGGGGTGCTTAGTTTGACATGCTGAATTAGAAGTTGCGCCACTTCGCAAGTTCTTCCGCCAATTTAATTGGGAAATGTCACAGAGCCAGAAGGCTTGACTTCAGTTTGGGCCGATGAGCTATGGCTTTCTTTGAACACAGGATATCCATGGATATCCTAACAATTCACCGTGATTTCATGACGAGAACATGTGGTGTATCTCCTGTCTTTTGACAGACCCCTAGAGTTGATTTTATCAATTTGACCTGAATATTGGATGAAGGGAAAATTGTCAGCAGCCTTCCATTGTTGGGTAGTATACCCATGGTTTCCTATACCTTTTCTAACAAAACCTACCCAATCAATACAGGAAAACCCTACATTCGGGACTCGAAGCTATGGTTTCCTGTCATTTCTCGCTGTCATGTTTCACTTATAGGCTTGTAGGCTTATAGGATCTTATAGGTGTCCCAGAAAAAGATATAACTGTGTTTCCAGGATGTATTTTCAATGATATGTCTCCCTAATTCCAGGTTTCCACATTCTCTATGGCTGGTGGCTGCTATAGATTGATCCATTGATTTGTGGTTTCAGACCATCTACCACCTGGCCAGGCAAACGAGAAGCTAAGCAATGCATCTGCAGCAACCACTTCCACCACAGCAGAGCAAGTGGTGGAGGAGGACGCCCTGGGTGACTCGGGCGCGACGTATGAAAAATTCGAGACATGGCTGGGGAATATCTGTACATGAGGCTAGACAACCAGAGCGGGGAGGAAGGATGGGATTTATTTAGCATATATTAGCATTGTGTATATTATATATACATACATATTATACATTTATGTATAATCTATATATACATATGGAGGGATTTATAATCGGATATAATCAACAACATAATAAGAATATGATATTTGGCTCTGTCTGAAACTGGGGCAGTCCCCTATGTGCAGTTTCATTGGGACTATGATGATTGATAAGTGGATTGGACCAGACACGTTTTACTTCTCACCATATTTGGAATGATGATCCCAAGTGACAAGTGTTTTTGATGTGTGGCTCACTAGCTAGGTTGTGGGAATCTGTGGGTCAGGACTTGTGATGTTGAGTCTCTCATTTGAGTTGCTTGCATCTTGTCATCGTTGCACATGTGTGATACCATGGCACTGACAATACTTCCTTTTGGAAATGATGTTGTCGGACAAGTGAAGACCAGAAGATTCGGGAAGTACAACAAAGAAGAAGCAACGTCGAACAGCAGCTTTGCAAGTTAGACATCGACATGTTCTGTATTGTAAATATGTACACCATATGTATCCCTACCCTTTTTTCGATTTCCAGCACTCTTTGCTGCTCTGAAACTGAACGTTCAGATTGACCGCAGGAAACCATGGAAGTTAGTACGACATCGAAGCCTCAAAAGGTGGGCGGAACCATTGATTTTGGTTATCCACCAATCAAATGAATAGTACAACCCTTATAACCAATGATTATTATATAACTATTCCACCATCAATCAGAAATGCCAATGAATTTGATTATTACCATTAATTTGGTTGTAACCATTGATTTTGGTATTCCACTACAGCACAGCATATTATCACTGATTGATAGTTTGTTTCGTATTCCACCAATTATCCAATTTTGCTGATGCCCGATGATTTGACTGATAGCCAGCAGAACGCTCAGCTTTTGATCACCAAAGAAACAGCCAGATGTAGCATCAAAACTGGCCATGAAATCTGCTGGCTTTTAGCATACAGAATCTGGATGAAGCAACTGCTTTGTGAGCCATTCCACTTGAATCCATGCGTGCATTTTGACCCAGGAAGCAGCTGGTTGGTTTGATTGGTTCCAGCTGATGGAAGAGGCGGGTTCCGAACCAGCCGGTGGATCCGGTGCTCGGAGAATTTCTGAGGATGGGATCCTGTAATCTACCTGCCATGTAGTGAAAAAGACGTTCAATGACCATGGAGTATATATAGTCAAGGCTTAGTTTCCTCTGGTCCATGATGAAGTATCCTGAGACCACAGAAAGATTTTCTTTTATCCAGAAACAGACTGTTTGAGGCCTGTGGACTGTGTCATCTCTAGTGGTAAACCCAATATGTTCCATCTCCATTGGGGATGGTCCTCTGCATTCCTGGTAACTCATTGAAATCCACCATGTTAGATCCTCATTATGTACCAGGGAAAGCTTGGGTAGTTCAGTACTGCTAGCATTTTGTTAATCGAAGGAAGTTTAGAAGTCAAACTTCCGACAATATGGACAGATGGAAAAGCTAGAGGTGGGAAGAGTCAGAGAGGAGAAGAGCAGAAGAGGAAAGATCAGAGAAGAGAAAGAGTGAGAAGAAAGAAGATGCAGGTGCGCGAAAAGGTAGAAAAGTCGCGATTCATTGTGTTTTTCCAATGATTTGTGGCTGCGGAGGGTCGAAGAGTAGGCTCGCTAAAGCGGCGGGTATCGGCGGGTGCGGAGCCATCTGGGGAGATGAGAGATGAAAACTTGCACGCCGTTGTGGCCCGAAGCACATTTCTAAGTCAAAATGTACACCTTGTTCTGACCACTTTTAGACGTTGAGATGTCGAAAAAGCGCAC